ATTAAAATAATATATATATAAATTAATAGCCTCCATTGATTGTTGATCCGACATTTGGTATTCAAAACTTTGATTTAATTACATCGAATGAACATTTACATCATAATGAAGTAAAATATATTTTTCTTTATTTAATTAATAATATTTTATTTTCAAAAAAAAAAGACAATGCGCAATATCATTAGTCAAATTACAGCACTTTGGGATATGTGCCGAAAAAATTCGAATAATACCAATGAACGAACATGGCGTCCATGGGTTAGTATTATTATTCTATTCTCCATATATAAACCATTTTCTTTTTTTTATTTAGGAACATATATATGCATTGAATAAAATATCTAAACAACCATTTATTACTCCATATAATCCTGCAGGGAAATATATTGTTCGACTTTTCTTTTTGGTTCGTAGAATAAATAAAATGAAAATTTGAATTGAATTTATTTTCTTTAATTAGGGTACGTGGCGTAAGATTATTGTAGATGATAGTATTCCATTTGATTCCAATAATCGATGTCTTCTACCACAAACATCCTTATCTTATGAACTCTGGCCAATGCTTTTAACAAAAGCGTTATTGAAAATTATTTCGCTTAAGTATAAAAAATAACTAACAAGCAATATTTTCTTCTATTGATTGATTTTTTTCGATAATATAGTTTTAATACACCAAATGATTTTCCTGAATTCAATGAATCGTCAATTGTTCATTTACTTACAGGTTGGATACCAGAACCTATTCCTCTCAAGTAAAATAAACGAAATCTCGGAAATTTAAATATCATATTTTTATAGATATACTCATAGTGAAAAAGTATGGAATTTTCTTCGTTATAATCGTTCGAATAATAATCAATCGTATTCAACAACATCTTTTGGTCCTATACCATTATATCAATGGCCTGACACAAAAATTGATTTACCTGAAGAAACGATAGTATTAAATGAAAATATAAATAAATTTATTATTATTTTTTTCTTTTTAAAGAATTCAATAGATCAACAAGATGATAAATCTTCAAAAAAACGACGAACACCACCGATTTCTATAAAAGAGAAATCATCGAATAGCAAAGATACAAAAAAATCAACTATATTAAATCGTACTATTTCAGTAGACGATACCGAAACTATTACTACTGATCAAGGTTCTTTTGAATTACCAAAACTGATTATTTTCGCGACAGTACAACATTTACAACCAACACGTATGAGTTCGTTTAGCGAAGTAGCTAATAGAAGTGAACGATTAAGACATTATAATTTAAATAATACATTCTCAACATCTGTATTACTTACTTCAATCCGAGATATTCCATTAGAACCGCCGACACCACCTGAATCTGTACCTGCTTGGAAACTTATTCGACCAAGAAAAGCAAAATTGTTACCTCATGCTGAAATTATTCGTAATTATTAAAAGTAAATTCTTCTTTTCAATTCAAAAATTATTTATTTTTAGCTTCACAAGAATCTAAACCTGAACGTTGGATTGAAATCACTTCACCCTATATCAATTATCCAACAGCAAGTGCAATTAATATGTAATTTAGATTATATTTCATTGTAATTCCACTTTGTATTTATTTTTAAAATAGTAAACCAACAATTCAATTACATCATCCAATTGATAGTAATGCTAAGTATGAACTTATCTTGTTTGTCAAATATTATCTATATCTACTTGTCTATAGATCTTCACGTGTGAAACATAATGATTCGTCGAATATTATTGAAATGGATGAAGATGAAAATAGTGAACAGAAAAAAGTTAAAATAGAAGTAAATGCGAAATCTAGAAATGATTTTTATCTATGAACTTAATCTAATATATTTTCAGACAAACATGGTTGATACACAAGAAAAACTTGATGGATCTATACGAAGCACAATAAACAAATTAAAACGTGATATATCAGTTGATAAAACTAAAGTAATATAAGAATCTATTTTTATTCATATAAATCTTACTATAAAAAATATTCAATAGACTTGTCAAAAATCTGCTGATCATAGTACAAAAATATCATCTGATATTGCATCAATAAAAGATATAGGTTAATTTCAATCATCGAAAAAGAATAAGTTCAATTTTTTTTTCTTTATAGGTGATGAAAGTGATCAGATAGTAACACCAATCGATGCACAAACAATAGGAAATAGAAGTGAACAGAAAAATTCATCAAATCCAACACCAAAAATATGGATGAATTTTGATGATTTTTGTGCTTGTTTTACGTTAGTTAAAAAAAAGCCATCTTCTTTCTATTGATCATATTTTCATCGAACATTCTAGTTCAATTATCGTTTATCATAATCCTCAAGCTTATCAATATACTTCTAAATATTCAGAAATAAAAGTAAAAATAAACATTTTTATTTCACATTGAAATTTTTCAATATGTTTTATCTTTTTGTATTAGTTTATTCCATACCAACGTGTAATTATCGATATTTAATTAGTTTATTTATTAGTTGTATTTATTTTTCAGGCTGTTGCTACACCTGTACCAAAAGAGAGAAAAAAAGAAGTGGTTCAACCAATAATTCCACAAATACCAGTAAAAAATATTTTTTCTATTATAATTAATTTTCGTATTTGAAAATTGTGTTTTGTGAATAGAATTTACATAATGATAGATCTATATTATATTTATTTGTTGATAGTACACGTGAAACATTAAATAAAAATATTGAATTAGTTATTAGTTTAACATGTTTATCTCGATGGTATGATGCTTTTTCTAATGATACAATTGGATCAAATGAAAAATCTGTTCGTGGTGCAAGTCTATCTATTGAAAAGGCTGCAATTGAGATTAATTTATCAAAACCTATATGTAACATACAGACAATAAATAAATAAATATGAATAATATATCTTATTTTTAGTATCACAAAAAGAGATTATGCCACAAGTAGGTTCACTTATTGCTGAAATATATTCATGGAAATCTCTTACTATGGGACAACCTATTCTTCGTCTTCATACAACATCAACGAAAGCTGCTCTGTTATCATTACCACCAGGGTAAAAATTTTCTAGAAGAAGTTTTATTAATCTAAAAAAAAGGAAATCTATTTGTAGTCGTCATGTATTAAAATTAACTAATACATGTCCATTTGCATTTAATTTACAAATCTTATCTGATACACATGATTTTATGCTGGGTGATGAAGAACAATTATTAAATAAAATAGTTTCTGTACCTGTAAGTTATTTCTTTTTAAATTTAATTCATATATACTTTCTTTGTTTTTTGTGTCTAGGAAGATGCTGAATGTTTAATAGGAGCTGAAGAATTATTTCTTGCATTAGATGATTCTATAGAAAATTTTCATTTAATTGATCAACAAACTAATAAATTATATGATCTTTTTCGTTTATATTGTGAACAAGCACCTAAATCAATTCATCTTACCGTTGAAATATGTTTAAATACATTTAAACAAGCATTATATTCAACATTACGAACAATGACTAGTTCAACAGGAACAATAATTAATGCCGATACACAATTTGCTTGGAGATGTTTTACAGATGATCGTTTAACACCAGATATTTTATCTGCATATGAACCAAAACGATCGAGTAAATCTTTTTTTTTCTTATAAAAGTTATTTGTTTTACAAAATTATTTCTTTTAGCTGTTCCAAGTGCAGGTCGTCATTCAGCACGCGTTGGTGGAAAAACGACGTTAAACACCGAAACATCAACTACAAATAAAAAAACTAATTTAGGAAGAGAAAAAACTGATGAGAAAATGAAATCATCATCCGCTCGGTCACCATCGATGGTAGAGACACAAGGTAATTTCTAAAATATAATGCTAAATAATATAATTTTCTTAAATTTTTTTATAAGAAACAATATCTGATATATTGACTCGTGAATTAAGTATAAATGAAATGCACTCGATTACTAATATTCAAAAATGTATCCGAGGATATTTACAACGTCGTATGATGCAAGCGCGTACAGTTGGTACGGAGAAAAATTTATTTATTCAACGTCTATTACAATCAACTATGTCAATATTAAAACTTGATTCAATGAAATCAGCTTCAATACTTTTTAAGTAAATTTTTATTTGAATTTTTTTGATATTATTTATTTTTGTACGAAGGAGTTTTCTATCGATTAAACCACAATTAACTCAATGTTTTTCATTTCGTAATGATGATTGGAATATGATAAATTATCGAGATTATAATGGAACATATCAAGAACAACCGGCAAATACTTGGTTTGTTCTCTTTCGGTATAATAAATAACAACAAAATTGAATTCTATTTATTAATACAAAACTTTATATTTTAGAGAAATATTTCATGCTACTACAGAAAATACAATTGTTGCTAAATTTCATTCACATTTATCAAATTCTATTTTACGTGTTATTAATAATGATACATATGAAGAAATGTCACTTGTATTCAATCGATTAGCACCAAGTATATTTACTAAAAATCAAGTAAATTATTTTCTTTCAAAAAGGAATAAGTTTTTTTTCTCATGTATACATAAGTTAATAGAATGGTTATACATTCTTTGCTGAAGGAATATCACAAGATCAATCAATATCAAATGGTCGTTTTCGTCTTCGTTTAATAACATCATATACACAATTACCTGAAATACGTAACGATCAATTAACATCGATATTTACTACAAAGGAAATTATGGATTATTATATACCAAATAGAGAACAAATTATATGCAGGTTAGAATAAGTAATTTTATTTGAAGAAACTTTTAGGGATTCCAGAATTTTTCCAATAAGATTTTCACCAGTGTCATTACAGTTGGCGAAAACGCACTGTACTTTCGCCAACAAACCCCTACTCATTCGTCAATGGTCAAATTCTATAAAAAATATTTTTATTTAGATATCGTGTAATTTTTGCTGAAGATATTAATCAAACTGGTCGAAATTTTCATTTAGCTAGTATTCATTTTAATACATCGAAATCTGATGTTCTACTGCGTTTAACTGTTTTCGATAATGATGAAGAAATTGTTAGTATTGAAGGAAAAGGTTGTCTTGTTTTACCAGCAATATTATTTATGCGTCATGTTACGCATATTGTACAACAGCAACAACAACAACAACAACTACAACCACAACCACCATCGAGACCAACATCAAGAACAGGAGGAGGAGGAGGTTGAAATTTTTAATTATGATATTTTACCGATTATTCTTTTATCAATTTAGGAATACGGAAAAAAGATCGAGGAAGTATCAGTGATTTATCAACAGTGAATAGTAATACTCGATTAGAGAAAGAAAAATCTGTAACTTTAGATGTATTATAAATATATATATATTTTTTTGTTTGAAAAATCTTCTATTATTATAATATTTAGAGATCAGAGAGTCGAATAGAATTTCTACCAGGAAATGTTGAAGAAAAAGTAAAATGATTTATTTAACTAAAATGTTTTTTCTAATGCATCTTCTAGAATCATAAATATATTATTCAAGTAACACTTCTTCGTCAATCATGGCCATTAACACCAACTCAATGGCAATTCGTTGAACAACTTAAAGAACAAGAAAAAAATGAATTAAAAGGTAGATAAAAAATTTGGTTATTTAAAACTTTCTATTTATTTTTCAAAAATAGTTTTTAATCGACCACCGTCACCAATTAAAATTGAGGTAGTACCATCTAATACGCCACCAACAACTAAAAAAACAGGACAAACAAATCCTAGTACACCATCAACAACTGGCAAAAATCGAGGTAAAGATACGCCAGCTGTTAAAACTAATACAACAACTACAGTTCTACCAAGTACCGCAAAAATAAATACAGACAAAATAATTGATAAAAGTAAACCTCATTGGATATTACAAGTCATATCCGATGGAGATAAATCGGTAGGAAATTTATAAATTTAAAAAAATGATAATCTTCATTTTTTCTATTAGGAAGAATTAACTATTAAAAAAGATACTGAACGAAATGACGAGTTTATGAATATAAAAAAAGCATGGGAAACAGTACAAGTTGGACGAGCTGAAAAAGCTATGCGTACAAGACAAAAATTTCTTGATTCTTTACAAGTGAAAAATGATGAACAACCTTTACCTAATGTAATTGATGATACAAAAATTCTACCTGCGATTCATACTGATGAAGAAACAATTCGAACGCATACTGCTCCAATAATTGAACAACAGCAAACTATTAAACAGATTTCACATTCAAAGAAAAATTCTTTAACAATAAAAAAAGGATCTATTAAAGATGATATACAGAAAATAACTGAATTAATACCAATAGTATTACCATCAAAACCACAAATTGATGAACCTCTTCTCAATGAACCTCCACAAAATAAACCTAAAATTACTTTACCATTATTGGATATTAAACCTTTTCTGAAGTAATTTAATTTATAGCAAAAAAAATATAATTATCCTTTTCTTTTAGACAGAAATTATTTTCAAACGAACCAATTATATCAGATTCATTCTTTGAACAAAAAAATTTCGAACGTCGTCAAAATCTTTTCAGTGAATATTCCAAATCGATAAATGAAATTCGTTTAAATCGTGAAGATGATCAAAATAATCGTCACAAAGAAAAACTTCGTCAAATAGAAGAATATTCTAATTTACAAGCTAAAATTGATCAAACACGTCGTACTATGAATGAATCACATGAAGCATTTCGACAACGATTTCTTGAACTTGAACAAAAACGTATTCAACAAATAACTGAAAAAGAAGAAAATTTAATCAAACCAAAACCAGTTATAACGACTAAGACAAAAAAATAATATTATTCATAAAATAACAATTACTGTTTTTTTTTCCTACGTAATAAATATATTAATATACAATTTAAGTACATGAATTTTAATTATTTTACAAGTGTTTTTGAAGCAAAAACTTCGCTTGTTATTTATTTTGTATTGATGCTAGCAAAAAAAGAAACCCAGAATAATTCTCACGAATAGATCTTACTCACATAAAATTTTGTTGATAGAGAAATTGTCTGAAGTTTATTTTTTCAAGACAAAATAAAAAAAAACTTCAATATTTTTCTTATCAATAAAACTAATCTGTTTAAACAAATATCCGTTGTATAGACAACACTATAATAGGCAAATACTTCTTTGATTATGCTATAACGGTGTGATTAATCAAGTAGTTTCATATTAAAGGCTGCGTTATTTGATGATATCGTATCATATTCCATATTGAATACTTATGAAATTTTTTCTTTTTTTTTTATAGACGCTAAGCAATAATATTTATTTTCTTTTTAATAAATATATAACGACGATTTAAATTATTTTTCTTTTACTTTTTGATCTTTTCAAATGTCACAAAAATAACAAAAATTTCTTCTATACTTGATGTTAATGAATAAGTAGATTATAAAAAAAAGAAACTTAACTCTAGTGCAATAAATACGAATGCTTGAAAAGTAAATATTTTTTTCCTTTTAATTCAATTGTATATTGACCTATGAATTGAAGTACTTCAATGAATTGAATATATATTTCTTTTTTCGGTTAGTACGAATGTCGAATATACTAATCCACAATTTCGTTCTGCTTGACTCCATTTTTTTTTCTTGTAATGAATTGCCTTGAACTATATACACATGAATAATATTGAAGGATTTTTTATTTTACAACTATCGTCTGTAATCAGTCATATGGAATTAATACGCTGAAAAATTATATGTATATCGAGTTTAATCAATAGTTATTCGTTATCATGAGTTCTTTCTTTACTTTCTTTATTGTACAAAACATAGTCGTATATGTCTCGAAAATGAAGTATAAACTAAATCAACACGATTAAATTTCTTCTTTTAAGATTAAAAGAAAATTTCGTTATTTTTATATATGTGTAGTTTACTTGATTTATATATACAACAGTCATTACGATAGAATTTATGTTGTAAAAGATTGTTATCGTAGTAAAAAGAAAACGAAATAATACATAGAATACTCATATGAATAGTAAAGACATATACTAATACCTTTTTATTATCAACATGCTTGATACCGAGAAAAGAGTAATTCAAAACCGTTTACATATATTCTCTCTCGTTTTCTTTTTTTTTCTATTCCAATCTAATTCGATACATTTTATTTTAAGTTTATAAAACTTATTATAACAGTAGGAGGTAATAAAAATGAAACTGATTGTCAGAATCTTCAAATAGGTATTGATTCATACTAAAAGACGAAGAAGAAGAATGTTGTGGGAAGGCCAAAGAAGAGAAAAAAAACAATTTGCATAGCAATACAACGAATCTTACTATCGTAAATATTTCACTGTAAAGCAGAATGAATAAACAATATACTTATGTATACGAAATGAAACATCGGGGGATTATAATTTATCAAAAGGTGATTCATCCCTATCTATATATAGAATGACATATTGTTGAAATTTTTCATTAGTACGATCTTTTTCTTTAGTAGAAGAATCGTATATTATCAACTTTCTTTTTTAATATTTGCTTCCGTTTTTTTGTACCTTCTTTTTCTTTTTTTTTTTTCTTGAGTCGTAAATATTCATACATATATAAGAACAGAAGAGAGAACGAGAGAGAGAAAAGAAGAGGTTATGTGAAGAAATCTTTCATAGAGTAAATACGACATAAGACTTAAAAAAAAATAAGAACGACGCCATTTTGTCATCATTATGTTAGCAAATCACTTAACCTGAGCGACAAAAAAAAAGTGCTTACGCGTGTCTAATTGTATGCATAATATATATATAGAATTTTTCATCCAAGTGTGAGTAATAGAAGTATATAAAGATACACATCTATGTTAATCATTTCTAGTTTTATTCATTATAATAGGTGAAAAAGTATTATTTATATATTAAAAATGTCCGCAACTGTATTTACTGACAGAAATTCTACGGCTACTCAAACACGTCGTACTCCAACAAGAAATGAAGATATTGGAACGAATTCACAACGTAATACAAATCATCGAAGTTTAAGTGGTAAATTTCGAAATTTATTTCGAAAGAATTCAGCTTCACCTAATCGTACGATTAGTAATGATGATTTTCTACCACCTCGAACACCACTTACACCACCACCGCCATTACCACGATCACGTCAAAGATCTCCATCACCTGAACCATTACGTGCATCTACGGAAGCACCTCATCTTCGTGCACCTATTGTTGAATGGCCATTTGGAAAGAAAAAACCGAAGGCACCATCAGACACAATAAGTAGTACAAAGAAACCAAAAAATAGTCGAAAATCTAAGAAGAATGCAATACCAATGGTAGAAATTTCTAATCCAGTTTATGTCCCAGAAAATCAAACATCAATACGTGGTCATAATTTTGTTCCACGAACACCAGAACTTGCACATGGTGGTACTGGACGAACTCTATCATCATCAAGTTATGAAACACCAACAAAAGGTTTTCGTGATTTTACCATTATTGATACTTCAAAATCATCTCAACAGGTAAAATTATAGATTGATGAATCAGTTTTTTTTTCGTATTATCAGGATTATCTTTCATTTCTATGAATCATATTCACTATTAATAATTCATTGTTTGTCAAAAGATATCCTATTTGTCATTGTCTTTTGATTCACCAATATTGCCCTTTTGACATGACATTTACACGAATAAAACAATTAATCAGATAGAGAGAAAGATTAGTTGAGAGTTGACAAAAAAAACATTTGATCTGTTTGTTTAATACAAATTATAAGAATATATATAATTATTCAAGTTATTTTTTTTCTTTGTTTTTAGGTTGATCTACCTAATGTTGATGTGGTAACACAGCCATATATATCAGATTATCGTCATTCACCATCACCAAATCATCAACGTTTACCTTATACAAATTTTGAATATTCCAATCATCATCATGATACTTCTATACCAACACGAACAATATCAGACATTAATATCATTCCTACACCACCACCACAACATCGTAAAATTGATAGTGCTCTACACAGTTTAGCCGAAAACACTCCAATACTTCCTCAAACTTCTTCTACTCTTCCTTCATCACTAACTTTTACAACGAATTCAAATCAATGGAAAGGTACATCAACTTCATCTCTCAATAATAGTGAGATACGTTCAACAATACCACCACCAATAGATGTTGATATACCAAAATTACATACACCATTAGTACCTCTAGGTGTCAATACAACTAAACGAGAACCAAAACAAACTAATTTACCATTTCATTATAATGATCCATATAATTCAACATCGACGATTAACAAATTAAATCAACCATATATAGGCACATATACTTCAGTGCCTGACACAGAAAGTATACATAATGGTAATTCAATATCATCGAGACCAATTCAATATAATAGTAAATTATTACTTGAATTTATTTTAATACAAAAAAAAATTTTCTTTTTTTCTTTTAGCTAGTACATATCCTGGATTAAGTGCGATTGTTGAACATCATATACATCCAAATCATAACTATTATCGTGAACATCCATCAATCATAACAAAAAATCCATCACAATCAACAAATCGCTTTGAAACATCAACTGAAACTTATAATGATTATAATCAATGGTCTCCTAATACAACAAAATATCCACGATCCCCTTCTCCTTCTGATGGTTATATTCGACCATTAACACCACCAAAACCTTCTGTACATCCAGATGTTAGTGTTATCTATGTTGATCTTGATGATTTACGATCACCATCTCGAACATCACATCATACTTCATCAGAAATTCCAGTAACATATCGTAGTTCAGCAACAATCTATACGAAAAATAAAAATAATCTTACAAATGGTGGTGAACTTCGAACATGGAGTGTTCGTGATAGTGATGATGATAATAATAAAACTCGTAAAACATCTTCAACATCAATATTTATTGAACCTACAAACAATGATCATCAAATTGTACCAATAAAAACTTCAACTGAACTGCCATATACTTCAAAAATTTATGAACAAGAAATAAATAAACAAAATGATAAAAAAGATGAAAAATATCAATATACATATGGATATAACCAAACTCAACAATATTCATATGATACACGATACTATTCAAGTAGTCGATATTCTGGTACGAAAATCAAATATCTATATATTTTGTATATCTAAAAGAAAACTTTCTTTTTATTTTAATAGATAATCTTAATTCAACTTTAACACGACCATTAACAACTGCTGAACGAGATAGTATCTATGATCAATCGATTCATTCATATAAAGATACTGGATATATACAGGGTAACAATACAGTAGACTTTTAACATTAAACAACTATTTTTTTTAAACGAACAAATTATCATCATGTTTTCTTTTTTTGGAGGAATATTTGTAAATTTTTATTTCATACGTATATCTATATTTTAATACATATATCAGTCTAAAAAGACTACTTTTCTAACAGCAAATGCTTACATATCTTTACGCCTGACAAGCTTAAATTTTTTTTTACCTGAATGCTTTTTTAATCTACATAAAAAATACGATTATTAGAATATGTTATGAATAATATACGATCAGTAGTTTTACATATTAGTCAATGACATATAAAGGTAAGTTGAGAAAAAAAAGAACCCGAAAATTTTCAATGTTTCATTGACAAAATCAAAAGTATTTTGCTAATTTTCATGAAAAGTTTATTTTTAATGGGACAAAAATTGAATTTAGTTTTATATTATTCTAGAACCTCTTAATACAACAATTCCTGTTGAAAATCCTGATCTATCACTTCGTCATTATACTTTACAACGTACAGATTCTTATCATGGTCTTGGAATTGTTATATCAACAGATGCTGAAACACGTTTAAATCATCGTATTCGTGATGTTGAACCATCATCTCCAGGTTCACGAATTGGTTTACGTAAAAATGATCGTATTGTAAATGTTAATGGTATTAATGTTGAAAATATTGAATTTGGTGATGTTCTTATACTTATTAAACAAGGTTTAACTAAAAATCATTTAGAATTTACAGTTATTAATGAAGCAGTACTTATTTAATAAAAATTAAAACAAAGAATTCTTTCTTATCTTTATATGTGTTTTTTCTATTTTTACTTCTTTTCTTTCTTTTTCTTTCTTTTGTATTTTATGATTGATGTTCACTGTAATATAATATAAGGCTAATAAAATCTATACATGAAAAAGAAAAACAATGTGTAAAACAAGATAAGCGATGACTAAAAATTAATTATTTTAGTTCAAGTATCGATTAGAAAAACAAATTTGAAGGTTTTTCTTTTTATTATTATATGTAATTTGAGTAGTTTTCTGTTTTTGTTAGAAACTAACAGATGCTATACACTGATAATGAAATAAAATGAAAAAGAAGAAAAAGCTAATTGTCCTTGTTTCGAACCTAAAATAACAATCATTGTAGTGTTGTTGTTGTTATTGTAGAGATCGAAGCTTTCATTTTTTTATTCTTGTTATTTTTCAATCAGTAGCAATGGCTGTGCTACTTGATAATCGTATGATATCTATGATTGTAAGTTTCATTTTTATAATATAGAAAAATAAAAATAAAACATCTTTAATATAGCTTACTGTTCCTCGTGTAAAAGAATTAACTACACTATCTCAATCAATTGAAAATCTTCATCAAAAATCACTTTCATCTTTTAAAAATCATAAACCTCCATCAATACCTATTTATCAAGGATCCATAATTCGTATTGAAAAACATCATGATAAACAAAATATATCGGATTTAATTGTTCGTGTACCCAATTTTCGTCATTCATCATCATCACCATCAGTTACAATTTCAACATGTCCAACTAATATTAATGAATTAAATGAAAGAGAAAGTCAACGAGAAACAAGTTTTAAACGACGTGCTCCAATCTGTCCTATTTTCAATGGTTCTCGTAATCATAGTCTTCCTTCAAATTTAGATACAACAGACACGATTAATAATTCAAATGTAAATCAAACAGAATCAAATATACGATTAACAAATACAAAACGTATAACAATTGGTTTAAAAAATCTCAGTCAGACACTTACAACTAATTGTAAATCAAAACGAACAACAACAACAACAGATATTAATGAAATAATGATTATTCCAGCTCTTCCTGATGTTGAAGTAATAACAGAAGATTTTCAAATACCTTCATCATCATCACCAAAAAGTAATACTAAAAATCAAAATTTAACATCGAAATTTCTTACACCAAAAATATTATCTATTAAACAAAAATGTTGTAAAATTAAACGAAAACAACCATCATCAAATATCATACATATTCAAACTAGTTCCGAAGATGCCACAATTGAAAATTCACAAACAGATATTAATTCAAAAGATGATGAAAACAATCACGAAGGTAAAGTAAATGCTCTATTTAAAATATAAAACTTCTTAAATCTTCAGTTAAACAAGAATCTACACAACTTAAACCTAAAATTCCAATAATTCTATTCGATTTCGAATCTTCCTCGACACATCGTTATAGTACAATTCCAGGATTTCCATTAAATTCTCATGATTTAGAAGATATTTCATCAACAAATAACATTCAAACTGATACATTTATATCTAAAGATAATCTTGATTCATCAACAGATATGCAATCATCAATTCCTAGTCATGATGATAATAATGATGAAACAGTATATGTTGTTCATCCAAATGGTGATACATATTCCGAATGTTATGAAGTTACTTATCAATTTGATCCAGAATTTCAACAATTTTTAAATAAACAGAATTATCTTACAGAGATTGAAAGTATCGTAGAATAATAAAAGTTTTATAGAATTAAATTTAATTTTCGTCTCTAGATCAATTTACTGAATATCAAGGTTTAACTAATAATTACGAACAAATTCAATCTAATAATAACGAAACAAATAGATCACAAGAAGAATCAAACGTCTATGATGATCAAACAATAAGTAGAAAGATTTTCTTTTAAATATAGTTTTTTTTATATTACTGTCTATATTTAGATAATCCATCTGGTTTATCATCTTCACAAGAAAATGAAGAACTTTTATGTCTCAATGAAGATTATACAGTTATTATACAACTTCTTAAAAATGTTTTACAATTAGAAAGAATTTCAAATAATGTTGATGAAGTTAATCAACAACTTGGTCAAATTAATCAGACAGACTAAATAAATGAATTTAAAGGATAATAATCGAAAAATATATACATGCTTATTTTAGTTTTAGTATCAATATAATTGAAGTTTTTATTATCATATTCAGTATTTTTTATAAACACAACATTAACAAATTAATCGAAGTAGCAACAAAAAAACTATCTATGAAATGTAATCAGATCTCATCATTTTAGTGAATGTTTTTTTTTGCAAAATAGAATGAAAATATTGCTTAACAAAGAAAGTTTTTCGTACTATCATCCATATCGAAACAAAAAAAGAATTATAAAATAATTAATCTACAAATGATGTTTCAATTAGATAGATTTTTATATGAAGGCAATCAATCATTTTTAATGTTACTTCATTAGACAATTACTGACATTAAGTCGACAATGCCTCTATGTACTCGAAAATCATCAATATTTTTTTGAGACTTCAGTGTGCTGTGCTTCTACCATTTAAAATTATATGAGTATGCAAGTACCCGTGATTGTTAGATAGAATAATATTAACTCGTCAAATATAATAGGCAAATCGTCAGTGTGCTTCGATACTAGTGTTTATTCATGTGCTATTATTAACAACATAATGAATAGAAAAGAAATTCAAAATAAAGATGAATTTGATAACACTTTTATGTATATATAAAAAGAGATATTTTCTAATGTATATGTTTTATTGTTCTTATCTTGAATGAGTAATTTTCTGATTATTTCAAAGTCAATTATGTATACAAAGAACATTCATTAAACTCGAGTATTTCTTTCAATTGTTCTAGATGCTCTCCGAAGAGATACAATTTGTGTTTGTCTTGTTAGTTTCTGATAGATATATATGAATAATTGTTTAAAATCTCGACGAAATGATTTTGATAAAAAAAGATAAATATAAAAAGGTACACCACTATTCACAAATAGTAATAAATATGCAATATTAAGTATAAAAGTTTCAATTTGTAAATGTAGAGCACTCTTATTTGACATTGTATAAGTAGTAATCATTGTTTCTACAAGAATTAATGGATATAGAGATGCTGTTAAAACATAAAGAAATACTTCATTAACGACAATAATTAATAGATCTCGATCTCGTTGTCGAATATTACTATTTCCATCACTTATAGTGTTTATAACTGGTTGAATACGACCATGTATTCGTTTCATATTACGATAAGTTAAATATACACATATACCCATTGTAACAGGTGGCAAGGAACCAATAAATATTATAACAAAAATGCTAAAAATTGTTGAATAAGTACCAGATGTAACACACAGTCCATTAGTGATTGTTGACATTACTGCAATATGACTCGCAAATAATGTCCAAAAAATAATTGAAAAAAGTATAAAATATTTGGCACGTTTTGGAGTACTAAATGCACGAAAATTTGCATGTTCACTTGTAATTAGATATCGATCAATACATGCAAAGACAACCATTGTCTTAGCTATTTGTCCAATAACAGTGGGAAGGTATGAACGAATTTTACATAGAAAAAATGCCCGTATTGTTCCATCCCGGTAATAAAACGGATATATTTGTACTAAACGATTAAATGTTAAATAAAAAGTATTGAATATTGCTGCACTAATTAAATACATTGAACATGTATTTTGGTGTTGTCGAAGAAAAATTATAGTAATGAATATATTACCGATATCACCAAGAATAACAACAATTGAATTTGCATAGAGAATTATTTGAGTTTGAATCGTTGCCAGAGTTGGTGATGACATATCTCGATTGATGGCAATGGTAAAATATATTACCAATGAAAGAAAAAAGGATAAAAACTAATTCTTGATAAGAAAAAAAGCAGATGAACATTAAGCATTTCTTGTAAATACGTGGATTTTTTCAAGAAGACAGGAGTTAAAGACTCATGAAGTAGAATGACAGACAGATTTCCTCGAGTTCTACCTAATAGTGCATCTTTTAATCCTTTCACTTCCGACTTTCTCTATAAAAATTCAATTTTTTATAAGTCGTGCTCGAACGCATATACACGTCGCAGGAAGCAAAAGAGCTAAGGAATGCATCTAAATATATCTTATATTTGCGTCTGTTTTTTAATTATTTATCTACCACCATAGGTAGCATTTTCATTACAAAAATAATGTCAGTTCGAGGTAAATCTCGAATTAGACATGTGTCAGCAACATCAATGAATTAAACCACAGGCTGAGTTAAATACTAACTGTTATGGATCGGCAACTGTTATAAGTAAATACTTGTCAGTATCAGTTGATACGAATCACTCTTATAAGTATTGTTGGCTAAGTTTAAAACAATTATTAATTGTACTATTAATCGGCAGTACAGTTAATACTTCATATCGACTAGTATTTAATCGTCATTCGTTTGAACTGATTACCTTCACCCTAATATGTTTAATTAGAAATTTACCTGAAATTGATAACGAGTGGTCGAAAACGTTTTGAACAGAATATTTATTTCATTTTTAACACTAAGAAGGTATGACATAAGAGAGAAAAGGTATAAGTTTAAATGAGAATTCTATTCATTTCTCGAATATACCCTCAGAAATTTTACCCTTGGTGTTTTTCAAAAATAGTAGAATAATGTTCGGTAAGTCCACAAATTCAGTTTGAACAGAAAGGCTTTCTTGTATTTTCACTATTAGAATTTCAGTTTCAAAGGTGAGATGATTATGTGTAGATTAACTTATAGATGAGAAGTTGCTCTGCATCATGAACTATTTGTGATTTTTTTGTTTTTCGAGAAAGCACAACAAGTTTTGTTTCTCTAAATACTTATTTTTGAAAAATCGACTTTTTCATCTAAGCTGCTTTATATTGAAAGAAAGTTTTAATAAAACAACTTTAATGACAACTGAGTAAAGACTACAACTTAGTTGAATATCACAGGGTTTTGGAGGAGTGTTTTGGTCTACAAAACGACGAACTCCAACAATTTTCAACATCACCGAAATGAAACTTTTAAGGTAGACAAAAGTATGTTGTTCACCATTCAAAAAAATTGTTAATCTTTTAGGCTCTTCAAAAAGTTACTCACTGTTCTTGAACAAAAACAGATATAACATATCTCAATCCGTATTCATAGAGAGCACAAGATTGTGATCGTCAATTATACTTTTTTGCTGGTCAAAAATGAATAAACATTTTGTCGAACAAATATTCGATCACCCGTTATTTCTCAATGTTAAACTACTTAATAAAATAACTTGAGATAATTACTTGTACGTATTCAAAAATGATTTACAGTAATCTCTTACAAATGATGACCTATATAAATAATTACCAGCAACAATTGAAAGTAATAAATCTTCACATGATCATTTACTTTCACTTTATTTTATTCACATATTTCCTCTATGATCATACTACCATCAAATCAATATATATATTAGCGAGAATATTTATTTTCAATATATATATGCAAACAACAAATAACAATACAAACAATATTTAGAAAATAAAATAAAATAATTTTTATTAAACTCAAGTGTTTCTTTTTACTGTTGCAGTTGATCCACGGAGGCTCACAACTTATGTTTGTCTTATTAGTTTTCGATAGATATATATGAATAATTGTTTAAAATCTCGACGAAATGATTTTGATAAAATAAGATAAATATAACAAGCTGCAGCACTATTCACAGATAATAATAAAAATGACATAAAAAGTAGAAAATTCTCAATTTGTAAATGCTGAGCACTTTTACTTGATATTGTATTATTACTAATTATTGTTTCTATAAGTACTATTGGATATAAAGATGCTGTTAAAACATAAATACATATTTCATACATAACAATAATTAATAAATCTCGATCTCGTTGTCGAATATTAACGTTTCCTTCATTTGTATTATTTACAGCTGGTTGAATACGAAGACGTAGTCGCCTCATGTTACGATATGTTAAATAACCACATATACCCATTGTAATAGGTGGAGCGGAACCAATAACTATAATAGTAAAAATGCTGTAAATTGTTGCATAAACACCAAATGTACCACATTGTCCATTAATAATTGTTGTTCCGACTGCAATATGACTTGAAACCAATGACCAAAAAATAATTGAAAGAACTATGAGATATTTTGCACGTTTTGGAGTACTTAATGCTCGAAAAGTAACGCGATTACTTGTAATTAGATACCGATCAATACATGCAAAAACAATCATTGTCTTAGCTACCTGTCCAAACACAGTTGGAAGATATGCACGAATTTTACATAAAAAGAATGCTCGTGCTGTTTCATCCAGATAATAAAACGGAAAATATTGTAAGATACGATTAAATCCTAAATAAAAAGTATTGAATATTGCTGCAGTAACTAGATACATTGAACATGCATTTTGGTGTTGTCGAGTAAAAATTATAGTAACAAATATATTACCGATACCACCTAAAATCGCAACAGTTGGATTTGCATAGAAATTCAATTGCGTTTGAATCGCTGTCAGAGTTCGTGATGACATATCTAGCTTGATGAAAATGGTTCAGTATATTACGGATAAAAGTGGAAGAAGTAAAAACTAATTCTTGGTAAAAACAAAAAGAAAATAAATATTAAATGAAGGATTTTCACTCGAAGACATTCATTATATTTAAAATATCAGCAAAATTAACGAATGCATGGAATAATATAGCTGAAAGTATGTTTAATATTATGATGAGAGATATATTGTTTAATTTAAAAAATATTGTTTGAAGAGTGCACGTAAATTAACTCTATTTTTACTTCTGTTTTTTTATTTTTGTTTCAAGTATTTATTTGCAACCTTAAATTAGCATTGTCTATTAAAAAGATGATGTCAGTTTGAGAAAAATCTTGAATTAGAGATGCAATCGTGATGTTGACTGGCTGAACCATATATTGAATTAAACATTAACTGGTATGAATCGGCGACCGTTATGAGTGAATACTTGTCAGTATCGACTGGTACGAGTTACTCTTAAAAATATTATTGACTACATTTGAAACAAATATCAGTTGTACTGTTTACCGTAATATGGTTTGATATTTGATGAAAACATCGATTTTCTTACATAGTGATTATTTTATACTATGAATCACGTTCATAACTATTGAAGGAATCAGGTTGAACTCAAATCTTTTGAGAGCATTTATGAGAGTACTGTGTAGTATCTACAGGCAAAATTTTATTGAAATCGTAGGGAAACACCTACAAAAATTCTGGTGTTAATTATAGATTGAGTTAATGAGAATAATAACCGTCAGCAAATGTAAATCTTGGTTCAGTCAGTCTACGAAATCAGTAAGAAGATATTGGTCACGCTATGCTAGTTCGACCAAGCACAATGAGTTATTACGAAACCGTTGAAAAAGATGAGGAATCACAGTGATGATTGAAATAAATATAAAAAAACGAAAAAAAGTTGGAAATTGTAAGTCGAAAAAGGAAATTATTTCTCAGTTAGAGGTGTTTATGCTTAAATATTCTATCTTGCTCATTGTTTAATTGTTGCATAATCAAAAATAGGTCCGGTATACCGCTTTCAACTTCCTACATCTAGCCATTTGTTTACACAAGCGCACAGACCATTAATAATCATAATCGTCAACTGGAAATAATTATTTTTAGAGATGGTTCGAAGCAGCTAACACGAAAGCAATGTCATGATTTTATTTAGAAAAAGATGACATTTTTTTTCTAACAGAATAAAATGAAAATTTCCCTTGATTGTGGAGGAGGGTATATTCCTTGCATTTCCTCGATCGTACTATCCGTGGTTAATTAGTATGATGCATACATAATTGGTAATTTATTGAATTTAATATTTTGCATGATATTCTATAAAAAGTTACCCACAACTTTTGCTTTAACTAACTAGGGGACTACCCGAGGCGATTCCATGGGGGAAGGAGCGGAATCCGGATTTCCAAGGACTCCAAAAACACGTTCTGAGGATTCCCGAGGATTTCATAAAATCGTTTTAGTTTCCAGGATTCCAGATTCCGCTCTTTCCCCCTTGATGAAATGTAGGTAATACTGAATCTTGTTATACTTGAACAGAAATTTTAACTGCTAACGTTTGTTAGTTGTAAACTTTATCGAATATTTTTATGAAATAACAAAAAACAATTTTTATGTTGCTTTACACAAAAAGAAATAGAGATGTAGTATTTAGAATAAGACAAGAAGAAAATGGAAGATATGAAGACAGTGTCTGTAATATAAATACCACAAAATTTCTCTAGAATATCCTGTTGAAACTGCTTTCATGAGATCGCACACCACTTTTTGTGAATTTTACTTTAAAAAAAATCAAAAGCAGGTGTAGTTTTTTTTATACCATCGTAAAAAAAAAGTTAAAAAAAAAAGAGTTTTGTTTTTTTTTCACTTTGTTTTTGAAAAAAGAAGAGCAATATCAATAATAGTAAAACGGATAAAAGGACAATCATAATAATAATAAAAAGGGTAAGAGGACAAAAATAATAATAATAAAAAGGATAATGAATGCGTGTATACTTCGATAAGGGCCCGAGGGCGAATGATCATGTGATTACATTCATATGATGTGGCACCTGCACATCATGTGTCCTTTCTCTATTGGAGGATCCTGAATGTCCTGAGTACTATATAAGGGACAAGGAATATTCAGTAGATATGCGATTTCTTGAATAAAATCTACATAGTCACTACCATACTCCAGCGGAGAAATCGTCACAGCTAGTCACCAACTGTCTAGTTTTTCTTGAGCAAACATAATGATGGTATTTGAAGACTCAAAGCCAGTACTGGGATGCTTCAAATATAAGACTCGAGTCTTCAGCAGCTTTTTGTAGTGCTCATCGTTTTAAATCATTGTCACGAGCAGGTAAAACATTATCTCGAACTTCTTCGAACATACTATATACAAAATCATCAATGGTTTATAACTTTTCTCGTTTAGTACCATCTTGTTCAACATAGTGACGAAAACGAGTAATATACTATCGATGAGGAATAGATTTGAACCGACGTTGAGTAGACCTTCATATATATATACATGATAAATTAAACTTATACTATTTATAAGGAACAGTATTCTTACAGTTCTATTATTAGAGAGTTTGACATTAATATACATTTTTGGTTATCTCTAGATTTCACTGGTTTATTCTGTTTATAAAGAAAATTTCATTTTCTCCTACAATACAAATTGTGTTATAATCAAAATGGTTTATCAACAACAAACAATAGTTTTTATTTGTGTTACAATGATTATTATGATCATGAATTGTTTAACAATCAGTGCAACACCGGTTCATTCAAATAATAACATCAAAAAAGGACAGGCAAATGATGGTAAGTTATTAAGAATGCGTTTGTCAGGATTTTATGCTGAGAATTCTTTTTTTTCTCATATCTTACCTAATTAAGAGAATATTTGATAAAGTATACAACTATCTTGAGGGTGTGGGTTTGGATGCCTCTCTGTTATTCAGCTACATTCACCTCAGTGAAATTTATCGAAGACAACTATCGTTATATGTATGAGAAATAATAGCGAGATGAAAGACAAGATATATAATTATCAATATGATGAGTGTACTCTCAGAAACAAATAGAAGTTATGAAAAATCTTTAAAGATTCTTCAAAATTTTCTAATGAAATAATTCAATAAAAAAGAATCGTTTTGAAGAACTAGTATTATTCTAGACACAAAGTTTAATGTGAAACTATTTTTTAACTAAAATAATAAACTCTTTCGAAGGTATATGATATATATATATATTTGTTTATTTATTTTTTAAGGTCATCCGACGGGACACCGAGCAACAAGACAAATGTAAAATATGTTTTATAATTTTTTTGATAGAACAAGTATATTGAGATAGACTTCTCACTATTTTTATTATATATATCAGACTAGTATTGTATTGGTCTTAGTTGTGAATGAAATTCTATCATTAGTATGACTTAGAATATTAATGAATTCACTATGATCATGAACAATGATAGAACTAATACAACTAGACAACCTAGCGTATTCTATAATATGTAAAATAATATAACAGAAAACTCTGAAAAGTTCTTCCCTTTGATATACATATAGAGTGAACTCATTATATGAAAATCAACGTAGCCGTTATTTACTCTTCAATTACCAATGAAGAAAAAGCCATCTACACTATAGAATTCAGGATACTTATATACTGAAGCAATTTCTAGTAAAGTAATTTGGTATCAGTATGTCACATAGAATCTTCGTCCGATACCCTTCTAGTAATTATTTTTATATCTAAAAGTTCTTACAAAATACTAGTGGTTTCATGAAGCGTTGTACATCTGTTGAAATCTACTATTTTTTGTTAGAGTTAGATGTTTTCAGTTACCTTCAAGATCGTTTGTATTTCAATAGATTAATTAATATTCTTAACATTAACATTCAAGCAAAACATGATGATAATCAAGAAATAAGTATATATAGATAATGTTTGTGCTTTTTCCTTATAGTGCATCAGATTTTGTTTGTCCAGTTGAAGATATAGCCAACACAGGCTGTGAGGGACCAAAAGATTGTCTGTATCCAAATCCAAACAATTGTGAATCATACATCCAATGCACAGTAAACGCTGATCAAGTAACCGGCACTCCCGTAGTTATGCCTTGTGCATCAGAGAATCCATCTTTACAATGGAACGATATTACAAAGGAATGTGATTATCCTGAAAATTCAACTTGTCCATCGACAAAGAAGTAATATAGGTTCATAAACCTATACTATCTTAAACTAGAAACTATTCACATAATATATCTATATAGTTTACACAAAAACTTATATTATGATCAATTTTTTTTTTAATTTCTAAAGATTTTTTTCTTCTTCAAATAAATACGAAAATAATAAAGAAACAAAAGATGTTTGTGCAATCTCTAAGAAATTAAAATGCAGAACACAAACTAACTGGTGTAACTTGCATAGGAAAGATATATTAATTCAATAGCTTTATAATTCAATTTGAGATGATTCATTCTAATTAAATTTTCAGAACTGATTGAAAACAATATTTTAAATAATAAAAAATTCTGTTTCTCTATGTTGGAGAATTATTAAATAATATATGATCACGAATAGTAAGTATGAATTAGTGTCTTAAAACTCTATTTGATTTCAAATTGAAAGATACATATAACAGGTCTTAGAGATTCCTGCTATTCATATCATTATATATAGTCTGAATTCTACTCTTTTTGTTAGGAGGTGGGCTTACGAGGGTTCTTTTACTTATATCAAACCTTACTCACAAAAACGTGGAGTATAGAATATGTATATATTGATATAAATAGAGAGATCTTCGTGTTTCTCTAGACTCACATCTTAAATAAAAGCGGTAGAATAGTAAAGTGTTTTCGATGATAAAAATTAAGAAATCTAGAATATTAGCAATAGATAAAGTTATCAAGACATTGAGCTAGTGTAGGAGTGTTGTACTTATTCGAAGGTATTTTTATTGTTCAGCCTTTCTGCACAATGTTGTAAAAAATGCATCTTATCTCTACATATTTTGGAAAAGGCCATAGACTTAACTTAAAACTATTCCTGGTGTCCCAACCATTATTAATTTCAAGTGAGAATCAATTCTAGGTCTTACAATGTTTGTCAGGCATCTGTTTCAAGATATTCATTCAGATTTTAGTAGGCTCGCAAAAGTTATTCAGTTTTCTATTTTGTATCAAACAAACTACATAATATATCTTCATCATATAAGTAGTTTATTCTTCGCTATTAAATCACATAATTGTTTGATTGAGATGCGTATTAATATGAGACTTTTAACAATCTTTTGTAAAAATCATGATTATTTCTTGTGTACTATAATGTATGTCTGTTATATTACATTCTATAACGTGACATAACGATATTTTGACTCTTTCTTTGTTAGTAATCACTTCTCGTAGACTGTTTAATATGGCGTGAAATGAATGCAATACTTTTCAACTCACATTTGTATTACCGTAAAAAATGCATGTCAGGTTTTATTTGTTACAAAAAATTGTCACAGAACTAATAGTAAGAGCACTATAACATTCATGGCAAATAGGAATTAAAAATTTTTCTTAATTAGCGTATCACTTTCAAAATTTAAATAATGATGCCCATGAAAACAGGCAAAATCTAAATAATAAAATAATCGAATCAGTTCTTTAGTTATTACTCATACTGTCCTATGCCTATAGTTCATTCAATATCCATTATTTTAATTGTAATTCAATTCAGTACAAGATATAGTTCAAATTTTTTTAAATGTTTCTAAGAATATTTATTCAAGTAATTTTTCACAATCCCACTTGAGAAAAGATATGAGTAAAATCAATTTTTGTGATTTGTTTTCATTATCCTTATTTTTAATTATTGGCCTTAAACGATATTCTTTAATTGATGATGGTATTAAAAATGTTTCGATATAATTATATTGTCGTATTTGTTTTTGATGATTATTATTATCAATTGAATTGTATTGTATTTCAATAGCATCACCTTGAACTAACATACATAAATGAAAACGATTTTCTGTTAATCGAAATATTTCAATATTTTCATTTGGTTCAATAACAAGACGTTGGACATCAAAAATATGTAAATTATGTGTTGGTAAATGTTGTTCTTCATATTTATCTTGTTCAATTTTAATCGTTATTGGTTGACATTGAAGTTGTTCATTTTGTTGATTAAATTTTAAATTTTTCATTCCATGTTCAATATTTAAAATTTGTGAATGACCATCAAAATTCGATCTTAACCAATCATATAATTTAAATGTATATAGATAGGGTGTAGAAGATATTTCAAGTACAACTTGATTACGACCAGATGCATGAATTGTTTCATTTGGTATTAAAAAATAATCATGAATATGTGTTGGAATACATTGAATATATTTATCAATATTTAAATATTCTTTTTTGATTTCACTTAGTATTAAATCATGATGAAATTCTTCTGAATTGATATTTTTATGAAAATCAAGATAAATATAAGCTGATGATGATTTATCATTTTGATATTCTTCTTTCCAATGTTGTTTAGTTTCAATTATATAATATGTTTCATCTTGTGGTAATTTTTCACCAAAATTTGTACGCATATATTGAAGATTTGGGGTACATTGTAATGATAAATTTCCTCCATCTATCGTATCAAGAAAATTAAATCGTATTGGAAAATCATTTGAACCATTAAATAATCGACAATGTATATCATTTCCTAAGATTTTATCAAATTGTGAACCATAAAAAATATCCCATGAAAGTTCAATAAGATGATTATATTTATCGGATAGAATTAAACCATTTTCCGATGTAATCATTTCATATGACCATGCATAATTTTTTGCATGTTTAGAAATATTTTCACAAACAGTTTTTAACCATTGACCACCCCACGAACCTGATTGAAACCAAGGTCGTACACGAAGTGGTTCATTAGCTATATGTTTAAGTGCTTGTCGAAATGAATTACCATCAATCCATGTTGGACAATTAGGTCGTTGACCATCAATAAAATAATTTATACGAGGTAGAAGTTCTTGTTTAAGTTTATTAAATATTGGATAATCAAGAAAATAAAGACATTTTTGTTCATACATTGTTGATGTTAATTGATTATCATGAGGTGTAAATTTTTCTGTTGGTTTTAAATAAGAAAATGATGTTTCTGTTGCAACACGATAATAAAGTTCATTTTTAGCTAAATCAATATAAATCAATGGTAATGTTTCATTAATATATGATGAACCTGGTCCAATAATAATACATGGATATGAAAGATTATTTTTTAAGAAATTTAATTTTTTTAAATCAAGAAAATCTTTTTGAAAATCTAAATCTGAAGCTACTCTACCAAATAATGATTGTGGATCTTGAAGATAGATTTGTCGTTGAAGATTTGAATCTGTTTGTAAAAATGCTCGACTATCATAAAATAATAATGATGATGATGATAATGAAGATTTTTTTCCTTTCTTTTTTTCTCTATAATATTTATTTATTTGTTGAGCATATTCATTAAAATATGTTCCAACAAAACCATCAATTAATAAGATTTTCTTTTCTTCAATTAAATCAAATAATTTTTCATTTAATGTTCGATGACCAATACCAATAGAACCTGATGGAATTTGATGTGAAGGATAAATATCATACTTTGATGTATCAATTGTTTTAACAACAGGTAAAAGTGGTTGATGAATTTGTCGAGAAAAATGTTTTGGTGATTCTAATGATTGTTGTTGAACAGCACCAAGACATACTGATTTACCTTGTGAAAGGCTAAAATAAACTTGAACTTGAGAGAATTTTTGTATTGTAAGATTAAGTTCATCTTCAAGTAAATACCAAACTTGTGAAAGATTACCACTAATAATAATAAGTTGAGCATGAAATGCATTTATATATGGGATAAGAAATTGTCCTAATAAACGCGCAAATATTTGGAATGCTTTTATTGCAATTGGATCACCATTTGATGCTCGTCGTGCAAGATATTGTTCATTTATTGATAAATTATCGTCATATTGTTGTTGTTCATCAGTTGATAATGTCATACTACTTGTACCTGAACTATCATCAGGTGATTCGGATCGAAGAAGTTTTTTATAAACATTAATTAATCCACGAACAGAAAACCAATCATCAGCTATAGAATTTTGATCATAAGGACAATTCCATAAAACACCATTTAATGGAACATCTTCTCGATTTGTAATAATTTCTCCTTGATCAATAAATACTGAACCAAAACTTAAACCTAATGTTAAAGCAAGAATACGTTTATAATCTTGATTATAATCATTAATTGCTTCTCCTAAACCAAGACATGTTGCATCATTATAAAATGAAATAGGTACACGACCTAATTGTTCAATAATTGTCCATAATTTTGAAGTAAAACGATTTAATAATTCAGGTTTTTCTGATGACTTTGATTCAACATCATGAAAATATGTTTCACGACGTGAACGTGGTATTATTGAAGCACATTCTTCATCATTATAAAAATCTTCATCATTATCGTGTCGACCACAATAATCTAAAATATTTGAATTCTTAAAATTTTTTTCTCGAATATCTTCTAATGTTGCTGATAATATATTTAAAGTAATTGGTATTTGTGGTGTTATTGGTGATGTGATTGTCATTTTTCGTGTTTTTTGTCCTTGCTGTAAATTATCAAAAATTGATAGTTTTTTATGTAATGATACGGTTGATTTTGCATGATATTTATCATAGTAATCATATTTCCAACGAGCAATAAGATCTTTAATACCATTTTCAAATGATAAACGTAAATTAAGACCGAAAAATTTATGAAATATCGATGATTGGGCATAACATATACCTGATTCATAGTCCATCGGTCCAGGTATACCAATAGAAATACCAATAATATTATCATTATCATGATAATGTTCGGTAAAATCAAGAAGAAGGTCATCAATACATTGTATCCAAATTGAAATAATATCTCTTGGATCAGTATCTAGATTAATTTCATATAAACGAGTAAAATATGTATCATGCTCAATTGCTAATTTTTTTTTATTTGATATTTGTTCGACACGTACCAATACTGATGTTACATGACTATCAGTTATATCCAGACCAATAACAAATGATGACATGATGTGTATATATGTATAAGAAAAAGAATTACAAATGTGTTTATGTATATGTACACACAAATTGAAAGTTTAAATAATAATAAAGTAAAAGAAGAAGAAAAAACCACCAGTAGTTTTTATCTTTTATTGATTATTTTTAATATTAGTAGAAATTTATTTTTTCTATCGTAATATGTTTTTACCAATAGGAAAATAAAATCTGTCTATATATAATTACATACCAGTCGATGTAATTGATCGGTTTTTTGTATTATAACTTTCCGTTTTCTTTTTACCTTTCTTTTTCTCTATAATATTCTCGTTTTAGTACATATATATATATACAATATTTTCATAATGATAAATGCTTTACGATTGCATTCATATTAAGTGAGGCGTATCGTTTACTTTTTTTCCTACATAGCGTGTAGATACTATCAAATAATAATTGTAACTTTCAATGTTCATTATTGATAACTACAAAGACTGCTCATGTTGTCTTTTTGACATTGATAATTGATTAACGACATCGTGTATATTGATATTGTTAAAGATATAAGAAGACGAATTATATATAAACACGAGATATAAAATATGAAAAAGACTCGAAAGATAAATAAATATCTTATCAATAATCTATGATTCATTATCATATCGTTATATATTATCATCAAAGTGTAAATATTATTCACTCCTATATATTTCATTATAAATAAATAATGAATGAATGAATAGAAACAGAAAAACAAACTGTATTATTTGACATCATCATCATCAATGATAAAGATTAAATTGAATGAATACAATATATATTCAATAAAAAATAATTCAATTTACTTATTAATTTATAAGATACTTCAATGAGATAAACACCTAATTTTCAATTTTCAATTTGTAAATTTTATAATAACAAATTATTACTGTCTGATTCTTTGCAAGAGATAATCACGTGATTAAATAAAAGGACAATAATACAATGTCGCGACTGATGAATCTATTTTTAGTACTTCTACTAATTTATAGGTAATTCCGTTGTGTAACCTTAGACGATTTGTATTAAAGAGAATAGATCATACAGTCTATTTTTAATGAGCTTCAAGTAAAAAATGATTATACTTCCTATGTATATTAAAAACCTCTTTTATGTAAAAAATGTATGCTATCATTAGTAATGATATATTTCAGGTCATTTTATATTTGAAGATATATATTCTACCTTCTCAAGTATATTAATCATTTAAATAATTAATTTTTGAAAAGGAATAATTTGTGTATTATCATTTATAACTTCTCAAATATTTATAATTATTCTTTAACATACCGCAGGATATAGAGAATTAAAACTAACATCAATTATGATGATAGACGCATCTAAATATGTCATACATAGAGCTAATGGCTTTTTAAATATATATACATAGGACATTTGTCGACATATTTTATGTAAATACAAGAAGGGTACATCTGTCCATATGGAAGTTTAGAATTATGCTGGTTTATCTATCAAATAATTATTTAGAATAAGTAAGAGTAATTCGATATTTATTTTATTTAGAAATTTTTATAAATAAATAAATCAAATATTTTTCTATTCAATAGTATAAATAAAGAAAATGAAAATAGATTCGAAAATCTATCTTATTCATGACACATACTTATTACTATTATGTAATGAAATTATTGAAAATTTATTACCAAAATTTTTATTAAATACGACTTCCTATATATTTTATCAGTATTAATAATCTAATAAAAACAAAATGTTTTTGAATACATAAAAAGCTCATAGATTCTATCAGGAAAAAGATTATATCTAATATATATTTCGTTGAATTAGTATGAAAGATGCAATTAAGAGGTCTTCATGAGTTTATCTGAAAACTCTATGAATATTTAGTAGGAATATTAAAAAAAAACATCTTTTCGGAAAATTATTTTCTATTTATTATAAAAATTCTAAAAAAATGAAACTTTTACTAATTCTTTTATTATTGTGTTTCTCTTTTATAATACATAATAAACCGATTACTCTAATACTACTATGCTGCCGTCAAAGTAATGCTTCTTCTTATTCTTCTTTTTTCTGTCATAAATAAATAATACATTTTACGACGTTATATTTCATAATAAATAAAAGTTTTTTTCGAGAATTTTTATCATATTAAAAATCAATAAATACCTAAATTTAATGAAAAAATTGTTTTCATAAACTAAAATATACACTTTTAGAAAACATCTATCTAAAAAATTAAATTGATTATGATTATTTGAAAACTTGTTTTTGTATTTTAATATATATATACAAAAACAATTATATATTTCAAGGATAATAATGACATCTATAAGTAAGATGAATTTTATTGGTTATTATCATCTTACAAAGACATAACACTATGATTGGACATTATCAATTAATGAGACAAAGAACGAAGGAATGGAATGAGGAAAAAAAATCACAATTCCAAAAAACAAAACAAATACGAAAACAATGAAAGGAAAAGAGAAAGTCTTTTCTTTTTCTTTTGTTCCTGATTTTTTTCATATTAGTATTTCCTTCGTTTTTAAATATGACTTTTCTCTACTCTATTAACCTTTTTATGTCAACCACTCGACAAACAATAGTAAGAGAAGAAGAAAAAGGCGAAGCCGAAGAACAAGAAAATCTTAGACTAAATGTAGAGACATATGATTTCAATCAGATATATCCATATTATGCTTTTTAATTACTACTCTCCCTAATTAATAAATAATCTTTGCGCTTTTTACTTTCATTAGAAGACATATTTGATATATCAAGCATCTTGTTTATATCTTATTTTATCATTTCCGTATATATTTTTTCTCTCTCTTCAATATAGAAAAAACAAATAATATCGCGCATTTTTTATCATCATCAATCTATGTTAGAAGTCTTTCGTTCTCTTCTTGTACAATAACTGTAACTCAAACTAATAATAACACATATTTCTCTTCTATCTTTTTCTGACGTTTTTTTTTATGTAATTTCTTGTCAGTTCTGTCTTTCATATACAGATACATCCACTTTGTAGTATTATCATAATCAGTGCGATAGGGCTTTCTAGGATTTATTACGAAGAAGAGAAAGAGAGACAATCATTCATCAGCCCGATAATAACAGCAACTAGCAAACAGAACTTCCTTCTCTATTCGCTTCTAAATTCTTTGGAGAGAAACGTTCTTGTTGCACTTTATCGATATAATAACGATGTTAGCAAAGCGTTAGCATTCATGCATCATCTCTGTTCAAGCTGTCGCACACGCACACATGCGCCATTCGATTCTTTTTCTTTTGGTATTTTATATGGAAATACAAACAATGTGAGTAATCATAATGATACAATGAAGAAGAAGAAAAAAAGAATACGTGTCAATATACATTATTTTTTTTACAATAGCAAATTTACACCGTTAGAAATTAGAATAAATTATTATCGGAAAATTGCCATTTGTTGTTTCTTATTTTCTTTTTCTCTATCAATAATTTCTAGCTAAATACAAAATAAAGAGTACCATTATTATCGATTGTTTTGTATAACTATAATAACCTTTCATCTCATTATGTCTCTTAGTGCGACTGCTGTTGATGATGATGATCATGATCGTTATTGCTAGTTCTTCTCTCGTTCTTTTTGGTTGATCATTTCTTCTTTTTTTCTGTTTCCTTTACGAAGATCGTTCTTTAACTTCCTTATACTATGCTGTTCTCCTTTTTTCCTTTCCTATCATCATATTGTTAGTCGACTCATTTAACAGACCATGTCGACACGCGATGAACGTCGCCTCTAGTGTATAACCATACGCATACACATTCTCTTTCTTTACATACGTGTGTATATATATATATATATATATCTTCAATATCGCGACTAAAATTTTATCCTTTATTTTTGAATGAAGAAGGTGAAAGAAAAGGTAATTTCTCGTCTCTCTCGCGTTTATGTTCAATCGAATCGAATGAAGGTGAGAAGGAGGAGTATTGAATTTATATGTATATTATTGCAGATGAAAAAACGACGACAATGTTCGAGGCCGGTCAGATAAAAACAAAATTCATTCATTGGTTTATTGTCTTAGTCAACTATCAATTCGATTAAAAATTACCAAAAATCATGTTTAAGTGTTTTCCAATTCCATTTTGTAATAGAAATGTCGAACAAATCGATAAACGTCATTGCAATTTAACAACAGTACCTGATGATATTCTACGTTATACACGTACATTAGAAGATTTATTACTTGATGCCAATCAACTTCAAGATTTGCCTAAGGTTATTATAAAAACAAACATATATCCATTACTAATACTTAGTGAATTCATCATCTTCTTCTTTTTTTTTTAATATTATATCTTAGGGGGTTTATCGTCTGACACAATTGCGCCGTTTAACATTTAGCGATAATGAAATACAATATATATCGCCTGAAATTGGACAATTAGTTAATTTAGAAGAACTTGATTGTTCAAGAAATGGTAAATATATTTTAATTGTTTTGTTTTAAAAAAAATTCGAATTATTTGGTGTTTCTTTTAGATGTTGCAGAAATTCCCGATAATATTCGACATTGCCGATCATTACAAAGACTTGATGCAAGTGGAAATCCATTAGCAAATAAGTAAATAATTGTCATTTAAAAGATTAAAATATCTTTCTTTCTTCTTTTTGTGTCTTATTAGTCTTCCACCTGGTATAATTCACCTTCGTCAATTAAGTCAGTTAACATTAAATGATGTATCACTTGCTGAACTACCAAGAGAAATCGGCAGGTAATTATCAAAGATTTAATAATACAAGTTGTTTGTTATTTATCCATTTCTTTTGATATAACAACAGTTATATCAACAAATGAATATAGACAGAAGTTATAAGTATTAATCAAATGCTCTTTCCACATGACCCCTTTTCATATCAAGATAATATCTAAGTGCATATCTGCATGAATATCACATTAAGACATAGTTTAAGATAAGAATAATTCATTGTTCTTGTCAGATTTAATAACTTAACTATAATTTTATTGGTTTTATATTGTTAGGATTAAAATCTTTTCCTTAATATTTTCTTAGTCTAGAATATCTTTAGTTAATATTTTTGAGGCTTAAGTTTCTTATCATATTACTAGTGTTCCCAAAGGTTCAAGATAAGATTATTTCATCAATCTATTTTAAATAAATAAGAACTACGGAAAACGAAGCAAAAGATTTTTCTGTAAATTCTTCTTAAGAAAAATGATGTTTTTTCTCACCACAGGAGGGATGATATGTCTTTATTTGAAGTTTATCATCCGGAATAATTCGAGACATACTATGAATTGTTTGAGTCAAATCGACCATTGATTAATTGATGCGTTATAAATTAATTATGACGATAGTTAAGAAATCTTATGCATGCTTTTTCAGCTTAATTTAAGATCTTTTTTTGTTGATATTTCAACGTAACCTAAGATCTAATTTTAGATTTGATATTTCTTCTAGTCAAAAAAAAATAAGACAAAAATTCAGACATGATATTTACTCATAAATGCTTTTGATAAAAGACAAATATAATTATTGTTATTATATTCTAAAATATTCTTTCAATTTGAGATAATTATTGTTTTTAAGATAGGTTAGACAGGATATATCGATCTTAAAAAACATTTCCGTAGTTAGTAAATTACCTTTTGTTTCTAAAGATAAAACGGAAGGAAATGTAAAGAACATCATTTATTCTAGTCTTTGCAATTTACGTGTACTTGAAGTTCGAGAAAATTTGCTCAAAATTCTACCTGATTCACTTGTACAATTAACAAAACTTGAATCTCTTGATTTGGGTTCAAATGTTATTGAACAACTTCCAAATCATATGAATAATTTACAATCATTAAAAGAATTATGGTTAGATTCAAATGAAATACTTGAATTACCATATGAAATTGGACAATTAAAACGTTTACAATGTTTAGATGTCTCAGAAAATAAATTAATTTATTTACCGAATGAAATTGGAGATTTAGAATCTTTAACAAATTTTGAATTATCATCAAATCAAATTGAACAATTACCATCAACAATTGGTAGACTTAATCAACGTTTATTAATATTAAAAATCAATTCGAACAGTTTAACAAAATTATGTGATGAAATTGGATATTGTCTAGCATTAACGGAATTAATTTTAACTGAAAATGCTCTCTCAGAATTACCCGTAACAATTGGAAATTTAAAAAATTTATCAAATTTAAATATTGATCGAAATCAATTGACACATTTACCTACTGAAGTAATAAAAAAATTTGTTTGTTTTTGGTAAAAATGCAAATATTTTTTTTGATTTTAGATTTCTGGATGTGAATCATTAGGTATGCTTAGTTTACGTGATAATCGTTTAACACATATACCATCAGAATTATCGAATTTAAAACATTTACATGTACTTGATTTATCTGGAAATCGTTTATTAAATTTACCATGTACATTACTTGAATGTGATTTAAAGGCAATATGGTTAGCAGAAAATCAAGCACAACCAATGTTAAAATTTGCTACAGATATTGATCCAACAACTGGAGAAAAAATACTTACATGTTATTTACTTCCACAACAACAATATACAACATCATCTATGGGTATGTATCGATTATCGAATGTATGCTTAGATGATGATGTTTAAATATATAACAAATTGATGATGAGTTGTTTTTCTATTGAGAGAAAAATATTTGTAAAAAAAGAAAATAAAGAAACATATTAAATCTAATCCTTTTTCTCATGATGTGATTATCCCATATAAACTCAAATGATCTGGCTAAGGGTAAATTTCTAGTTTTATCTTTAGAAAATCTATTGTTTTTGTTTTTATTATTATATTGGGCATTCTTTTCAATGGTTTATTTCCTACAAATACTCAGTGTTATTTTATTTGATTTCTTTTCGTTAATTAATATTATTTGGATATTTGCACTTTTGTGTTTTGTTAGATTTTTATTAGTTTTATTTATTTGTTTATCTATAGAAAATCTTCTTAATGCATCAAAATCACAGAATATAAATAATGAATTACCAAATAATCAATCAGAACAAGATGAAATTAATAATCATTCACCAATTGATGATCGACATGAACGTACTGGTTCCGTTAAATTTGCTGATCAATCCGATGAAGGAAAAGAAGTATGAGAAAAAAAAGTTTTTCTTTAATTTACAAAAAATATTTTTATTAAAGAGTTCATTACAACGACATAATACTCCACATCCAAAAGATTTACGAACATGGAGAAATAAAGTTGCAAAGAAATTTCATGTTACCGATGGAAATTTACTTCATCATGATCATCGTCATCCATTTCAACCAAATGCTCATCCGCAAGAACAACAAAGAAATTCTATTCAACATTCAACATCATCCGGACAATCAACATCATCAGCAAATCAACCAAATAAAACTGTTCCAGGTACAAAAAAAACATTTTCGATTTAATTTAATCAAATATTTAATTTTATTTAAGATTCAATCACTTTTGCAAAAGAATCATTTGAATATATTCCACCTGAGATATCAGATGATCGTCAACATTCAGATGTTTGTATTTTTTATTTTTTTTTCTATTTAAAGGATTTTTCTTTTATATTAGGATGAAGATGAAGATACCGGTGAACAAGCGCATTATATTGAAAAACATGTCGAATTTACAGATGACTTTAATGATAATGACGAAGAAAATGCAAAAGATCATGAATATCAACAAAAACTTCATCGACGTGATACACCACATCACTTAAAAAATAAACGAATTCTCAGTAAAAACACAGATCCAACTACATTTGATGTAAACATCTTATTTTACATAATTAGTTTTTTTTTATTTTCTATATTTTCTTTCTAGCATATCATATCACATAGTTCAACAAAATCATCGTTAACAAGTCCAGGAAAAGAAGTAATCATTTTACTTTAATGAAGTTTATTTAGGATCGAATATAGTATCGAGAGATAGAGTTTGTACTAGTTTCACTTGTCAAAATATTTACATAAAAATTCATCCTCACTAACCTTTGACGTATAAATAAATATACAGTGAAAATCATACGAGATAGTCAATGTCGTTACAATATATTCTACTGCTAGATTTGTATATCGTAATACAAGGGAATATTGTTTCCATAGATCTTTAATACTTCTACAAGATTAAAGTGTAAAATCGATTAACTATTTACTTTACCATTGTTTTTCACTATAAAATTTTAAATGACGTATGATATTTATCATCGGACATACTCAAGACTATTGAAGAAATGTATTGTGTGAAAGACACTACTCAGATGAATGAATTTACCAAGGACTTGTCACATCCGTCGACTCGACAACGTACTTAAGTGACGAAATCACTAATAAACTTGAGGATTCGAGCATAATTAATCATCACTAGATTCATAGTTTCGTAAGGTAACAATACTCATATGTTTAGACTCGATCATCATCTATACCAACCAATGGTCGACACATGACAATTCATCAAGAACAACTAACAATTTTTATTCATCGTTCATCAAATACTGGTCTTGGTATTAGTATTGCTGGTGGAATTGGTTCTACACCTTATAAAGATAATGATTATGTAAGGAAATAAAATTTTTCTTCTAGAAAAAAAAAATATTGTTTTTTCTTTTAAATTTATTCAAGGGTATATTTTTAACAAAAATCAATGAAGAAGGTCCTGCTGGTCAAGCCGGTTTACTTGTTGGTGATAAACTTTTATCGGTTAATGGAATCTCATTAATAAATTGTGAACATAGTGAAGCTGTATCTGCTTTAAAAAAAGCCGGTGATAATATTGAAATGATTATAATGCGTGAAATTTTACAATCATCTGATGATCATAATGAAAATCATTCAATAAAAGAAGGTGAAAAATTTTCAACAACAATTCAACGTGAGGATAAACAAGGTGGACATTTTGGTTTTTCTATTGCTGGTGGTAATCAAACATCCATGACAACAAATTCGACAACATTAATAAACGGATGTGAAAATTTATATATATCAAAAATTCATAAACGTGATACAAATTCATCGTTATCTGTTGGTGATCGTCTTTTATCTATTAATGGTTATGATACAGGAAATATTACTCATGATCAAGCAATTGATATTATAAATAATGGTGGAAATAATGTTGAATTAGTATGTTATCGAGAAAAATTTACGAATGGAAATTCAAATGCAATATCATCATCAACAAATATTGACAATACAGTTGAAGTTAGTTTCGAAAAATACAAATTATTTTTAATAAATAAATTATTTTTTTTAAGGAAGCACGCGTTGCGAAAGGCCATGGTCCAATGGGCTTAAGTATTGTCGGTGGTACTGATCAAGCATGTCCACCATTTGGAGTAGAACAACGTGGTGTATTTGTTTCTAAAGTAAGATATTTTAATATATTACACAAATAGAAAAAAGGCGATCCCGAGGGATTCTCGTATTTCGCCAATGTCATTATGCGATTACATATGTATAAAAATAGCTCTTAGTAATTATATTGAGGCTTTTAGACTATAATATGCTTATTCTAATAATATTAGGTTAATTTATCACATGCATTTTACACTAATCTTGTGTTATTACAGTTGGCGCATGTCCATCATAATTTCGCCCACAAACTCCCTATGCTTTCATATATCAAGAAAAAAGATTAGAACTCTTTGTAACATAAATATGAAATTAAAATCTATAGTATATTAATAATTGGAATGAATAAATCTATTTTTTTCTTCAATAGATTCTTCCGAATGGTTCAGCGTCTCGAACAAATCTTCGTATTGGTGATCGAATATTAAAAGTAAATAATCGTGATGTATCTCAAGCAACACATTTAGAAGCTGTTGAAGCTCTTCTACAACCAACTAGTGAAGTTGTTTTACTTGTACATCATGATCCACAACCGGCAGGATTAAAAGTAAATTAAAAAATAATTTTTTTGTCTTTTTCAATTATAATATTTGATGATGATTTAGGAAATAACATTAACTAGACATACAGGTGAACCACTTGGTATACGGATAAATGGAGGTGTCGATGGTAAACGTGTTAATCCAGATGATCCAGAAGATGATGGAATATTTGTTACTGAAGTCTGTTAAAGATTTTTCTTTGTTTTTCTTTTAAATAAATATTTTTCTTATTTTTTAAGGTAAAAGACGGTAGTCCAGCTTCTGGTATTCTTAGTGTTGGCACTCGTATTCTTGAGGTAAGATAAATAAGACAAAATACTTTCTTTTTTTACCTATTATCGCCATGGTCGCCTTGTTTTTTTTGCCTCATTCATACCTGTATGTATATATGTAGTAGTTTCGTGATTCTAATATATATATATAAGTTTATTTACTTATTTCCTTCACGGTGGATGATCATCACCAGATAAATCCAAAAAAATATATATACATATCTATAAATGCGGTGATGGTGGTCATTCATAATTTAATATCTGGTCATTATTTAATTTATTTTCCATATGAATTTATTCATCTTTCAAGCTGCTATTGCTTCATGTAAATTCGCCCATATATGCTTAAACCTAAAATTTCTACTTATTTGTCGAGAATAAATACTTATTCTAGGCAGTCAATAATAGATATCATAAACAATGGTGTTGTATATCCCAAAATTCTTTTTCAACAAATAGTCATACATCATCATCATTATCAACACCAATTGATGAAACAATAGGAAATTGTTATGAAACAAATCTTGATGATATTATTCATTTCAAAGGAAAATTATCATTAAAAAAAATAAAACATTTACAATCAAGTGGACATATAAGAAAAAAGAAATCGAGTCGAAAACGAACAAAACCATGTTGTTCATCGACATTATGTTCTAAAACAAATAAATTAACATTTACAAAACAAATTCTTACACCTATTGTCACAGTTAAAGATAAAACGATGACATTACCTTCACCGAATAGTACGAAATCAATACCTAGACCAAAACAATTATCAATTATTCGTCAACCTTCTTATAAATCTTTATCATTCGATCCCGTATCATCAATTTCAACACCTAAATCATTATTTATATATTCTTATACATCGTTATCAAATTATCCTATAAAATCAAATCATGAAGAAGAATGTCGTTATTGTTCTACTAAAAGTTTATTATCAATTAATTTTGATAAAATATCTCAACATTCGCTTAAACTTTTTCATGCTATCGATATGTATTTATCATCGAATTCTTCTTTAAATGATCATCAATCTGATTTATTATCGATATCATCTGAACAACATACAATATTAAACGAAACAAAACAATTAAATTTATGTGAAATTAACGAAATTATCTATGCTATACATTCGACAAGTGATAATAATGATGAACGAGATAAAACACTTGATGCATTGACATCATCTTTATTAGAAATTGCCGAAGAAATACCTATGATTATACCCGATGAAGAAACTACTATTGAGAATCGACTTGAACCACCAGTACCTCCGGGAATTGGTCAGATTTTAGTTCGAGCCGTTATGTATGAAATTGTGATGAGACTTTTTAGTTTTTATTTACTTATTCTTATATATTATTTGAGTTTATTATAAAATTTTTCATATTACATAACAACGAATGAGGCTAAAAAAAACTGAAGGCATATTTAATATTATATTTCTTCATTTATATCATATATAAAAATTTACTCTAGGTTAATAGTCAAAGTTTATTTGGTGCACGATTAGATGATGCACAAAAATGGCTTAGTATACAAAGTGACAGTATTCATTTATTAATCTGTCATGGATTTAAATCGAAAGAAGTAAAATATTCTTTTTTTTTTGTTTCATAAATAAATCTTTTGAATTTTTCTTTAGACAAATAATATAACAAGTCCAACTAAATCCTTGAAACAAATTGATAATAATCGATCGATAATAACACACCAATCTAGTTCACCAATACCACCAATTAGACATAATGGCGTATCATCACCTCATAATGCTCCACATTCACCAAAAATAATTAGTCCAGTTTATGCAAATACAATTAATCAACAAATATCTCCTCAACCACCACCTGTTCCTGCTAAACCAAAATATCGTTCACCTGTTACACAATTTGTACCAATTAATGGTGATAATAATAATAATATTAATAATAATAACAATAATAATAATAATCATTCGACAAGAAGACAATCACAAAATGGTTTTGAAATTGATGAAGTATAGAATTATATTTAAATGTGTAGAATCTTTTTAAAAAAAATATATTTCTTTTAGTCGGATTTATCAGTAACTGAATCAGAAAAATCATTTAAAGATAAGAAGAAATTTTTCGAAAGTGGATTGCAAAGTTCTGGACCAAAACCTAAACGTATGTTTACAAAAAAAAAACGTTAATTTTTAAGATTATTTTTTTTTGTTCAAATATATTTAGCTCGACAATTTAAATATATTAATGAGCATGAATTATTACATATGAAAGAAGAAGATGGTAAATATAAAAATTCTATTAAAATAAAAGAAATTAAAATTGTTGAATTTTAGAACAAAAAATTAAAATAATGAGTCCAACTGAATTACTTCAATCTAGAACACTATATGATGGAGATACTGAATTAATACAAACAACATTATCTCAATATCAAACACCAGCTTATCTTGCTAAGTAAGATATTCATTTCACATAAAAGAGATTGCACAAGTTTATGTAATGCGCTTTTTAAGCATTAGATCCAGTGTTTTATCTAGGTTTCGTTTTTCGTATAAGCGAATCGAAATTTAGGGTGGGCGGCGTCCACTCGCTGGATAAAACACTGCGTCGAGTTTATTAGAGACAAAATAATGATTTCGCCTGTGTGAGACTCGCAACCTACTTTATTAGCCTCGATACATTGTAGTGCGTAGCTCTTGAATTTTGACAATTTTATACTAGCTCGTATGAATAACGGTCGCGGGTAGTTCCAAGCGGCTTCGCAATAATCATTGGTTCAATAGTGTAAGATGATCGATCGATCCGCTTACACAAGGTAAAATTTGAATTGTAAGCTATATTTATGAAACAACAGTAATATCGATCTCAACTCATGCATATAATTAGTATCTATTTAAAGCTATATCAAAAAAATTAAAACCTCTGTATATGCAATTGATTTTGTTTAGACCGGAAGATGATCAAACAGAAGATGATATTATTCAACAACGAAATATAACATCGACTGCAAGGTAAATAAAATTTTGATTGCTTAGCTTGTATTCTAAAAAGCATGGTATGCATATATTAGAATGAATTCGCTCGAACGTGATACTGCATCTGCTCATACTATGCTTTCGAAATTTGCTATTGGTAATGGATTATATTTTTCTATTGACATAGTTAATATAATGTTTTGTTATTTTATCTTTTAGCGGATTCCGGTATGGCTTAATTGGAAGTAAAAGTGATCTTGTTTAAAAAATAAATTTCTGATCAATTAATATTACAAACTTCTCTTTTTCTTTTCGTGTTTTTTTCTTTTGTCTTTAAATTGATGCAATTTACTATCTCTATGTGTATTGTATATAAATAGAGTTCTTCTTTTTTTCTTCTTTCTCTTCTTCTTCTTCTTCTTTAATATTCTCTTTTAATAGTGATATTTATCACTATTAAATTTCAAATGGAAAAAAAAGATATTTGCAAAGCAAAAAAAATATTATGTCGTATGTATACATAATCTTTATCTTGTTTCTCTTTAATTAATGAACTCATCATTTTTTTGTTGTGCTTTTTTTTTTATTGTTTCTTCTTTTTTTTCTCATTCTTAAAGTAAATAATGCTCGAATTGATTTCTTTATTTCATTAATATTATGACAAAAGATAAAGAAGATTAGTTGGTTTTTCAATTCTTAATAAAAATGATATTATAACGTGACATTCATGACTAATATAAAAATATATTTAGATGTTCTTTAGTCATATACCTGACACTGAACAGGTGTGAAATCGAGCTACAAGAGACGCGTACAGTTACTATGCGTCATATTTTTAATATTCTAAATTTAAAATCTAAAAGCAGGTGTGGGAGAGGGTCGTCATGCTCTACTCTCAGCACGTCACTGCAAAGAATTTAATTGTATATTTCAATATTAATTTCATCAAATATAAATGTTTATCGACAAACAATTAAGAACACTTTCCACCTTCTTTCTACAAATAAAAAATTTTAACAAATATTTTTTGTCGAGATTTAACAGCTAATATTTCTTTGACTAATAAAATATTTTAATGTTCTTAAAAGTCTGACGACTATAACAATTTATCAGTATTATCTATTACTGATGTCATAAAGCATTTATCCACGTATGAATACAAAGGATAATTGTGCCATATTGCCATGCTTTAATCTGTAAGACATTAACTCAATGACTTTAAGACATCTCATGCATAGAAGATTAACACGAATTGACTTTTTATTGCTGAAGCTGACAAAAATAAATGCCAATATATATTGTCATACAACTGGAATAGTTGATGAATTAAAGAGTTTACTAATTTTCTGATAATATTAGACCTAAAGAGTTTAAATAGTGCAAGAGTATTTTACAAAATAATAATGAAGATGAAAGTGATATACAATGAATGAATAAATAATAGACTAATTTTACTTTTAATCAACTAAAGAACTAATAAATTATGAATATATTTGATATTATGCTAGAAAGACATATCTAATGTCTGTTCATTCGTTGAATTTTACGAAAGAATGAATTGAAATATCTTCATCGATAAACATAATTATGCACAATTGAATTAAGTATACATTTGACATACTTTCTAAGAATTAAACTCATTAGAATAATATATTCATTGAAGTGGAGATTATAAAATGGAAATAATTATCAGCATGATAAAAATAAAGAACTAATGTACGTGAAAGTCTTTTTTTTTACTCGAGGACATTTTATATTTCTATATATATATCCAAAAGTTTTTGTTTTATTGAATTAAGATAGAATGCTCGTTGCTTGCAGGAATAAATATAAAGAACTAATTAAGTACCACAAGCAATTTAATGTATTCATCGTTTGAATATGCATGGCACAAATAAAAAGGATAAAAAGCAAAAGCATAAAAAATGAAGATAATAATAATGTTTTTTTCTCTATCATGCAAAGAGAACCAGCTATTACATGAATTAATCATTATCATTATCAACATTATTTTGACAGCTAATGCATAAAAGCGAACACAAACAAACAAACAGCCGATCAACGAACTGCGCAAAAGAAGAAAAAAAAGAACTTCATTAAAAAGGAAAAATTTGTTGTTGTTGATATTGTTGTTGTTTAAAAGAAGTTCATTTCTAACATTGGTGGTGTTAATAGACCAAATTCATCATAATTAATATTAGATGTTGCCATGTCATAATTTGTTTTTTTATTTTCTTCATCGAGCCAACTAAAAAGTTCATCAATATGACCAAGTTCCTGTTTCGATGATGAAAATTTATTATTAAAATTCATTTCATATGGTACTTGAACACATTGTTTATATTGATTAACATGAATAAAATTTTCCTTTTCCATATATTCATAATCAATTCGTTGACGTTTATATTTTGGTGCATTATTTATTGATAAATATTGATTATTTGATACTTAAAATTAAATAAAAACCTAGTAGTAATATGGAATAAAACTAATATATTTACCTACCCATTGAAACATTTGTTGTTGTTGAATTATTTAATATCATATTTGACATAAATATTGATTCTTGTTGTATAGAAGCTTTTTGCCTTTCAATATTTTGTTTATTAGCATAGATAAGACATTCATATCGAATTGACGGGCTAAAACGACAGATTTGTTTTTATTTAATCATAAAAATATAATATTTAACATTACTCAATAAGTTGAGCTATAAAACCAAGTTTCATTGCTTTACGTCGACCTGCAATTAATATATGTGTATTACAAAGAAATGTAAGTCGATCACCATTGCTTGTAAATAGATCGAGTACATTCATTGATGTACAATGTTCACCTGAAACTAAACAAGAAAAAAAATAAATTAAAATAATCTAATAAAATCTTACAGCAATTTTGTTTTGCTTGTTCTAATATATCAAGACATTCCGATGGTAAAATTTGACGAATAGAATGATCGATTAATTCATTCGGTTTGTAACCTAATAATAAATCCGTACTAAAAGGAAATAATAGAAATATGAAATTTTTGTATTTATATGCAGAAAAGAAAAACAAACTTTGATGATATTTCACTGATATTAAGTTGATCAGTAAGAACAAAACGAAGTGTTGTTGCGCTTGGGACACCATTATTATTTGTTGGAACATATGGCACACTTGATAGAATTTGTTCACAACGTGCAACAAATAATGGTTCTTTAGTTTCATTATTATCAAATGAGAAAAAATGACCTGTTAAAAGCATTGACTAGAAAAATAAAAAAAATATATATATCATAAACAAAGAGAAAAAGAAAATTTTACTTTTGTTTCTATTTGTGATCGATTAGGTCGTTTACCTCTTGGTAATATCCATGTGCAAATAGCAGATTTTTCATGTACTGTTGGTATTGAAAGCATTCGATGTATAGCTTCATGATCATCTTTACTTATACAATCATAGATAGTTGTTAATTGTGGATAAAGTGATCGCTGAAAAATAAAATAGAAAAAATCATAAAAATAAAAATCTTTTTTTATTGTATACATACCACATTTTTTCGTAAATATTGTTCCACGTTATCACTGATTAATATAATTCGACCACTTGTATTAAGTACAATAATAAAACCTGTAAGATCATTTTCAATAGATGAACTTTGTATATCAGATGCTAATTGAACATTTTCTATATATTAATATAAATATGAATTATGAAATTTAGTTATTTTTTCTATTCAATTTACCGTTAGATGGATCAGATGGCCAATATTTATGTCGTAAAAGACGGGATAATGTTAAACTAAGTATATCATTTTTATTAAATCGATTTCCATCTGATTCATCATTAGCTGCATTTTTGAAAAGCTGACCTAAAGCTTCCAGAGCTTGACCTGTTTGTTTTCGTCGTTTATATGGTGTACTATTGCTTTCTTTCAAAGAATAAACATCAGATGTAGATTCCGATGATAATGACTGAAATATTATATTATAATTTTATAAGAGATATTATAAATAAAAAAATAATAATCTACTTGAGAATTATGTTGATATGACATGGTGCGCGGCACTATAGTCGTTCAACGACAACGTAAATATCTTCGAAACTGTCCAGCAGTTGAAGCTAATTAATCTAAGAACGAACTAGCGTCACACAGAAAGAATGCACACACTGCTACTAAGCAAAATAATAAAATGACATATATTTCAAAGGCTATGATATTTACATGTTCACCTTTTTCTTTTTCTTTTCTCTTCGATATTTTCTTTTTCTCTTCTTCCAGACGACTGTGTTTGAGAGAAATTTCTCCAATTTTTCATTTGAGCTAGTTTTTCATCTAGAGTATTATATAAAAAAGAATATAACCGAGTCTATCTAACATATGACGTCAAACCCATTCTTTCTTTTTTTTTTTATTATTGTTAATTTGTCAAATACATTTTGTTATTATTTATTCATTGTTATTTACTCTTTACACCAGACTAAAACTAATTACAAGGATATAAAGACAAAACAAAAACAAAGAATGAATATTTATTTTCAAGAAAAAAAAATTAAATGCGTAAATAAATATATAATACTAACGTATTATAAAAATCAAAGGAATTAAGCTATAATTATGTTTGTTATTATAGCTGTGAAATAAATTTTCTTCTATGCCATCTTAAGTTTTATAAGAATATTCATTTTTTTTTCTTTCAATATTTATTTGTCTACTTAAATCAATAGAGGACTTAGATTAAAAAACTTGTATTTTATTTCTATTGACTAATATATGATCATGAAAGACACAACAATATTCATGACTTTAAAAGCAAATAAAAGTGTCACAATTTGTAGGAAACTATATTATCCAGGCTTTGTGGAGTATAAAAAGAGAAAATTGTTCTTTTTTTACTTAAAAGTTCAGTTTAATAAAATAAAATAAGCTAAAAAAAATTGTACTTTTAAAACTTCTTTTTAATTATATTGCTTTTGAGTTGTTTTTAGAAATGTGTAGGTTGATCAAAAATTAAAAACATATTTCATGAGGTCTACTATAGTAAATATTTACTTCCATTATCGAAAAGAAAGTAATTAAATAAAGTCAAAAAAAAATACCATATACATAATTATACTATAGCAAAATTCCAGTCAATTTTTAAAAACTAATAACAATTATTGTACCCTTGACAAAACAGCAAGTCAATAAAATAACAACATCGAATTTATTTTATCTATGTGAACATGTTGTAAATAACAAATATTAGCTGATATATGCGTAAAAAACCATGTACTATTACTCTTTATATGTGTCAAATTATAATTTACACATGACGTTGTTTGGAAATATTATTCCATTGATAATTTCTATTTCTCTTTCACAATAGTTAAACGAGTATTTTATTTAATATTTGCAAATAATATTTGAAGATATATACGTCATAACTTTTTTGTTGAATATATGCTTGATATTTTAATTATTATTATCAACATAAACAGAATCTATCAAGAGTATGTCATTTGAAGCATTCATACCGTACCTGGAGAAAATCTGAAAATCTAATTTTCTCTAACAAAAAAGAAAGAGCCTTGTTTAAAACTTCCGTTTCTAACAACATTTATTGTTATATTTGTTGGTAATAAGTTTCAGTAAAATAATGAATATTGTAACTATATTTATATTGTTCTGACGTATGTGTTACGTCTGTAAACTATTAACTTTTCCGTTATACAATGATATAAAGTAATAAATACAATAGTTGAATTTGTTTATGCTAGAAATATTCTTCTAGTTTTTTTGCGTTTATAACCACTAAAAAAGTAGAGCAATGCTGTACTTGCAATATGCACTGAGAAAATAAATATATTATATATATGATCAGTTTTTGTTTTATTTGAAAAAAAATAAGTTCTAAAAACGGATGACTATAAATGTTCTTTGTGCAAGTTCACAAGGTTAGAAAAAACAAAAATCAGTTAAAACTAAGAAAAAAAAATCAAACGGTTGGTTAGCTGAAAAAAATGGAAATGTTCGATTTTGTCAATTATTGATTAAATATTAATATTTTGATCTAACAGATGTTGGTGGTGATGTCTACTAAAAGCAAAAAAAAAAAGCAATAAAAAAATTCAATAATTTTAATATTACTTTTCGTGGTACATCAATTTTAAGTAAATCAGCCAATCGTTTTGCAAGATCATCATCAACATTGGCAAAAACAGCAACTACACGACGAATAATATCTTTACAGGTACATTGTCCTAAATGTTCAGCAATATTTTGGATCATATGTGCTCGACCACGATCATCTAATACTCTCTAAAAAAGACAAAATAAAAAATTTTTCGCTTTTTTTCTTCTTATTAGTTATACTTGATAGAAAACTCGTGGTTGAGAATAATTATCATCGTCACTAGCTTCATGTCGAGCTGCTAAACCTGATTCTAATGTTGCATGTTCAATATGTCTATTACGATCAGTTACATCTGGACCATTCATTGAATTACGATAATAATTTGGTGCATTACCTAAATTAAAAATAATAAATTTGTTTTTTTTATTTCTCTTTCAATTAAGTCAAGTAAAATAACCTTGATTATGACCAGTTTGCATTGCACCATCACGTTGATAAGTACAAACTTTAACATTTTTATTTGTTTCAGGATTATTAACTGGAATAAGATGATGGTTGGTTCCAATACGATGAAGATGTGTATCAGCATATGAAAAAAGTCGACCCTAAAATGAATTTAATATAATGAATGAAATTAACGCCATTAATATAATCAAAAGTTCCAAATGATTCATTATGGTAAAACGAACGGATTAGTATTCCGTAGATTTTAGAACAGAGAAAAGGATCAGCAGCCCTGTATTTTTATATATATTAGGAATATTTTATTTACTTGTAACATTTTATCAGGTGATGCTTCAATGCCTGGTGGCATATGTGCTGGTGAAAAAGCAGCTTGTTCAATTTGTGCAAAATAATTTTCTGCATTTTCATTCAATGTTATTTTACCAACACGACGTAATGGAAATTCTTTTTGTGAAAAAACTTTTGTTAAATCAAATGGATTGTATGGAAGATTTTTTGCTTGTTCATTAGTAACAACTTGAACATAAACTGTCCAACTTGGATATTCTTTTTTAGCAATTGCATTATATAGATCACCAAGAGCATAATCAGGTTGTTCACCAGCTAAGATTTTGGCTTTTGTTGGATCTAAATTTTTAATACCTTGATTTGTCTAGAAAAAAAGAAATAAATTTATTTAAAATATTGAAAAAATTCAATTCCTCCTACGCGCATATGAAATTTAACCCAAACATATTCATTTTTATCATTAACCATTTTAAATGTATGTGAACCATAGCCATGCATATGACGAAATCCATCTGGTACACCACGATCAGAGTAAAGAAACATAAACTAATAGAAATCGATTTAAATTAATAACATAAAAAAATTCTTTTTCAATTACTTGATGTGTAGCCATAGGATGATTAGCAAAAAAATCCCAAACCATATTTGGATCTTTTAAATGTGTTTGAGGATTTCGTTTTTGTGAATGAATAAACATTTGAAACTATTTGTAAAATAAAACGAAGAAATTCAAATTTTATGGATAATAAAATATTAGGAAAACATACTAAAAATGGATCACGAAGAAAAAATATTGGTGTATTATTACCAACTAAATCCCAAATACCTACAAAAATTTATTTTAGAAAATATATTTTATTTTTTTTAATATTTATTTACCTTCATCGGTATACATTTTGATTGCAAAACCACGTGGATCACGTACTGTATCAGCTGAACCACTTTCACCAGCTAGAATAAATAATAGATTAATTATGATATGTATCCGCGATAAAATTTTATTACGTACCAACAGTTGAAAAACGCATTAAAACACGTGTTTGTGATCCTTTTTTGAATACTTTAGCTTTGCAAATGTCTGATAAATCATCAGTTGCTTCAAATACACCAAAAGCACCACCACTACAATATAGAAAAAAAAAACTAAATATTTATATTTCATATTTAATAAGAACGAACCCTTTAGCATGAACAACTCGTTCAGGAATTCGTTCACGATCAAATCGTTGAACATCTTCAATATATGGAAAATCCGAAAGCAACAATGGTCCACGTGGACCAACTGTAATAACAGTTGATCGATCACCAAGTGGACGACCATAACCAGTTGTTAATTGTTCCGATTTCTATTAATATAAAATCTTACACAATGAATTAAAATATAAAATGACATACATGTGATTTTTTAAAATCAAGGATTTGATTGTCCGATGGACCAGGCTCTTTTAATTCAGGTTGCTTTGTATTAGCCATTATTAAATAAATCTAGAAGAATCGATATGTAAGTATTTACGAGAATATGATACCCATATATATATATATTTATATGCGCGTTTAAAAGTGCATCCTTTTTCTCTTCTATAGACTGAAGTTAAAGTTGTCTGTCCTTGTATTCGTTCTGTATAAATAAAGTCTTTTTATATCGTCATTCTAATCTAGATTTAACCTGAAAGAAAAATATATTTATCGAATGAAGAAATATATCTACATGCCTAGATACATTCTGTATGAACTACCAAAGTAAGAAAAAAAAAGAATCTTTTGTGTTGAGAGATATTATCAAAACACTGGACATCGAACTACAAAAGAATCCTACTTGAAAAAAGACGCGAGAGAGATATCTTTTATCTATTTATCTAATCATGTTTTTTTTCTTTTCATTATTTTATCATTACGTGTTCGCTTTTAGCCTTTTTTTCAAATTCTTCATTCGAAAACCTTGACAAAAGAGGACGCTGAAAATCGGTATAAGAGTAGTCATCAGTATAATTCTACACTATTGTAGTGTATGTTATAATATTTTATTTGAAAAAAAAAGGAACATTTCAATCAAAATGAAAGAATATTAGCATGAAGCAAATCGAACAGCAGGACCGGAGGATGTAATTGTTCCACCTGAACAGAATTTACGACTAGAATACAATAGAATAAAATATTAATAATTATCAAATAAATATATGATAATGTACCTTTGTTGTTGATCACCATTGAGTACAACAGCTTTAGTAAATGCCCAAGTTGATGAATACCATGTTGATGAAATTAAATTGCCTGTTTTCTTAAAATCAATATTGATTTCTGTTATATCACCAATATTAACTGTTAATGGAATAAAACGTGTTTCTACAGAACCACGTTTAAATGTTGTCTGATCACTAAATTAAACACATTAATATCTATCAATGTTCTATAGTATACATACTTATCAAAAACAACAGTAACGGCTTCCAATGTACCAACAAGTGTAACTGAAACTTTACCACGTGTTTGAGTATAATCAGAACCTGATTCAAGTGTTATTTGATAGTGATATACTTTAAATATAGAATAGAAAAATGCATAGTTTTTTTTAATATCGAAAGAAAATAATTTTCTTACTGCAAAATGGAAAAGTATTAGCATCTTGAGTTTTTAAATATAGATCACCTTTACCAGCTGTTGATGATGTCCAATAACCCATACGATTACATCGACGATCATTACCATTACATTCAAGTGAACATTTACCATTATTAAAATCATCAAAATTAGAACATGAATAACCTGTATAAGAACATTGATTACGAATTGTATCCGTAAAGAAATAAACAGCAGCCAAATGACTACAAAGTGATGTTTCCATAAAACCTATTTAAATCAGAAATTTCCATATTGATATATATCGCTATGAGTAATTTCAATATATTACCTTCAACATTCATTGTGCCGAGTTGTAAAAGAAGATGTATTAATTTGCCGGAAGTTTTAGGACATTTAGGTTGATCATAACCACCATTTGGAAAAAAGTCAACATGACCCATTCGTTGAAGACTACCTAAGTAAATAAAAAATGATAATGAATAAAAAATAAAATTTCTAGAAAAATAAATTCTACCAAGTCCAAGAAGAAGATTATGAGAACCATCAGTATGAATAACATCAACAAATAAAGCATCGGTAGGATCAAGACGAACTTTTGGATCAGTATTTTCAAAATAAGGACCAGCAGGATCCAAACCTATCATAAAAATAAAATATTCAACTTATCTTTTTAAATAAATAATTACCAGTAATTCGGCCTAAACCATTAACATTTGCTCCGACATAACCTGCAGTTTGTCCACCAAGTGAATGACCAATCACATGAAAATCTGTTGCTTTACAACCATGTTCGGCAATAAAATATTTAATAAATAGAGCGACTTCTGCACCAACTACTTGAGTATTTGCTGATGCTTTTTCATATGGAAATCCATTACCCTTTGACCAATCAACCATAATAACATTCACATCTTCCTAAAATTCATCAGTATAAATATCATAATTTCAATTTGCTTAGAGCTTTAATACTTACAACTTCAAGTATAGCATTTTTCATATCAACCCACCATGGTTTATTAGTACTATCTAAGAAACCGTGAATAAAAATTTTTGTGGGTTTACTTGCATTCCATGGGCCAAGAGATGTATGACGACTAATTTCAATACGCGTCTTGCGTGTCTCACGCGTATATACATAGTATGTAGTTCCTATTACATCCGGCTATTAAAAAAAGTGAAATTGAAGTTTAAATGAAAGTTAACTATATAATCATACTCGATCAGGTAATAAAGCAAATGGTCGTTGTAGTGTTCCACCTATTTTATAATATATATATATATATATATATGTCTAACTAACTTTTAAAAAAAAGTAAAACAATTATTTACCAAATGGTGCTCCTGTTGTAAAACATCCATGTTCACCATAACATGTATTAGCTCGTGTGCTTCGAACTACATATATATGTATAGATACATTAGAAATTATTCTGAAATACTTAAAACTAACCTGGAAGAAATTCATCACTTTGAACAGAAATTGTTCCAAGACATAAGATAGCAATAGTGAAGGAAAGCAACATGATTATTGATGAGGAGATTGAATGATAGCGATTGCTACTTAAAGTATCAATTTAAAGTAAAACTTACAGTAGTGTCAAATGACAAGGATAAACTAAGGGGGGTTGGACACCTGTGTAAAGAGGGGCGTGAGAAAGGTCTTTATTCTAAGTACGATCAGTAGAAAACAAGCCATATTGACGAGCCTTTTTTTCAATGATACTCTTATCTTTGTTTTTGTAATTCGATTTCGAATTTTTAGTACATAAGATAGAAAATCAAATAGCTTTACAAAATTAATGTAATTTGATCATTTGAATAAAATTGGAAAAAAAAATAAAAAGATAGATTATCCGAAATATAATATCATCACTACTTATTTTATGTATAGTTATTAAAATGAATTGTTAATCTTATGTACATAGTACTTAAATGATTAATATCACACCTTCCAACTATTCCTAGCTTTGAGAATAATTGATTTTTCGAAGAAACAGATCAATCTTACGTGGCAGGATGTAAATGAGAAACAAGAGTTTTTAAACTGTTCCAGTGCAATATTTTCAAGTAAAATCTAATGGAAATAATCCTATTCATCTCCTATTTGATAAGATATCATGTGATTATTATATAATTCAAATGCAAATAACATTAATGGTAGTGAAAACAACAAAGACTTGATGACAATAATATTGCTTTTAACTTTTTTGATTATGAATACACCAATATGGCACAAAACTTGATTTTAATATAAATTCTCAGATTTAATGTGATAGATTCAGAATCAAAGGACCAATACAAAAGAAGAAATATAACAAACTCTATGTATGATGTATATAGAGAAATTTTTTAAAGTTAGTTGATACAAAAGTCAACAATTACAATATTCCAAAGAAGGAACCTAAACGGATTCATGCTCATGGCTCTTCTTTACCGAGCAGTTACGTGATATAGACTCAATATCGCAACTATCGACCAAATGGAGGGCGCGGGCAATGAATCATTCCACACCCTCAAGATTATTTAATGCATAAAATATGAGTTTTCACTTGTTAATTTGATAATAAAGAATTATTTGAAAATGTATCTCAAAATTTAATATTATGTATTCGTTATTATTCATAACAGAATACCATTGTAAAAAAAAGAGAAAATTGTATAATTGAAATGAGTAAGATAAGTCGAAAGAAAAAGAAAAAAGTGAAAAAAAAAGAAACACAGATTATTGCCATTCATTTCACAGTCAAAGAAAGTAAAAATAATACATAAATAAATACTTCATATACACATAAAATAAGTGTATACGAAACAGAGACAGAGAAAGAGAGACAAAAAACATCACACCGGTGATCGTTGTTTTGTTTTATCAAAAACCAAATTTTTTGCGAAATATTGAAAATAAAGATTCATCTGAAGTTTCTCTACGACGTTGTCGTTCATCAACTAAATTTTGATAATCACGTTTTTGCATTACATTAGGTGATTGTCGTATAGATAATTCTCGTTTATATATCCATTCTAATTCATTCGATGATGGTACAAAAGCTTCTGATGCTTTCCGTTTTTGCATGTTATTTTTACTATCATCTGATATATATGAACCAAAGAGACGTAAACCAAAATAATTTAATTCACCAGCATCATTTCTCGTTGCTGATTTTTCTGCATCATGATTTTGTGGTGTACGAGTTTCAACACGTAATGTCCAACGACCAATTGGAGATTCACCCCATTTATGTACTGACATAAATGGAAAATATTTTATACCTTTGTCGGTAGAATCATTATCTCGATAAGAAAGCATTTCCGAAGTTGTTCCACTTGGTGATATTAATGTAATTTTTACATCACCACGACGATGATAAATAAATGATACATTAGCTGTAACATGTTCAAGATATGTTACATTTTCACATTTATCAACATCAAGATTCACTTCAACAGTAGCACCAATACCCAATGGACTATAAAAGAAAAACAAATCATTTAAAAATAATTGAAAAATTAAGATATATTTTTATTTCGATTCTTACAGACTAGAACCTTTATATTCATGATAACATTCATATCTTGGATTAACATTTGTCCAATTTTGTGCTAAAGCAGTCATTTGTCCAATATCAAGTACGCCAAAACCAAATTTATCACTAACATGAAAACCAGCTCCATTAATCATCCAATCTTCAGTTTCAGATAAATTTGGTATACGAGATGTTTCAGCTATAATATGCATGACATCACGATAAGTTAATTCTGGATTAGCTTCAAGTACAAGTGCTAAACCTCCAGCAGCAACTGGTGCTGCACCTGATGTACCAAAAAATTTTGTTGTACATTTTCCACCAACATCAGCAGCAACAACACCAACTGGCATAAATGGTTCATGAGCTGAACGTGCATGACGACCACCCGTATAAGCTACTGCCATAGTTGATGGACAAAATTCACCAAAATATGTTGATTTACCAAGATGATTTATTGAACCAATTGATATAACATTTTGATGAGAGACATATCCATCAGCACCACAATCATCACTAGCTACACCACCATTACCTGAAGCCCAAACAAATAATACACCTTTACCATGACGACCCTAGAAAAATATTTGATAAAATTTATTGAACTTTTAATAATAATAAAAAGATATAGTTTACATGTGTAACAGCATAATCTAATGCAGCATTAACAAGTGGACCTGGTGCTTCCATTTTAGTTCCATCATCAGTTGGTCTAAATAGAACATATTCTACTATTAAATTAGTTCGAAATTTTCTTTTTCTTTACCCCCATGAAGCACTTTTAATAGATGTATTTACAGCAAATAATGTTAAGGCACGTGCTTCAAGTAATGTTGTAATACGTCCATCAAGAAGTCGAATACCTAAATAAGAAAATTATAATATTAACTAAAATTATATTTTATTATTTTCTACTTTACCAGCAATATTTGAATTATAAGCAACACCAACTCCACACATACCATTATTTGCTTTACCAGAAGCTGCACCAGCGCAACGTGTGCCATGACTAGAAAAATAATAATTTGAAATAAGATACATGAAGATAAAATCGAATGAAAGAGAAAGAAGCATGCATTAATATAAACACACACACGCACTCATCGTGCTAGTTAGTATAAATATAAGTAGTATATTAGTAATAATTCTAGAATATTTTTTTTGGCATTCTCATCTTACTTATTTGCAGAATCATATGTTCTTGGACTTGGATCATGTTCAGTATCGTTAAGATCATTTAAATCATAACTGAACTGAGGTTGCTATGCGCATAAAAAAAAATATTTATTTCCCATTCAATCAATAGACGAAATCATGATGTCATTTAGCCCCACAAAAAATAAAATTAAAACTTTTATACTTACATATCGATCACGTAATTCTTCATGTATATGATCAAGACCATCATCAATAATACAAATTGTTACATTTTTACCAGAATAGCCAGCCAACCAAGCTGGAATAACATTCATATCATGATCTGCTGGAGTATTTAATTGACCTTCATTTTCCTGTAGGAAGAATAATTAAATTCAGATTAGAAAAAAATAAAAAACTCACCAAATACCACTGTTTTTGATATAATTCATCATCGAAAGACATTTTAAGTGATGAATTCTTAAAATCTGGGTCAATATCTACAGATAAGTGTGAATCTTTCCAAGTACGATATTGTCTATACAATGCTTCTAATGCATCATCATGTACAAAATCACGTTTTTGTCTTTCTAAAAAATGACCAACAGCGACATCTGCAATCTAAAATTAATATACATTTTTTTTTGTATTGTAAATTATTTCATATTTAATTACTCGTCTATCTCGTTGTAATTCTTCGATTATGTCATTAATAGCACGTTTCGATCTTCGATTATGTCTTCGTTGAATACGTAAATGATGTAAACCAATTCCATGTATCTATAAATAAAAATATTTTTATTTTGAAATAATTTATTTTTTTCAAATATTTACAAGTCCAGCATTAAAAAGATCATTTTCTTCTGCAATAAGATCAGCTACAAGATAATCTTTATTATCTCCTGTTAATCGTATGCCAATATCAATAAAATCTGCATCATCATCACCATCATTAATTTCTTTTCGATATGCATTAATATTTAAAACAGATATAATTATTATTAATAAAATAAATACAAAATTCATTGTAAACATATTCATATACATCTAGAAAAAAAACAACAAAAATAAAGAAAATCAACATTGACTATGTTGATAAATTAGTAGTATTTTTTTTCCATAATTGTTTTAAATATGTACATTTTTTTTCAATAATATCATCTGATTCTTTACTAGATGGTCTCATCCATAATAATGGATTATCAAGTTGCATTAAACCTCCTAAAATTTCTCGACCAAAATATAACGGAAATTGTCCACGTTCTTCAATCATATGTGCATAACCATAAATATGATTATCATTTTTACTTTTATCAACTGGAAATTCCACACAAAAATATGGTAAACCTTTGGGTAAAACTGATTTTAATGTACGTGAACGTGGATGATTTAATTCAATCAATTTTTTATTTGTTGACCACATGGATTCACTTTCAAGTAATGCTTTACGAAAATACATTGGAACTAAATTTGCTTGATCAATTGGAACTGGAATACATTCAATGTACATATGTGGTAATAAACGAGGATTTTTAAATGTTTCAATAAATATTGGTAATTGATTATAATTTTTACGAAATAAATCAGTTAATTGTTGTTTCAAGGTATCAAGTTCAGAAAGTACATCATCGTCTAAAATAAAATAAAAAAAACAATCATATATTTATTAAACGACTCTATTACTTTTAAAGATTAACTAATGTTATCAGATTATATGCGTATCGTTAAAATACCTTAACTATACAGTAAATACTTACATATGACTATATTATTCAACGATCTAAATAAGGATTGATACTGTCAACACTGTTAATATCTTATCCTATCTTGAAAGTGTAGGCGGAATTATTTATAGATAAAAGATCTTCTTTTGACAGAAACAATTAGAAAAGATGCAAGATACTGATTAATACTTGAAATAAATTCGATTTTTAGTGCAATCTATATGAAAGAAAATCAACATTCTATTTACCTAGATTAGAAATACGTATGGTTTTATTATACTATTCTATTCATTTATCCGGCACCGCTAGCAAATAAAATGAATCAGATATTTTCTTTTCTTTCTCTAACTGACGTACATATAAGGTCAACAAATGTACAATGTACACACTTTATAGCCTGTTCTTTTCATTTTTCTAAAGAATATACTAATCTAACATTATTCATATAACGTCTATAATACTTTTCGATAAACTCTTCGTACAAATAAGAAAATATACTGGATAAAATTCACATCATTGTTTTTCTATAGAAAAAATATCTTACCTAAATGAAATCGACTAGATGAATGTTGTATGGGTACAATAAAACAATGTCCTTCAACAAGTGATTCTTGTGGTGGTGCACATAAATACCATTGATCAAGTAAACCAAAAATATATGATTTTGAAAGATTTTCAATACATAACCAACATTGTTCGAATGTTTGTTGTCGTTTTTTTTGATCAGCTAATGCTTGTATGCGTGCCCAACCGGATAAATGACGTGTTGATGCTAATATTTGTCTATCAGAAGATAGATTTGGATTATTACGATTACTTGGTAATACAGGCATCATATTTGTTGTTGAATGTCTCTCCATTTCAACAAGATCATGTAATGATAAACCTTCTCGTTCAGGATCTTTATCATTTTGACGCATTTTTTTAACTTGTTTTTTCATTTTTCTATTATCACGTCTATCTACATGACCATATTGACGTTGATTACCTGGTTCATATGCGTTATGAACTGGTTTTTCGACACCATAACGATCAATTGTTGTCATTACAAGAACTTTTGGAGCGTTTGATGATTGTTGTTCACTAGAAGGATCATGTTGTGAATGTCCACGAAGATTATCAATATTTTTTATTTCATTACGAAGTAATTCAATCATTTCCTATAAGATAAATATATATATTTAATTTTTTGTTATTGAAAAAAATGAATAGAATCTTACATCATCACCGCCAAGTTCTGCTCGTATAAGTTGTTTTCGTAATTCTAATAGATTTTCTTCTGAGATCAATTCATTTTCTTCTGGTTTATCTACAACTGATTTTAATTCTTCTTGTTTTTCTTCTTCTACTTCTTCGACATCAGTTCGTGCTTGTTTGCTTGGTTTAGATATTTCTTCATCATCTGTAGGTCTTTTCCATGATTTTTTTTCATCATGATGACGATGACGATGACTATTATGATGATGGTGGTGACGATGATATTGATCATGATGTCGATCATCTTTTTCATTTGGATGAAGAAATTTTTTCTTATGTGATGAATGATGATAATGATGATGATCACGATCAAAATCATCAGCATCATTTATTAATGACATTAATTTTTCCATAGACTAAAGAAAATAATTAATTAATTAGAAAATAAACTTATTGAATTAATATTTACTCCATATCGTTCAGAAACAATTTCATTTAAAGGCCGGTTTTGTTCCTTAGCTTGTTCTTTAAATCGTTCATAAGCTCGTCGATGCCATTCAACACCAGCATCACCAACTTTATTTCTTCTCGAATCATGAGTTCCCTGTGGCTGACTACGTAAATTTGGATTTAATTCACGTTCACTCATCATTGCCTATAAATACAAATAAATAAATAAATAATTTACAAAATTCTTTATAAGAACGAACTTCCATTTCGGCGGTTGTTTGAGCTTTTTTTATTGCTTGTTTATTTTCTCGTTGATAACTTCCAATTGAATCAAAATTAAATGGTTCAAGAGCAAATGCTACTGGTGTACTTTTTTCTTTTTCCTAAAGTTTTGTAATAGATAAATATTTATTTTATTTTCTGTATTTACTATTTGTTCTAAATCAGCTTGTGATGGCATTGTTGGTCCTTTGATAACGGCATTAACTGGTGCATCATTACTTTTATCATCATGAGCCATTTCTTGCCATTGATCTTCATCCTTAAAAAAAGAAGACAAAAAAATTAAATGATTAATATTTTTTGTAACGAACTTTATTTGAATTTGATGATGAAGCTGATGAATGACGGCGATGATGTTTTTTACTTTTATGTTCTTTTTTTTTCGACGATTTACTCATATCTGATTTTTTTTGTATATCACGCTTTGACAATTAAAGCTAATACGCAAGTAAACGATGTATATTTCTATAAAAATAATTTACTCATGTCAAACAACATTTTGGTTATGGACAATCAGATGGAAGAAGAAAAAGTTATAACGTCAGAGAGAATTGTGTAGGTGTAGATGACGGCAATATAGAGGAAAGCAAATGAGGAGGCGGCGACAGAAAAGAAATAACGAATTGTTAATCATGTATAGAAAAAGAATATCGATTGTACGATGGCAGAACTTCTCAGTACATATTGCGAAAATACAATATAAATATGTGTTTATAAATAGGTCAATGACGAATATCCAATAGGAAAAAATATGAAAAAAATGACATCTATAGATTAATAGAATAAAATTCTGTTGAGTTAGAATAATTTTTAATTCTATGAGAATAAAATGATAGTATTATTCTGATGACTTATAATTCTAAGCAAAAAAAAATACGATGATAAAAACATAAACATGAATAAGACTGAAGGTCAGGTATAGAAATAACATAAGTTTGGTATAGTATAAGACACTAATTTTAAATAATTATCAATGCCGTTATTGACATTTATGATACCCACTATATGGCATATCACTTATGCGTTTAATATATAGTATTCTATTATGAAATAACTTGATGAAGAGCATGCATACTAGTTACTTCATATATATTCTTATAATACTTTATTTTGCTGAGCAAACTAAATATATCAACGTCAATGAAATATCATTAGAAGCCATAAAAACAAACCTTTTCTTCATTGATTATTGATAGAAAAGGTGGAAAACTATCAGTTTATGCAATTATACTCTTTTCAGAGAGAAGAATATAATCCTGATTGAATCAATCGATATGAAGAAGATGAGAGTTCCTTATAAATGAGTACAGATCTATGAATATATAGTGATTTTGCACACGATTCCAAGTGATAATCCCTTTAGGTTTAGAATCAAAAAATTCGAATTGACAAATCTATAATTTTTTTCTTATATATAGAACTTCAAGGAAATAGCTCTCGCCCCACTCTGCTGAGTAATCTTTGTCTATAAGCTGTTGTTTTTAGAAGAATATATAGTTATAAGAAATCACACATAATTTATCAGAGTATATGAAGAATTATATTTATATTTGTTTCAGTGTTTAAGATATTTATTTATAAAAAAAGCTGTTTTTATTTATATTTGTTAAAATTCATGATTACACCTGTTTAACATATACAAGAATATATGCATTCTTTGTTATAATATCTTTTTCATCTGTAATTTCGCAAATTCTATCATCATTGAATGAATACCATGCTTTATCTCCATCATTTTTTGCATATGTTGTATAATGTCCTTGTTTCAAATTACCAGCATGCATAGAAACAGCAACAAGATCATAAAGTGAGTTGTCATCATTTAAAACTTTCCAATTTTCAAGTGGATATTTGACTAATGCATTTAGTTTTTCATTTGTTTCATCGAAAGTGAATCTTTTGAGTTGTACAATGATTACTGGTGGTAACGGATGACAAATACTAGTTTTCTGTTTAGCAGATTGAAGGACTTGACATTTTGAACAGTAATATAGTCCATCAAGTTCCTCTTCTTTCAAAAAATCATTTACTAATTTATTCAAAGATACTTCTGATTCATTTCCGAGTGATAAAGGTAAACAATAAGTTGTCTCTTCATTTGCATCACGAGTACCGCATTGTAAGCAAGTTACTGCGGATTCTGTTCGAATGCGAAAAAGATCGGTAACAATAGATGATTGTTTTTTTGATGAATTATTTTGTTTTAATTCAGTATGCAGTGCATTAAGTAAAGAATTCATAAATTCATGTGAATCTTTTTGAGCATAATTCCAAAAGATTGGAGCATGTTGACTGACACGTTGTTTGATATCATTAGTGGGGGGACATGACTTGTCACCCGACCACATTGATTCTATCAATGAAGTGTACGCTTGAGTAACAGTTATTTGATCAGATGGTAACTTTTGTGCTTGAGCCCATTTGGTAAATTTGGGTATATTACTTAAACATTGAATAGCACTATTCATATAACACGTATTGCCGATGTTAGTTAAACCACATAGACCAGGTTTGTTAGATTTTTGTTGATGTTTCTTTCTTTTCTTTTTATTCTCAGAAGTAATCGGCGGTAAAATATCAGTTTTATTCCGTTTAAGTGTCTTGAATAGACGATCAGATATGGATACTGCTATTGACCGTGAAATAATTGCAACAAATTGTAGACAACGAATAAGAATAATACGAATATAATTAGTCCATTGTACTACAAAAGAGTTCGAGGAAGTTTCAGTTTCATTACATTTAGGCATATTGAATAGACGACCAGATATATATGCTGCTATTGACTGTGGAATAATTGCAACAAATAGTAGACAATAAATAAAAATAAGAATAATATAATTAGTGAATTGTACTACAAAAGAGTTCGAGGAAGTTTCAGTTTCATTACGTTTAAGTGTCTTGAATAGACGACCAGATATATATGCTGCTATTGACTGTGGAATAGTTGCAACAAATAGTAGACAATAAATAAAAATAAGAAGAATATAATTAATACATTGTGCTACAAAAGAGTTCGAGGAAGTTTCAGTTTCATTACGTTTAAGTGTCTTGAATAGACGACCAGATATATATGCTGCTATTGACTGTGGAATAGTTGCAACAAATAGTAGACAACAAATAAAAATAAGAAGAATATAATTAGTACATTGTGCTACAAAAGAGTTCAAGGAAGTATCAGACGCTTGTATACAATCAATATCAGTCGATGTACTGCTTTCAGACTCTTTCGATGTATCGTTAAATAATGATTTTATAATTAGATCAAGACGATATAGATCTGTATCAAATGAGATTTTATGTAGAAATGTATAATCTCCACACAGTAAACTTACCAAAATCATCCCATTGATATAAACGTAAAAAGGATAATATGGCAATATATAGTTTCATACTGTCTTCATTCCTATTATAGAGGCGGACACAATCATATTCATTGTCATTGTCCTGCAAAGCAAGTTGTTGTGTGCTTGAGTTTTTACATAAAACCATCTAAAATAAATATCCGATAGTATCAAATTGCTACTTAAATATCTAGAATCTTTCAGCTATTATTTTTTCAAATAAATAAGTACATACGCTTCTTGCGCTTTAAATGAAATTAAAATACTTTCCGGATTAATTTGTTCTTTATATCTATCATCGAATAGATACCATTGATCATTTTTATAATTTCGTGCTGTTGTTGTATAATGTCCACCGGCTAAACTTCCACTATGCATTGAAACGGCATATAATTCGTATCGATCATTATCCGATAGTAAATTTTGATATTCAAGTTTATATTGAACATATGTATTAATCTTTCTAGTTGTACCATCAAATGGAAATCGTTGAAGCTGGATAATGAGAGCACGAGGTAATGGTTGAATAATTGTAGTTTTATGTCGTGCCGATTGACATGTTTTGCACTTTTGACAATAATATTGCCCGTCTAATGAATCTTCTTGACAGAAATCTGAAATGAGATCTTCTAAGAACACTTCAGCATCATCATGTGATTTCAATTGAGGAACTGGAAGTGGAAGAAATGTACTTGTTTCTTCAATACTATCATGATGTTGACATTTATCACAAGTAGTTTTTGATTGAGTATGAATTTGAAAGAGATCAGTAAAGAATGAAGTTGAGCCAACTGTTTGTAGTTCAGTAAGTAAAAAGTTCATAAATTCATGAGAATCTTTCTGGCCATAATTAGAAAATATTGGAGCTAAACGGCCGATGTAACCTTTCAGTTCCTGGGGAGTGACATATGTATAATGACCTGACCACATTGATTGTACTAGAGAAGCATAAATATCGATTATATTCTTAGGAGTTGATGATCGTGGTTGATTCATAGCCCATTCGACTATATGTGATATACTATTTAAACATTGTATAGCACTATTCATGTAACAAGTATTGCCAATATTATTTAGACCGCAGACACCTAGAATATCGCGTGTCGACAAAAGACTCGAATTATTTGTAGATGCTTTTAAATTATTTGATGGAGACAATGATGGCATCTTCTCTAGTGACGAAAGTTTTGATATTAATATCAAGTTTGAAGTATTGTGTAAATCTAAGTTCTTCAATTGAAATGGAGTAGAAGCAGTTTGACTATCCATATCATCCAAATTGGTTGCTGTTGATTTAGATGTAGAGACAGGTATAATTCGCTTCGAACATTCTTCACTATGTTCTAAAACAAAGTTTTTTTTCATAAAATCTTTTATTGAGAATAAATTATGTAAGTGTTTATATAAACCTTACGAGATATTGGATAGCTTTTACTTACTTGACTGTGTTGTCTTTCTTTTGAAGCTTAGAATGCCAGTCGATGGTAATTCAAGCTTTATTGATGATTTAATATTATTGGAGCGCTTAAACGAAAACAGCTTGGCTAATGAAAGCTTTTTTTGTTTGCATTCTTTCTTTCTCGAATTCATGCCAAAACAATCTATTATCTGAAAATAGATTTTTCTTTATAATGAACATAAAGTTATATAAGTAAAGCATGTTTATTTAATAGACTGTTATAAAAACTAAAAATAAAAAAAAAGCATTGTTAACAATACACATATGATCCAGATAGAATATTATTCGTCGAGGGGTCCACAACACATAAAATTTATTCAGATTTGCTTTTCTGTATATGTTAAAAATACCTTTAGATCCTTCTAGTTCTTTTAGTTCTTTTACTCGGGTGCGGATGTGAGTGGATAAGAACAATATCCATACACATATCTCACAGACACCCCATTAGGAATTAAAGAGACTAAAAGAAACTAAAGAAACTAAACGAAGTTAAAGGGATTAAAGGATGCTGAAGGGACTAAAGGAATCTAAAGGGAGCTAAAGAAACTAAATGGATCTAAAATGGTTATAACAAACCCAAGTACTAAAACTTTAAGTATCCTTTAAGTGCAAGCAGAATTTTATGCAGAAAAATAAAAATGCTGCATAGAAAGTAAAATGGAATAAATATTATTTCTTGTGGAGTTATAAATTTATCGCAACGGAGACGTGGAGCTATGGGTTCATCATGACGGGGACGTGAAGCTGTGGATTCATCGCGACGGAGACGTGGAGCTATGGATTCATGATGACGGAGATGTGGAGCTATGAATTCATAATGACGGAGACGTGGAACTGTGCGTTCAACATACTGGAGACGTGGAACTATGGATTCATCAGGACAGAGACGTGGAAATATGGTATATGATTGTTGTGCTACATCGCCACATAGTTGATTATATGTCGAGTTAAAATCACGTCGACAATCTTCCTCAGATTTCAGACAAATGAAACAGAACGTATGGCCACATTTACATTTATGATACTTGCATTGTTCATCATATGAACCACATTCAAAACATTTTGGACAGCATCGTCGATTTGGTACTTGCATACTTTCATTAAATGCTAGTGTAACCAATTGATAAGAAATCTTTGTTTCCCAGAAACAGTTGACTTTGCACGTATATTTTTCATTACACATTTTCCTCTCTTCTTCATCCCAATCAGAATTACAAAAAAAACAGAACCATCGTTTACAATTATCACATTTTTGTTTTGCAAACATAGTACTATTAATAGAAAATGCACCACATGTACATATTTGAAAATCAATGTACCGTGCCATTAATGTTGGTTCATGTAGTTCAACAACTGATTGAATGAATTGTGGTGTTTTAAAAAACTTTTCTGGTGTTAATACTTGTTTACAAGTCAAACACATAAGCTTATAATTACAATGAATGAAATAATTTGGGAAACATTCTTTACAAATAATTAAACTGCAACAAAACTTAATACACTGGTTTTCTTCTGTGCAAATCATACATACTGAATTATTTGGTTGCGTTGAAATTTTATGTAATTCATCTTGAAGATCAACTAGAATAGTAGCCTTGTGTGATTCTATATCGACCATACCTGATCCACCCGCCATTCGTTGGCAAACATAGATGACTGTATTATTTTTAATAGACTGCTTTAATTCAGCAAATTTCTCAGGATCATTATCTTGTATTTCTTGTCCATTAACAATAAGTCGAAAATTATCAGAACCAAATCTATCTTTAACTAATTGCTTAATATCATTCACAGTGTATCCATCTTTAAGTTGCCCAGGTTGTTTACTGCCATTCATTTTTGCAAATAGAACGTTAATAATGTTTGACATAGTTTCTGATTGAATCTATTGAATAAGAAAAATAAATGTGAAAACTTCGGATTTTATCCGAGAGTTATGTGTAGTGCAAAAAGTGTATATGGAAATCATAGAGAAATTTCAGTATTTTTTCAATAACTCGGGAATGGCCCGGCCAATTAGGTTCATCTTCGAACTCGACCCGGATCTTGATGTGACTGAGTTGTATAGAAAATTTCATCAAAATCTACCTCTCCTTTCGAAAGTTATCGTGTAAACGGACGACCGGACACACTGAACGATTCTAGTAGTGTACTCACTTTTTGAGTACACACAAAGAAGAAACTTGGATTATCTATGTTGAAGATACACGATAATATAAATGTAAATAATGTTAGAAACTTACATGAAGTTTATAGTTGATGTAGAAGAAGAAAAGTAAAGAAACTTATTGTCTGTTTATGCATACATTGTAGCTTTTTATATATGATAACATTCTGTTCTCGGTTGGAAATTTCCAACTTCTTATCAAACCTTATTCGTCTAGTTTTTTTTCTAACGTCATTGTTAAGATAACGTCAGTTTTATCTTTTCTTTTGTTTCGTAAGAACATCTAAAGATGGTATGCATGGCGTTAACATTCTTATCTAAAGCAAAGAGCAAAAAAAAGACTTTTGTCATATTATCATTCTTGACTCATTTATTTCACGATCAAGTTGATAAAAATCCAAATCTTACCATCGAATATGTTGAAATAAACGTTATCGAAAATCTAATAAACATTCATTTTACAACTTTTTTCAAAATATCGTAAAAAATTAAAGATATAAAATGATCTGCTTAAATCTGATAAAGGAGGAGGGCGGGTAAGGCCATTTTGTGGCCCCCTTCAGAATTCGTTTATTTATATCAGGCTTGAATAAGGGGTCAATAGTGATCACTTTTTTCAACTTTATTCTTTGAAAAACGACATTGACCATTTTCATGGCTGGGGTCCCCCCAGGTATTATGGGAAAAAAAATTTCTTTTTTCACGAGTCAAAACTAGATGTGCCTGTAGATTCAGGGGTGCTGATTACGAATATCATAATTAGAACTCTCAAAATGCCTTTATTTTTTATATAGCCCTAGTCACTCTCTACACCCCATTTTTCATATTTGGACCCCCCGGCAAGTAATTATTCGTTAAAATTTAGTGAAAAATATTTTTTCTAACTCAGAATTTCGAGTTCTCTACGAATCTGAACTTTTTATTCCGAAAAATTGTAATCTAGAAAAAAAAATAGTACATTCCGGGATAGAAAATGACCCTAAGTTGGTAATATATATCTTTATCCCTATGATTTTCTCATGAAAAGTTCGTGGTGGCAACGTCAAACTTTGACCAATGTAGCAGTTTTTCGAGCTCTATCCACTGGTGATCTCAAAAATATGAAAAAAGTTGGGCAACAGGGTCAAAAACTGAAAATATCGATAAATTCTATAAAATGCCGGGGGGGGGGGACCACAGGTACGAGTTTACATGATGTCTTCGAAAACATGATTTACCATAGTATTATTGTAGAACTCGATAAATTATACTTTCTCTGAGAATTTCACGACTTTCTAAACTTTCTATAACGAGATATGAGTGTCTGAAGATTTGCCGTCCCACCTAATATAGATCCCACCCTAATTAAAGTTCTGAGACCTGTATCTCATTATAGGTAGCTCAGAAAGTCGTGAAATTCTCAGAGAAAGTATAATTTATCGAGTTCTACAATAATACTATGGTAAATCATGTTTTCGAAGACATCATGTAAACTCGTACCTGTGGTCCCCCCCCCCGGCATTTTATAGAATTTATCGATATTTTCAGTTTTTGACCCTGTTGCCCAACTTTTTTCATATTTTTGAGATCACCAGTGGATAGAGCTCGAAAAACTGCTACATTGGTCAAAGTTTGACGTTGCCACCACGAACTTTTCATGAGAAAATCATAGGGATAAAGATATATATTACCAACTTAGGGTCATTTTCTATCCCGGAATGTACTATTTTTTTTTTCTAGATTACAATTTTTCGGAATAAAAAGTTCAGATTCGTAGAGAACTCGAAATTCTGAGTTAGAAAAAATATTTTTCACTAAATTTTAACGAATAATTACTTGCCGGGGGGGTCCAAATATGAAAAATGGGGTGTAGAGAGTGACTAGGGCTATATAAAAAATAAAGGCATTTTGAGAGTTCTAATTATGATATTCGTAATCAGCACCCCTGAATCTACAGGCACATCTAGTTTTGACTCGTGAAAAAAGAAATTTTTTTTCCCATAATACCTGGGGGGACCCCAGCCATGAAAATGGTCAATGTCGTTTTTCAAAGAATAAAGTTGAAAAAAGTGATCACTATTGACCCCTTATTCAAGCCTGATATAAATAAACGAATTCTGAAGGGGGCCACAAAATGGCCTTACCCGCCCTCCTCCTTTTCAAAGATAAAAAGTGGTGTCATTTTTGAAATAAAATTTTACAGCAAATCAATATTTTAAACTCATTAAGTTTATTTTAAAAAACATTAATATAATTAATAATCTCACATGGCTAGTTTAATGAGATTGTTTACCACATACATATTTACACTTGCATTCTCAACATGCTTGAAAATGGGCTCATATGAATATACAAATATAGTAGAAGTTGTAAACGATAAATAACTACATGTTTGATATGAATGTGATATCAGAAGAGAAATACATTTTTCTTTGTAATCATACTAAATTTTATAAATTATTTAATTCATAATCTCTCAAAAATTTATATAAAATATTTTCTACTCTCTTGATAATTATTTAAATGAATAAAAATAAAAATAAAAAGTGAAAATATCTCTCATTTTAAAAACATTTTTTTAGTTTCATCAATCAACGATCTCTATTGTTTATTTACAATGAAGTTTTATTTAACTGATTGTTTCTATAAAACTAGTTTTGTGTTTTTTTTAGTATTATCCTTCTAATGAAATGCACAAGAAAATGTTAACACATTTGAAAACTCTTTGTAATAATTAATGTCTATTGAAATATCATACTAGAAAGATAGACCGATACAATAATTACTTAAAGTGAAATTATGTAAAGCTCTTTCGATAATGAAGATTTTTTTGAATCAAATTGTTTCAAGTTGCTTGTCGTTTTTGTTATTTAACAAATTATAGATTCTAGTATGGCTGAGATATAATCTATCTCATACCTATAACACTCTGCTGTTTCAAAAAACATGCAAATGGAAGTTGAGCCGGAACAATTTTCTAATGACATTTATAGGTGTAGGAGTATCTTATCATCTCCGATACTAACACACGGTGACGCAAAGCTCAGCATGAGATGAGACAATTCCATTCTATGAGGAAAACATATTTAATAAAAGCTCATACTGTTTTTTACTTTAAACAACCAGCTACTTCAATATAAATGTTGTTCGAGTGGAATTCTTGTGAAATAAAACTTTTGCTATTCGATAAATAATAGGGTTGATGAGTCGAAACTTTTTTAGAATTGTTTCAACTTTCACAGAACACTTCGTAATAGTTCGTCTCATAGTAGAACTTTCTCTGCTCCATCTATCATTTTTGAAGTCCTGTTTTAAAGATAAAAAAAGATATTTTCTATATTATCACTGTATCGATTGCAAATATTACCTTGATCAATTAGCCGTACAGTTATATTTTATTTACGATTTCACCAGACAATTTCTACTGCCCGTATGTATTTGGATCATCTATTAGAATATATAGCAAAATCTTCAGAAAATAGTACCTATGATATGATCTTTTGTTTTAGGTTCATTAAATAGTATAATTGAGATATTGCAGATCTCGTAATAGATACAATTAAATAACGTTCTCGTCATTAACTTGCCACAACAATATTTACACAAGTTAGAGAAAATAGTTTCCTTAATAGATCCTTGTATATTGTGTATTATATACAATAACAAAAGTGTTAAACCCTTGATAAGTTTATATTTTGTCTCCTTTTCATGATCATATACTTTATATTTTAGTATCACTATGAAGTCATTTTATCTGTCAAGATTAATACTTTGTTTGTTTCAAGTGACATTTATTAAAAGTTCTCATAAACCAATGTATCAACCTTCAAAATGATACTTCAATATATATATTGTATATAACAATTTAAACAAACATTATTCATTCAAATATCCAATGTCAAGAATATATGACAAAATTATTCACATTTTCCTTTTTTATTGTACAGTTGTCGTTAGAAATCTTTAACTTAGATTATATTTACGTGTTACTATTCATTAATTGTCTATTCATTTTATTCTTGATATATTTGAATAGAATTTAATGATGAATTGAAGATAGTGAGAGCTTCAGGAGGCAATTTATCGCAACGCGAAATGGTCAACGCCCCTTCGTGTCTTTCTCATCAATCTATTACTGATTGAACTATAATAACTATAATCTTCGAAGAGACTATATTTATTCTGAACAAGTATTATTCTTCATATTTAAATAGAACTATTGTATTTCTCATATTATTTCGTTATACAATTATTATTTCTGTAAGTAAATATTCAAATTTTATTATTTTCTTTTAATTTATTTAATTTTAGTTATTTCATTCGATCGATACCGAGTGACATCTATTGAATAATTACAAAATCTAAATAATAATCATAAAATTAATAAATCCTATTTATAAAAATAATGAAAAATAAATAATAATAAAAAATAAATAATTATATATATAGATTGATGAATATCAAAATGGTCTAGGGTTTGTTCTGTTCTTCTTTTTTTTTCTTCTTCTTTCTTTCTTCTCTATGATTGATTTTGTTTATTTTCTTTGTCATCATTAAATTTCACTCCCTTGTTATCGTTCGTCATCAATATTATCTCATTACTATGTTGATCGATAAGATGATGAAGATCCTTAGAGCATTCTATGAAAGACAAAAAAAAAGAAAATAGTTTAAATAGTATTAATATCTATTCTATCAAGAACAAATATTTTTCATCTATTGACGATTGATTATAGAACACTTTATCTCTTACATTCTATATTGATCATATGCGTTCAGATATTTCCCCTAGGATCTATTTTTCTTCTTCTTCTTTTTTTCATGTTTAATTGTTGCTTTAAGCTTTCGTTAACGAATTTCATTTTTTTTTGGTGTTTCTAGATGAGACTTATATGATTATCAATATGCCTGTTCGGAAACAAGGTTTGAATTTTTTTTTGTAAATAAACAATTTTTTTTATAATCTGATTTTCTATTATTAGACGCTTATCGAGCATTAGAATTGCTCGAAGAATATTATAATCGTCTTGATTCACCAGAAGATAAACCATTAAAAAATGCCATAGACAGGTAAACGAATATTAAAAAAAAAATAATTTCATCTTTTATTAAATAAATTATGTTATTTTTAGAGTTATTAAAGTTTTTAAAAGTCGACTTTTTCAAGCATTAATTGGTATTAAACTAAAATTGTAAATTTAATTTTTTTTACAAAAATTTATTTTAAATAGATATTCAAGAATTTTATGAATCAATATTACTCGATGAACAACGTGATCGTTTAGCTAAAATGGATGCAACCCTTCATTTAGCTGAAGAATGGGAAAAACAACCAATGCTTAAACGAAATATACGAGTATGTATATATAATAATCACTTATTAGACTAGTAAAGCTTACCTAAGTTTAGTTATAAAAACTTTTTTTTTATACATGAGTATTAGATGGAACGGAAATGAAGACGATTGTTTGTGCTTATGTTTAAATGGAGAAATTTCCGTAAGCGACAAAAAAAAGAAAAGCTTTTTAGCTAAAATTTTATAGAATTGATATGAATGTAATTTTATTTCAATGCTTCGACGACTCATTCTTTTCCTGTCGATAGTTCAAATAGAGACGACGTAAAACTCGAATACAATATTTGAACTTTATATACATAAGTTTCGAATGAATTTTTCCTCTTAGTAACCAGGGTCAAATGTCAACAAATATGTTTTTCTTTCTGGTACAATAGATCTCCGTCTCTATCAAAACATATCTTAGTTTGTATTAAGTCTGCAAATGACACATTTTAATTTACAAAGTATTGAATTGACAACATGCTTCTAGGTAGGAAGCAAATGAATATCGATCGTAGTTGACTTCTTAATTAATTCTATTCCATAGCGTTCAATCTTGTCGATAAGAATAAATAATTAACTCGAATAGGATCATTACTCATTTCATTAATAAATCCCTATTCAGTCTTATTGGAGAATGTAAAACTAATGAAAATGAAATTGCAGATTAAAATTCGAAATTTAGTTTTATCCGAAGTATAAAATACTATAAAGCAAGTACGGAAACTACGGCATTGTGACAGTAGTATAAATTCTTTTCTACTCTCTAGTGCCTGTTTCTTAGAACAAAACTGCATATAATTAGATTAACATTGATTTAATAAGTCAGATTTATTTTTGAAGATGAAAACAGAACCGTTGTAATAGATTTTTCGGTAGTCTAAAATCCATTAAGATATATATATATATATATTAGTGATTAGAAATCTGATAAATAAGTTAAAACTCTAAGCTCTTCCAATGTGTTTCATTTGAGAAGATTGTAAATTTTATAATTCATCAATTTAAAATGGTACAAAGTCTGACTTACAATTTTTTCATATGAAATTGAGACTCTTGTACGATTTCTGATTAATCTATATGGTATCTCAAGTCGATAACCTCTTATGTTTTTATTGTTGCATCAGCAAATTCTGAAGTGAAAAGAACTTTTTCTTATCTGCATATTTTTTTACAGATAAGCTTTGAAAAGAACTAGAGTATCATATGGGGGTGTGGCGATAAGAAAGAACACTAGTTAATACATTTTGTTATTATGCAGGGTATTTGCATATGTCCTTATTACAGGAAAAAATCCAGCTCTAATTATAAAGTAATATCCCTATTGCTAATCCTCAATTTACATAAATCATCATTTTATCAAAACGGTAGTGTCAGATCGGCAATCGTATTTTTTGGGTTTCGTTATATCGCGAAAAAAAGAGATCGATTGAACTATATATTGAATCCTAACACTCAGTTCTGGTATCAAATCAATAAGACAATAAAATATTTAGTCAATGATCTTTATAGTAGAGATTCGTATAGAAAATTTATTAAACTAAATTAAAAAAAAAGACTGACCTATAAATGTTTTCTATAGAATGGTACACCTACAATCGAATCACCAGCAATAGCTCCAATTGTAACAAACAATCCAACAGCCCGACCACCATCAAATATTAAAGAAAATAGTAAACGACAAGCAACACCAACACCATTTTCTCAAATAGCTGATGTACAAGATGGAGGAGGAGGAGGAGGAGCTGTTCAAAATAATCGACCAAATATTCCAGCAATAAATTCACCTATTGATATAACACAATTTAATTATGATGATCATTGGCAAGAAATCGAAGTTGATCTTGATCGGGTAAAGAATAGTATAAAATGAAAATTTTGTTTTTCACTTACATTTCATTTAGGGACCTGGTGTCGGTCTTGGATTTTCGATTGCTGGTGGAATTGATACGCCTTGTATTAGTGATTCGCCAGCTGTTGTTATTACACGTATAACTGAAGGTGGTCTTGCCGATCGTGATCAACGATTAAAGTAAAAAAATAAATATATATAATAAAAAAATTTTATTATTTTTTTTATTCCAGACTTCATGATATTATTTTACGTGTTAATGAAATGGATTTTACTCAAATTGAACATCAAGCTGCAGTTGATGGACTTAAAGCAGCTGGTAATCATGTTAGTCTAGTAAGTTTTGTTTTTATCTCATGAATAAATTTAAATAAAAAATATCGATTTCTTTTCAGTCAATTCGTCGTTTATCACCACCTGTTATGGAAGAAATTCAATTAAATCGACCACCAAATGCACATCTAGGCTTTTCAATTGCTGGTGGAATAAGCCATGAACATGTTAAAGGGTTAGTATTTTATTTTCTAAACGAAATAGATTTTTGAGAAAAAGAAAACCCAACTTCTTACTTCTAGAGATTATGGAATATTTATTACAAATATAATTCCAGGTGGAATTGCTGATAAAAATGGACGATTAAAAGTTGGTGATCGTCTTATGCATGTACAATCATTGGTAAGACGACCTAATTCGTATTTTAGATTTTAATTATATTTTTATTTCAATAGAAAAATGGTTATGATCTTCAATTTGTTGAACATAAACATGCCGTTGAATCTATTCGACGTGCATGTGATGAAGGTCTAACAATAACTTTGTTAGTTGGCCATCCAACTGATTATTCAGGCTTAGCTGATACAACAATCCAACCAATAAATGGGCATCGTTCACCTATACAAAATGATGATCAAGGAGATTTACCATTGTAAATTTTCATTAAATAATTAATTGTATTCGATATTTATTTATTTTTTGTTTATCAGAGAACGTCGAGTTTTACTTCGTCGTAGTCCAAATGGTTTTGGTTTTAATATTGTTGGTGGAGATGGTGATGAAGGTATTTTTATAAAATTTAAAAATAGTTTCTAATTCAAGATCTACTGAACATATAAACTAATAGGATAGTGTGTGAATATAATTTATTTAATCTTATAAGAACGGAATTCCTTTTTATGCGAAATTCTAATTTTCAAAAGTATTATTGAAAACAAGAAAATTGACGAAGAACATACATTGCATGTTAATAGATATTTACATGCTTTTACTCTTATACATCATGATAATCTTTTAAGAATTATAGATTTAATCCTCGTGTGACAAAGTCTTATAAAGGAAGTTGTCATTATGAAATTAGTTATTTTAGTAGAGAAAAAATTGAATGAAATTAAAGTCATTAAAAAAAGTAGCTCTACATATAGTTGAAAAATATTTTCATTCTCGTAGTTGAAACACTCAGGTGAGTTTGAGACATGTAGAAAAGTCTTAGTTTTGAATCTCAATATAATATTATAGAATAACAACAGGTTTTTAGGAAGTTTTATTTAAAAAAGAAAACATGTATATACAATTTTGTATCGATCAGAGTTTGTTGATAGCTAATATAAACATAGATTTCATCGTTATGACTTGCTAGGCAGTTGATGTAAGCAAATAGATAACATTTGTTTTGATTATTTGTAATAGAAATTATTACGTAATCAAGTCACTAGGCAATCGCATTCATTGACTTATGTCTCAGATTACAAGAAAAAAAAAGCTTGTGTTACAGAAAATATCTAGTCCTTGATTTTTATTATCTACATAGAAGAATTTGCTAAATAACTTACTCTTTACAAAAAACATAAATATAAGGTAAATATGTGGATATGTATGCGTTCGTCATTTTGAAAAACGATTAGTAACAAACAATCGAGGTCAGACAAGTGATATTCTATGAAAGATCTTAACTTTGATTTTTGAGATGATAGATCAATAGTCTAATACTAACACCGGTAATATTACATCTCTGGTGTAGGTTCTATAAAATGACAGTATTATATGATGAAAAATGTCTGTCATTTGTTATATTTCAACATTAAAGATAGGCATTGACAGAACATTATCGATAGTATCGATCAAAAAAAACAAACTTGGAATGTTCTCAAAGATATCATAGATTTTTGTTAATCTCATACGACAAAAAAAAATCTTTTCTTATATTATATACTTTTATTTTTCTCTTTTAGGCATTTATATCTCATTTATTCAAACAGGTGGTGTAGCTGACAAATCAGGCGAATTACGTAAAGGAGATCGTATATTATCAGTCAATAACATTGATTTTCGTGGTGTTACTCATGAAGATGCAGCAACAGTGCTAAAAAATTGTGGAGATACAGCTGAATTACATGTTATTTATAAATATGATGATTTTATTCGTTTTGAAAATCGTATCGATGAACGTCGAAGTAAAATGACAGGTGAAATTGCTGGTAGTACAGGAAGTTTAAAAACTTCAACAAAACGACAATTTTTTGTTCGGTAAATTTGATATGAAAAAAAAATTATTTCTAAATAAATCTTCTATTGTTTTTTGTGTTTAGAGCTGAATTTGATTATGATCCATCAAAAGATCCCAGTATACCAGGTGATCGTGGTTTATCATTTCATGCAGGTGATATCCTTTATGTAACAAATGCAGCTGATGATTCTTGGTGGCAAGCTAAACGTGTAACAGATGGACAAGAAGAAGAAGAATTAGGAATAATTCCTTCGAAATCCCGTGTCGAAAAAAAAGAACGTGCTAGACAAAAACGTGTAAATTTTAATCAAGGAAGTAATAGTCGAGTAAATATATTCTTTGAAAATTAATCTCAATTATTATTAATATTCGATTTTTCTTCTTCATTTGAAGAGTAATACACTTGATAGAGACAAAAAGAAAAAGAAGAAATTTGGTTTATTTGGAAAAAGTGGCGATAGGAAAGATGCACAATCAGGCGATGAATCAGATAATGAACAAGACAATCTTGAACCTGTACCATCATATGAATTAGTTTCTCAACATGAAGGTAAATATATAAAGACAATTAACTTAATATTGATCGGTTGTTTTTCTTTGTAAGAATAACTAAAATTTGAATATTTTACTTGATTATGTTGATAAAGAATGCCATATATTAGTAAGATTGATTTGACCCTGATAATTTCATTTCTGTCAGAATTTGACATGACAAAAATGTTAATTTATAGTTTCCCTATTTTGAAGCAGAATTTTTATTAGTACTACCCAAATTACTAGATTCAACCGTCGAGTCTAATAAATGTTCAAGTCTACTTCGTTGGAAATCGTAAGAAATGATCTGTGATGGATCATGCCATTTTAATTCATTCACTTTCATAGATTTACAGTTGCTCAAATTGATTAAGTACGACATCTCTTAGTCATTGGCAACTGTCAGTTGTAGAAGGAAACATTGCATGAGGTTTATGACTCATTTAAGTTTAGCATATTGATGTTTACTATTCTACATATCGAAATCGAAATATTGAATAGTGTTTAGTATAAAAAAAAAGTAGTAATTTCACCTTGTGAGAACAAATTAGCCCCTATCTCCTCCGAGCATCTTATGTCTATCAGGGAGGGGTCGGTCTCCATAATCCCTCCTGTAGGCGCGCCACTAGGATCAAATGTTATGAAGGTTTCTTACTATTAATTTAAGCAATACTAATATGAATATATTGTATTTATTTAGTTACTCATACAAGACCAATTATTATCTTTGGTCCATTTAAAGAACTTCTTAATGATCAACTTCTCAATGATCGACCTGAAAAATTTGCTAATTGTGTACCACGTATGTATTATAATAAATATTGATGAACTTAAATTCTATTTTTTTTATTAAAAGATACAAGTCGTTCAAAACGTGAGAAAGAAGTTGATGGACGTGAATATTACTTTGTTCCAACACGTGAACAAATGGAAAAAGATATACAAAATTATCTATTTATTGAAGCAGGCGAATATGGAGGGAATCTTTATGGTACAAGTGTTAATGCTGTTCGTGAAGTTGCTAATTCTGTATGTTAATTAAAGTTAAATTAGAAAATAATTTATTATTTTTTTTTTGCTCATGCAGGGAAAACATTGTATTTTGGATGTCAGTGGTCATGCAATTCGACGTTTAACAACTGCTGGTCTTTATCCAATTGCTTTGTTTGTTAAACCACGTGATGTTAAATGGATTTTGTAAGTTTCGAAAAAAAAATAATTTTGATTCAACATGATTTCTCCTTTTTTTTTTAGAGATAATATGGGAGATGAAGCAAATGAAGAACGTGCTCAACAAATCTATGAAAAATCAATTAAAATTGAACAACAATTTGGAGATGTTTTAACAAGTAAATAATATTAAGATTATTTAATTGAAATTTAAAAATGAAATTTTTTATTTATTTTTCTAAGGTGTTATTGAAGATGAAACATTAGGCGATGTTTATGATCGTATTTGCGAAGTTATTGATCGTGAACAATCACTTGATCATGTATGGGTACCAACCAAAGAAAAACTTTAATGTATATTGTTTTTTTCTACTGATTTCTTATATCTTCTTTACTTTTTTTCTTCTTGTGCACCGACCTTGATCTACTATTCATTGTGTAGATGTATCTTTTTCTCTGTCACATTTATTTGTCTGCACCGTATGTCTCTTTTTCTTATAGTATTTTCTTGTTGAATTTGATCTATATTTGCGAAAAAAGGCAAAATGTTTTTTTTTCTTCCTTGTTTGTTTGTTTATGTGTGTGTGCGTGTGTGTGTATGTGTGTTGCAATCGAATGTCATCTTTAAAAGACAAATAATTAGATTATCATGAACGTGTTTTCTTTTTCTTTCTTCTCATTTTGTAAAATTAACATTTCGAATGAATGTTTTTTTTGTTCTCTTGAATAATATGAAAAAAACAAAAAATAAAAGTTCGGTAGGAAAAAGAATTAAATAAGTAGCAGAAAAATATTCAATTTGTTTTTTATTGATATTGTATAATACATATATACATAGATGTTTCGACTAAATACAGCTATATTTCGGCATTTACCATTGTTTCAACGAGGATCGATTATATCGAATATTGGACGATGCCAGTCGATAGAACATAGATGTGATGGTGAGCTTTGTTTAGAAAAAGAAGAAGTTATTTTTCATTTGTATATCATTCATTTTGTCTAGTCGAAGATGCTCTTGATGAAGAACAGAAAGCTATTCAACAGACAGCTTATCAATTTGCTCAAACTGAAATGGCACCTTTTATGTATGAATGGGATCGAACCGTAAGCAAAAATTTATAGATTTGTTTAAAAATATATGCATATATATAGGAATATTTTCCCAAAGATACGCTTCGTAAGGCAGCTCAACTTGGTTTTGCTGCAATTTATTGTCGTGATGAATTTGGTGGAACTGGTGGTACTCGACTTGATGCATCGATTATTTTCGAAGCATTATCACAAGGATGTGTTTCTACAGCAGCTTATCTCAGTATTCACAAGTATGAAAAAATTGTAATTTGTTCTTTTTTTTCTATTATAATATATTATTTCAGTATGTGTGCATGGATGATTGATGCATTTGGATCTGATGCAAATCGTTCTAAATGGGTACCACGATTATCTACGATGGAATTATTTAGTTCATATTGTCTTACGGAACCAGGTTAGTATATATTTTAATATTGATTATTTACGATGAAATTCAATTATTAAGAATATCGATTTGTATAATTTATTTAGGATCTGGAAGTGATGCTGCATCTCTTAGCACTCGAGCTGAAAGAAAAGGTAATAAATATATATTAAATGGTACAAAAGCATTTATTAGTGGTGGTGGTGAAAGTGATATTTATCTTGTTATGTGTCGAACCGGTGATCAAAGTCCAAAAGGTATATCATGTATACTTGTCGAAAAAGATTCACCAGGATTATCATTTGGCAAAAAAGAAGAAAAAGTATATTTAATAATTTATAAATAATTAAATACGAGAATTGAAACTTTTTAGATGGGATGGAATTGTCAACCAACAAAACAAGTAATCATGGATGATTGTGAAGTGCCTATTGAGAATCTCATTGGAAAAGAAGGTCAAGGTTTTGAAATAGCTATGCGTGGTTTAAATGGTGGTCGAATAAATATTGGTAATATAAAATTAAAGATATCAATAAAATATTTCGTTTATTTTCTTCTTTCTTTTCAGCTAGTTGTTCACTTGGCGCAGCCGAAGCAAGTATGCAAAAAACCGGTGAATATTTAAAAGTACGAAAACAATTCGGTCAAACTCTTAGTCAATTCCAGGTACGAAAAAAAACAGAAGTCTATATCAAATTATAACATTATATTTATTATTTTCAGTATTTACAATTTAAATTTGCAGAAATGGCTACAAAATTAGTTGCAAGTCGTTTATTAGTTCGTAAAGCTGCATTAGCATTAGACCAAAAATCACCAGATACAGTATCATTATGTGCTATGGCAAAATTATTTGCTACAGATACTTGTTTTGATGTATATATACTGATATAAATAATAAATGAAATAAAAACAAATTTTATTTTAGATATGTAATCAAGCATTACAAATGCATGGTGGTTATGGTTATATTAAATCAACACCCATACAACAATATGTTCGTGATTGTCGTGTTCATCAAATTCTTGAAGGTTGATTAAAATATAATATTAATAATTTAATTGTTTTCTTTTTAATCTTAGGAACAAATGAAGTTATGCGTTTAATTATCTCTCGAGATGCATTAAAACGATATGGTGCATAATGATGTTAATTTTACATTTGTTTTCCTATTCAATCTCATCATAAAAGAATGATAAGAACAGTATTGTAATGGATATATATATATGCTTTGAAAATTTTTGCATAAGTTTTGTTGCAAACAGAATTATCGATCTTCTAAAGAAATAAAATAACTTTTCCCGAATACTTCCTTTTTATGTGCATACCGATAGATTAAACTAGACAAATAGGTCTAGTTGAAAATAGTAAAATGAATTTTCGAAGATATAAATAATTGTCTGCAGAATAACGCTTAATCACAAGCCTTGTGCAGTTCTGCTACATTAGCATTAAATGAATGTTTACTTTCTCAAGGTCATCGTTTGATGAGATTATATGGATCAATTTGTTTGCAAGATAATATCTATGTGCAATAGAGCATTAATTTAAATGTTAATCAATAATATAGTATATGGACAACTTTAAATTAAAACGTTTAATAATAGAAAATTATCTTTTTGTTTTTATTCTTTATAAAAAATATTTATAATAACTGATTTTTCGGTTTTGATTGAATCTTTTATATCAAACGGTGTTTCTCTTTTCGGGTGGGCACTGTCTATCAATGTTTTGTCTAAGTCTTGTTTTTTGGATGGGCGAAGCGAAATGTCAGATGGGCGCCGACGACTCGCTAGATAAAACGCTTATTATTTAACTATACTAAGTAAATAATTACAATTAGAATATTGTATTGATATAAATTTCAAAACATTGAATAGTTATATATCGAAATAAATTGATTTTTGCTAATCACATATTAAATTCAATTCACTACAGTTTCTGAATAATAGCTCATTCATCAATATTATTAGTCAAAACAACGCATGCAAATAAAAAATATTGACCTATGAAGAATTATCATATGTAAAGAGAGAAAAGTTTTTAAATATCAAATAAATAGCGTTGACTTGAGATGTAACACAAATAGACATATTCATATTTTGACTTATAATTTATTGTAACAGTACTGTATTCCATATATTTGATGTATGTAAATGATTTATTTCTTGATATAATATATATCCGGAAGACAAAAGAAGAGAGTATGGATATTCACCCTACTTAAAAATGATTTCCTTTCTCTTTCTTACATATGTCTTTTGTCGGCATTTATTTTTCCTCCTTCCTTTTACTGTCAAATCCAGAGGACACAGAACGGCTGCATCATCTAATATTGATTTGACGTTTTCGATTGATTTACTTGCCTCGAGAGAATCATCAGAAAGATAGAAACAAGTTTTATCTTCATTACTATTCTTTCTAATAAAGTTAATTCGTCTTGATCTAATTAAGTAAATCAAAAGAAGAGTTAAGTGCTATTGAAGAGGGGGAAACGAACAAGTAGGGGGCAAAAAATAGAAAGCATTATAGACGTATATTGTCTAAGTTTACTATGTTATTATTATAATACATGTATAGTTGGTAATAGAATGATAATGGTGGAAAAGAATATTCTTTCTTATATTTCCTTTCTTTTCTTTTTTCCGATGATGTTTAGTCGTCTATCACTGCTGTTGCCTTTCTTATCGATCTTTATTCTATTGTTCCAGGCGATACTCGATATAAAAAATAGATCACTAGCACAGTATCATTTGTCTTTCGTCAATTTAACACTTGGCTATGGCAATTAGATATATTCTACTGATCGAAAAAGCAAAATAATGTTCAATTTTTGTTTCATATTTATTATTTTATTTTTTAAGAAAATATATGGTAAGATTAAATTTACAAAAAAATATATATATATAAGAAAATTTTTTGATTTATTCATAATAGAAACAAATGGAAATGTTGATGCTAAACGTCTTTTAAATGAACTTATGAAAGATTATAATAAAAATGTTTTACCAGTTCAATCAATTAATCAAAAAGTAAATGTAACATTAGGTTTAAAATTATCGCAATTATCTGATATTGATGAACGAAATCAAATAATGACAACAAATGTTTGGCTTGAACATGTAAAATAAATATATTTTTTAAATATCACATTGATTTTTTTGAATTTTTAGGAATGGTCAGACTATAAATTAACTTGGGATCCAAGTCAGTATGGTAATATTGATGTTGTCGAAATTCCATCATCTGATATATGGGTACCTGATATTGTTTTATATAATAATGCAGATGGGACATATGAAGTTAATACTATAACTAAAACTCATGTTGTAAGATAATTTGATATTTCTTTTTTTTATTTAAATAAATGATTTTTTTAAAGTATTGGAATGGAACAATTAAATGGAATCCACCTGTTATATATAAATCTTATTGTGATATTAATATTCGATATTATCCATTTGATGAACAAAATTGTACATTAAAATTTGGTACATGGAGTCATAATGGAAATCTAGTATAATTAATGTAATAATGAATACTGATAGTCTAAGGTTTTTTTTTCTATTGAATTTAGGTTGATCTCAATCATGAATCAGGACAAATTGCTGTTGATGATGGAATAGATCTGACTGATTATTATCAATCAATTGAATGGGATATTCTTTCTGTTGTGAGTATGATTCATAAGAAAATTTATCAAGTGAAGAACTAATTGTTTACAACAAGTTTTTTGAGTCGTTGCAAGTATGCTAATAGTCTTTAGTTAAATTCGAACATAAAATAGGTTTTTATGTCTGATAAAACAAACTCTAAATCAATCGATTAGATATCATGTCAACCCTAAGACCGATTTTTTTTTCGTTAATTATTCATAGAATAACTAATTAAACTTGAATATTTATTATTTAGCCGGCATTTCGTCATGTTCTTTTTTATGATTGTTGTAAAGATGATCCATATTTTGATGTAACATTTATATTAATTATTCGACGTAAACCATTATTTTATACAGTTAATCTTGTAATTCCATGTGTTAATATTGCATTTCTTACTATTCTTGTATTTTGTTTACCTAGTAAGTATAAATAAATATTAATATTAATTGAAAATAATTCTATTTTTCCAAATTTTTTAGGTGATTGTGGAGAAAAATTAACTTTATCTATTTCAATTTTTGTTGCACTTCAAGTTTTTTATCTTCTTTTAATTGATCTTATACCTCCAACATCATTAACAATATCATTACTTGGAACATATTTACTTTTTACTTTAGTACTTGTTAATGCATCTATATTTATTACAATAATAACATTAAATATTCATTGGCGTCATCCAAATACTCATCATATGCCTGATTGGGTTAAACGATGGTTTTTAATAATAATTCCACCATTTGTATTCATGTCAAAACCACGTATTGCTGATGTTATTTTACAATTGGATGAAAAAGAAAATCTCATTCCTGATGAAACTAATATAAAACGTTTAAGTGATTACATGCAAACTATATCAGTTGATAAATATCCACCAGTAATTCAACGAGCTATAAAAGATATTCGTTATATAAGTGAAACACAACGTGATGCACAAAAAGATGATCTAGTAAAAAAATAAAATAAATATAATCAATAAATCTTCTTTTTGTTTTATAGGAAAGAGAAGGTTGGAGATTTATTGCACTTGTTATTGATCGATGTTTCTTAATAATATTTACTATTTTTACAATAATTGGTACATTTCTCATTTTATCTGCTGGTCCGCCCACAAAATATAAAGTTATTCGTTAGAATAATCATAATAAAAAATCCATACTTATGTTAATTTTCGTTCCTATAATTTATTGTCAAAAATAGTTGTGCTATTTTAGTTATGTATTTGTTTTTTGCCTGTTCATTTTCAAATGATAATAAATAATTTTAATGTGATCTCATCATTTTCTTAGATTAATACATAGAATAGTTCTAGAACTTATTTTGTTTTTTGTGTATTAATCGTTATCATACAATTTATCTTATACCATTCATATTCAAGATGTTAATCATATATTATAAACAAATTATAGAAAGAAATATTCCGATTAGAATCATACAATAAATAACATTTTTCAAAACGAAATGACTGACAGAGCTAAAAAAAAATAATTGATGTATTAAATTAATCTATGAGCAACGCATCAACGAATATTGCGCAGCGTAATATACGCACGAATGATTTGTACGCAGATAATTTGCGCACAAGATAAATATATTTTTGAAATCTAGGAAAACAAATGTGAAGTACTATAATATTGAAATTAAAGTTAGTTGATTTATTTACAAAAAATAAAATACAGAGATTTATTTTGATGTAGTCAATGATGTATTATATTTTTGAAATGCACAATCAAATTTGAATTTTTTTTCTTTCATAAATTGATTTTTTAATTCAACCCAACTCCATTTAAATGTTGATAAAAGATTTTTATCTGGTATGATTATATTATTTAAATATATTGTATAAAAATCTTCTTCATCATTTGCTTTTCGTATACGTGTTACTTCAAATAGAGTCCATGGTAAAATAAGTACTTCTTCTTCATCTTCATATTCACTTAAACATGGTATATCCGTTGATATTCTTGAAAGATCAATAGCTTGATCACAAATATTTGGAAAATCAAATATAAATAAAACTTGCAAATTTTTATCACTAGTACTTATTTTCTCATATGCAAATCCTTCAGCAATAAGACGATCTTTTGATGTTGAAGAAAATGAACGTGTTTGTAAAACTGTTCCGGAAATTTCCATAGCTCTTTGGTATGTTAATAATTGTGCGTATGACATACGTACACCACGATATACACGTCCTTTAAAAAAACGTTCTTTTAATTTTGGTAAATCAATAAATAATGGTAAAGCTAATGGTAAACAATCTTGTTGTAATGTTCGATAAAATTCTGTTTCAAGTGTATATAAATGTAATAATTGTTCAATTGAATGTGATTTTTTTTCATATTGTTCGATTAATTCATCTACTTTAATATAATCATCAGAATAATTTGAAGGTGTTTTTTCAAATGTACCTGTTAAACGTTTTATTATTGTTTGATGATTTAATGGTTCATCAGAATGTAAATGATTGACACAAAAACGAGCTAAACGTGATTGACACATTGTTTTTGAAGTTGCTGAATATTCAATTTCATGTTTTTTTTCTTCATCAGTTTTATATGTTTTTATAATAGATGGTCGTTCACTTTTCATTAATTTATCATTTTGATCTTCAATATCATTAACTTTAACTATATCGAAACATTCCGAAGCATTTTGTTCACAAAAACGTAAGGATACATTTGATGATGATGAACCTTTTTCATGATGACGACAAAATAATAAACGTATTGATTCTTTATTTAATACTGCTATATCATAAGCACTTTGATTTTGATTATTCAATAAACGTGATCGATAACAACCATGTTGTAAGAGAATTTTAACAATATTATCATGACCATTTGCAGCAGCAATATGTAAACATGTATTTCCATTATAAGATGATTCTTGTCGATTTAAATCCGTAGATGAATAGTTTGGTAGAAGCTTACGCACTTGCTCTACATCACCATCACGACATGCTTCATATAAAGGTACTATTGACTTTGAAGATGCCCGAATTGATAAAGAACGCTTAGAAGGTATACTAGAAGTTTGTCCCATCACACACAGTGCAAACAACGAAATAAAGAATAGTTACGCTTCAACAGATATTAATATCCTTTCTATTGATTCATTTACGCAGATAATATGACAAAAGCCCTTATCGAACGAATTAAATATTTTTTTTTATATGATAAATCGATTTAGTCATGAATATTATATGTAATGACAGTATGTGGTAAATGCGCCTTAAACCTAAACGTTGGACTTTGATCTAATTACTAATTATTTTTAGCTACACAAATAAAAAATTAATCAAAATAAATTCATTTATCCTAACTCAATGAATATCGTTTTTTGTTACTTGGCAAATCAATAGAGTACATTACATATATTCTCTTTCTAAATAAATCTATAATTAAAGCTCAAAATTAATATGAAAAAAAAAATTCGTGAACAATTAAAAGAGTGTTTCACAAAAAATTCATCGAAAAAATCATATTCATCAGTAAAAATAGAATAAATTTTATATGAAATAATTGTTTATAGTTTGATTTATTTGCTTCATCACATGTCCATCCAACAGTTAATTCACCTTTGGCAACTAATTCTTCAAGATAATCTCGAAGTGGTTGAAAATAACGTAAACATGATTTAGCTGAAAATGTTCTTATACCAGCAAATTCTTCTAATAAATCTTCCCAAGGTTTTGATGAACCTAATCCAAGTAATATTCTAAATAAAATAGTTTTATATAGATATAAAAAACAAAAAAAAAATAAGAAATCAACATACTTAAGTTTTTTTCCAGCAGCAATTGAACCATGTAAATCACATAAATGTAATGGTCCTGTATGGCCTGCTTCTTGACATAAAACATCAAATATTTGAAATTGAAAAACATGAGCAAGAAAATATCTAATAAAAACAAAAGAAAATTAAATATTAACAATATTTGATTTTTTAAATTACTTTATATAAGATAAATCAAAAGCAACATGAAGTTTAGTACCAGCATCAAAATATTTTTCATGACGAGGTTTTGCTGGTTTCATACCTTGATATTTACAACTAAATAAAAATTTATTCTTTAATTATTATATCTGTTAATACTTTTGAAAACTTAGAAGAAATCATAAAGAGATAATAATGTTTATCTTATTATTAATTATCATAGAAGTTATATAGAAAACATCTGAATGTCTTCTGGGTATTCTAATGTAATCAATACAAATGTTTGTTGTTTTGTTTATCGTATTTCTAGAGTAAGTTTCCTCGCAGTTGATATCTACGTCTTTCGTATATATTCATCTGTTAGATTATGTTACACATAATCACTAAAAAATGATAATTCATTTTAACTTCTATCATACTCATATCGAAACTTTATTTTTGACAGACTCTGACTGATTCTCTCGTAATAATTAGATAATTTACACAAGATTCCAATATTGTTTATTATATTGAAATGGTTGTATTGATCCATTATAAACTGACCAACGCCAAATATCAAGTGCATATGCATAAGGTGGTAGAAATAAACGACTTAAACCTTGAGAAAATAGAAATTTTATATTGTCTTCTAAAATGAAAAACAACACGATTTGTAAAATATTTCATTTTTTTGTGGAAATAACCTCGAGATGATGCATAATTCTCTAATAAACCAATACGTTTTAAATGAGTTGGTGACATTGCAGCTAATGCAATTGCATCACCAATTGCTTCACTAAATGCTCCATGTGGCGAACGACGGAACCAAAATGGTAAAGATTTATATTGTAAATAATGTTGAATATGACCCATTTCATGATGAACAACATAAAAATCTCGAGATGTTAAACTTGTACACATACGAATTCTAAATTTTATATTTAAAGAAAAAATTTCATTAATAAATAATTATATGATAAAACAAACCTAACATCATCATGTTTATACATATCGAAAGCAGCTGGATGACATCCCATATGACGATCAGGAATTTTTTTAAATACTGATAAATTCCAAAATTTATCTGGAGCTTCTGTTAAATTCAATGACGTAAAAAATTCATCAGCATAATGAAATATTTTTTCTTCAGTAAAATTCTAATCGAAATACAAAAATTTACTTTTATTGTAAATGAAAAAAAAGCAAACCTTTCGTTTCATTGATGGACCTAAATCAATTCCTTTAATATGAGGAAATGGTAAAACATCTTTTTCAAGATAAGTCATCATTGAACCAAATATATCTTCTATAAATAATAATAAAAAACAATATGAAGAAAATCATTCGTATTTTTTTTCTTCTCTACTTGTTAAATGAACTGGAATAGGTTGATCAAGTTGAATTAAGCCAGGATACAATTTACTCATTTGTTGTCTTACGTAAGCATGTAATAAACGATGTAATGGTTTTAATTCTTGCCATAACTGTTCAACAATACGACGTTCTTCATTGTTTGTTGTTGAATCAGTTTTATCATTTAAACCTCAGAAAGTAAAGAAAAATAAATGTTTTGAATGTAAATAGAAAATTTTGGGTAAGTAACTATGTTTATTTTAGAAAAGATCTATTATACTCATTTTAAATATTGGTGACCGTATTGAACTGAATGGAGAAAACTTTCGAGATAATTATATTCTATATTGAAATCTGATAATATCCAAGGAAGAAAATAATCTCAGAATACTCGTCATTAAAATCTCACAGTCAGATTTGATAACTAATTGATTCATCTGAGTCAAACGGTCACGTTAAGATATTATACGACATAATATAAAAATATTTACAAACAAAACATAAAAGATAGTTTTCAGATTTTTCCTACAGCGCATGTTGACAAATAGCAATATTTTGCCGTAGGGTGGTACGGCATCTCTTTATTGTTTATATGGAAGATTTAATTGTCAAGGATTAATTTATCCTATGTAAGATAAACTGTTTGAAAATATTTTTATAGATGTATGTCGATAATATCTAATAGATTTCCTACGTAAAATCAATTTTAAAATAACTTAGAGAATTAGATATGAGAATGGGTTACTGCTGAGGTACGGTTCTGTTTGGCCTGTTGATTTTGTACAGCAATTAATGTTGCATAGTGATCTCGCATAGATATCGGTACTTCATAAGTTGCATTCCATAATGCAAGAAGATCATCGGGTGATTCAAGTGAACCAAGTACTTCTGGTACTTCTATAAAATAAATTTTGAAAAAAAAACAAAATATACTTATTATTATTCATCTATTAAAATGAATACATTAACAAACCATCAATGCCTAATCTTGTTGTATTCCATGTAAACTTTTTATGGTATATTTCTTTAATACGACCTTTTAATTTTTGTAAATCATTTTTAATAACTGTATTAGTTTCTCCTGCATCACCAATAGCTTGTGTACGTATTAATAACCAACGTACTGATGAATGATTATTATTCATTAAACCTTTAAATTTTCGTCCCATAGTAGCAATTGTTTTTAAACAACCACGATAAGATTCATAATATTTTTCCTGAATTTAATTTTTTAAAATAAGATACAAAAAAACTTATTGAATTTACCGTTATTCGTTTTCTATTTGTATCATTTAAATATAAATGTGTTTCAAATTCAGCTGATGATGTTATATAAGCTAGAGTTGTGAGATTTTTATCATATTCATTCAAAATTGATATAACCTAGGTATATATAGAAATATTTCTTAAATAAGATGTCATAATACAAATATTTAACATCCATCGCTCGAAATCATTTATTTTAGTGTGGTGACATGGTTTTTAATCGATCGTTTTGTAAATAAAACTATTCTGTAAGATGTACATTCAAATTACTGATGGAAAACCTACACAGCTGCAGAAAGTTTAGTTGTTTCGATTAGATCATTCGGAAGTTATAAATATCCAGGTCAAAGCCCTAAATGATTTGCGTAGCAACTTGTATAGAAAATAATTTTTTTATAAGAAACTATTATTCCACATTTAGAAAATTGAAACAACATCCTAGGGAAATGCATAATATGTGATTCGATTCATCTTCTCTTTTGTTTCTACTAAAAGTTATTCATGAAACTAGCATCAACATAAATGTCGCATTTGACGGAAAAACAAGTCTTATCGAAAGTTTATTATTATGACATTATGTATAATATAGTCATATAGTATAGAAAAATATAGTATTTTTTCACTATTATGAATTAACTAAGACAATAGCACGTGCTTTAAATAACACAAGATTAATGTAACATCCGCTCTGCCTGCCGGATACATCAATGAAATGGATCCACGATAGGATAAGATATATTTATTGATAGATGACCTTACTTGATAATTCTCTACTCATTAAACTTACGAAATAGCTATAGATCGGTGATTTTCAAAGAGTACTTTATAATCTATATCTCTTATAGTGATTTAGTATCGACAGTTTATACAGAAGACAGACATCGTTAATCTCTTGAAATAAAAATCATATGCTATAGTATTTATCATTAATAGTAAGATGTGAATTCCAGTTTGTTATAGTATATCAAGAGTAGATAAATGGTAAATAGTCTACTATTTATTGATCGCGACATACAGAAAGGAGGTCCGAATATTACACTAATCGATTTAATACATGCTTGAAAAAAATCAATATTTCTATAAAGGAATTCATAAAGAAGAAAAATTTATTTACATATTCTTCTTGTTCTTTCATAGACATTTTGTCTAATTTATCATTATCAATTTCAATATCATTACATTCTACAATTTCTTCATGTTCTTGACAATAAATATTTAATATAACAATAAATAAAATAATCAAAATTTTTTTCATCATAATCTATAAATAAATAACTATGTTCATCAGTTAAATAATAAATATGTCACTTACATATTGATGACAACTTCCTTTAATACGTATATTGTTTTTCGAAAATGATTATATATCAGTATTTCTATGTAGATGACAGATGATTGACAGATGGATACACACACACACAGAGACAAAAAAAAGGAGAAAAACTTTTCTGATAAGATTGATTGCTTATAGCAGTTGATACTAACGTTAGAAATATGTTTATTGATATAAGGAATATAAACGTTATTCATGCAATTAGAATGACTCTATCCTATGCAGTATAGTATCGAGTTATAAAACAACTTTCATCTGCTGCTGGTCGCTTTCCCATTAAAACAGAACAAACTAAAGATTAACCATTATTATTCAATACAATTTTTTTTTCATAAGCATCATATCAATCTATTAAACGATTATTTTGCTTGAAGTGATATTCTTCTATATAACATTGAATTATTCACATATTTATTTATAATCATTCTAAGGACGATTCATTCCATACAAAAAGAATCCCATGACCCAAGAGATGTAAATATTACAAAAAAGAAAGAAAGAAAGACATTAATTTTAACTAACAACAACCTCGTTTTTTTGTTTTTGACGATACATCAATAATATTTTCACCTTTACGTAAGCGATCATCTTTCTCTTGCATTAATCTATAATAAATTTATCAAAATTAGAATAATATATTATATAACTAAATTACCGAGCAATTGCTTCCATTATTTCAATAACGGATGTACCTAGTCGTGCACTACTTTCAAAAAATAAGCATTGATATTCCTAGAAGAAAAAACGATATCTACATCATAGAAAATTTTTGAAATTTTTACATCAGCTAATTTTGCTCCATCTTTATATTTCACCGGTCTTTGATCGTCATCATTACATAAATCAGTTTTATTTCCAACAAGTGCTATGACACAATCTTCTTCAGCTAATTCCTATAGATATACTTTTTTGTTAATAGAATAAAAAACCTAAATATTATTTATTTGAAAAAAAAATTACTTGAACACTTGTCATCCATGCACGAACATTTCGAAATGTTACTTCAGATGATACATCATAGACAAGAATAATACCATCGGATTTACGAAAATATTGTTTTGTAATACTTCGAAATCTATTTTTTTATTAAATCAAATATATAAGAAAAAAATAATTATCTCTGCAAACCTTTCTTGACCAGCCTAAATATTATTATAATATATAGTAAGCAAAAGAAGATAAAAATTTATTCTTACGGTATCCCATAATTGTAATGCTATAACACGATTATCTATATTAAGCATTTTAGCTTGAAGATCGACACCAATTGTTGCTGAAAAAGCTTCATTAAAATTATCTGTACAAAATCGTTGTATAAAACTTGTTTTTCCAACTCCGCTATCACCTAAATTATATAGAATTGATTCGAATAACAAAAAAAATAAGATTTTTTATTTTTAAACAAACCAATAAAAGCTATTTTAAACATTCGATCAGGTACAGCATTAGGTGCTACATTCTAAAATGAAGATAAGATAAAATTAGGATATATAGATACTTATTATATTTTACCATCAATTCTGAATGTTGGAAAACTGCATTAGCACCAACAGGTTGTTGACGCGCACCTAATCCACGATTTCTACAAAATATATACAAATAACAATAATTAATCATATTTAACCGAATTAAATAGATCGATTTATTACCTAATATGATTTCGATTTTGTGTAGATCCAGTATCACTTTCACTTTCATCATTATTTGATGGAGACATAACATCATCATCTTCTTCAGGTTCACTATTACCTCTAGAAATATACAAAATTTCTAATGTAAACTTTCGATAATTGCTGAACTATTCTTCATAGTATAAATCAAATCATATAAATTTTCTAAAGTTTTCGAGTAAAATATTCGAGATTTCAACTAATTCAAGAAAAGATTTTATGTATATTTATATTTCATCCAGGTAAATCAAGAAATGGTATTTGCCTATTTATATCGACCAAAACTATTTTTTATTACACCATCTAAGAGTATAACATAACTAGAAATTGTTCTTTATTATTGGTATCGAAATATTTTTATGTGAAGAATATTTGAATACTCTTAGATTATACGTCGTTCTCTGCTCTAACATATCGCTTTGGTGAATACTAACTAGTCATTAAAACTAATTAAATATAAAATAATACCTATGCGGTGCAGTAAAATAATCTGATAGAACTGAACCTTGTCTTTTTAATGTTGAATGAGATGAAGATAAATCACGTCCTTGGGACTAAAATTTCAATATAAATATGAAATTTCAATAATATCTACTTACATTACCACCATGATGAACATCACGTTCATCAACTAATCGTTTATTTAAAGATCTAGAAAATAATAATAATTTGTCTTTAGAAATAATAACTAGATTAATCTAACTTAAGTGTATCAAGTTCTTTAACAAGATTTTCACGTTCAATAGCAAGATTTTCAGTTAAACTTAATGCGTGTCTAAAATATAACAAAGTATATATAAATATACATATATATGTGTGTATTTATACTTGGCTCTATCTCGTTTTTCTTTTTTCGTTTGAATTTGTAATTGAGATATGTAATGTTTTGATTCTTCAAAATTTCTTGCAATATCTTGTAATTGTTGTTCAAGTTCAATTTTTTCCTTAAAAAAGAAGAAAAAGTTTTTTGATTATTAAAGACAAATCTTTAAAGATATACTTTTTGTAATCGTTCATTATCATTTTTAGTTTCAGTTTCATTTAAATTCGTATGAAGTAATTTTAATTCTAACTCTCGTTGTGTTTTAATTACTTCAGCTAATTGTTGTTCTTTTATTCGTAATTCTTCTTCCATTTGTTCTCGAAGTTCACGTTCCTTTAATTTTTCCTTATTAAGAAAAAAAAATAAAAGTAATTGAAAATTTAATTTAATTTGATGCTATTTTACTTCTTCGAGAACTTTAGATTTTTCAATTTTAATTTGTTGTTCCATTTCATCATAGAGTCGTTTTATTTCATCATCATATACAGATGATTTACTGTGTAAAGCTGCTTCAATACTTCGATGATCAGATTTCGAACGTTTTATTTCTTCTGTAGCTTGACCAATAAATTGTTCAAATTGTCTTAATAATACTGGATCAGTTTCACGTAATTTTACCCACAATCCCATTATTGTTTCTTCATCCTCATAAAGATCTTTTGCACCTAATGTTTCTAATGTATGATGAAATACTTGTTCTTCTTCTTTATCATCAGGTATATGTTCAATAAGTTCTTGTTCATCTTCATTATTACATTCCATTTGATTTCCAAGAAACATACCAAAACCAGCTAAATTATAAATAAATAAATAAATTTCGAAGAAAAAGAAAAAGTCTAACTTACATGTAAATTCTTCTAATGTTAGAAAACCATTATGATCATTATCTAATGAATCAAAAACATCTTCTAATTGTTCGGGTTCAACACCAAGTTCATCTCGTAAACGTTGCATATCTTTTCTTATAATAAAACCTTTTTGTTCTGTATCACATGAATTAAATAATTCAGCAGCTTTAGCTGCAATTAAATCTTGTACATTGCCATTTATTTCATCACCCATCGTTTTAGATATATAAAATCTAAATTATATATTTTTTCAAAAAATGAAAATCAAACAATATTCTGAATATACTCAAATCTTATCTAGTAGACTTTTCTCTCTATGCATCATATGTCTTATACAGCTGTTGCTTATGTCGTGATTTTTCTTTTCAGTATTTCCACCCACAAAAATTCTTTTATATTTATATAGTAAAATATATTGATGATGAATTATATCGAATAAGTAATAGCAGTGTGTAAGAACAGCAAGGTAAGACTAAAATACAGACTACGTAAATAAATACATAAATAATTGTATTCATATGTCATTTTTCATCTATTCTTTTTTTTCTTCATATGATTCTCGTCAATATGTACATGAAAACAGAGGAAAAAAACATGTTATCGATGTACAGATCATAACAGTAGCGACAGCTGCTGCCTACATTATTTGGATCAAAGCACTTGATATAGAAGTTAGAATATTTTTTGAAATTGTCGTTTACATTATCGATTGAAACGATGCGTATAAACACAATTATTGGACAATATTCAAAATCAATATGATGCAAAACTTTTTTGGTTTCGTCATTATAAAATGAATCATCTCTTTTTCAGCTGAGAGAAGTGCCAATAAAATTATCAAAGTATTTCAAATGAAATCGGTTATAGAAGCGAATAATTAATCTTATTGAACTATCAGTAAAATGTAAAAAGAAAAGAAATGTTGTATTAGTATTTATAATTTTAATATGTGTGATTGTCATTTGAATTATAATTAATAAATAAGATCCAGTTCATTTTTATTAATAGTAATGTATCATTTTTTACTAAGTTACAAATGCTTTATATTATGAAAGAAATCGCATTTTTTTTATAATAAAACTAAATTTCGATTCAAGTGTTTTCTTTTGATAGTGTTTAACTGCATTTATTCAACGTTAAACGTTTCTTTCAAAAAGGTGAGCAAATAAAAAAAACATAGAAATACTTGTCTCTCTATTCAAAAATTTTATTCTATGTGAATTTGTCACTTTGTTCGCAAAATTTTATTTAAAAAAGAAAAGTATGAAGCCGCCAGTACGTGGTAATAAAAAAGTAGCTGTTCAACCCGTTATAGTTACTAATAATAATGTACGTATGAGATATTTATACTATTGAATAGAATTCATAATTATTATTATGCATAGAAATTCACACCGAAAATATCAGAACGAACAGTACGAAGAAAACAAAAAGCAAGAGATAGACAATTAAATCCAGGAATTTTTCCTACTAAACTTAGTGTATGTGGTTGTCTGTGTCTCTATATTTTTTTAATTCTCTGTATTGTTATTGGAGCCGGTTTGTAATGTTTTTATTTGAAATTCTCTCGTCTAATATATCATTTATGTTTATATAGGCGGCATAGTATTATGCGTTATCTATTTTAGTGAGTTATTTTCTTTTCTATTAATTGAATATTAATATATTTATTTAAAGATGCTGATCAAAATACACAAGTCTGGAAAATAGTTGGAATCGCACTTGGTGTTGTTGTATGTTTAATTGGTATTATTTTAATTCTTCTTAGTATATTTAAGCAAACACGTGGTCGACCATGGAAATCGAAAAAAAGCGAGATACTTGTCAATAATGATAATGATTATGTTGATGATATTGAAGATTTTGATAGAAGTGAATTTCGTGGTAATATTATTATTTATGATAAAAATCAAACACGTGAAACTGCTTCATCACCTATACCAAATTCATTGTATACATCAAAACCAATGTATAATAATCCTATGTATCAACCAGAACAAGCATCAGTTGCTATTCAAACAACAGAAAATAAAACACATACAATAATTGATCGATCAAAAAAATCTTCAATGACAACTGAAACTCAAACAAAATCAAGATCAAATACACCAGATAGTGTAATACTTCGACGTGTACCAATTCCAACTACTAAAGTTGTTGTACAACAACCAGCTACCAAAGTTATGATTGTTCGAGTTCCAAATAAAGCTGGTGAACTTATTGTTCAACCAGTAGATATAACATCTAATGAATAGTTAATATTTGTATTTCACATATTGTATCTAATATCAGTTGTTTATTGATCAGAAATTTATTTCAAGACTATATATAGAATAAAAAAAATAATTTTCTATACAGTTATTCTTTCTAATCATCACTCTATCAAACAAGATAAATATGTATGATATATTAATAGATAATCAATGGCAGTCTGATTTATCATTTATAGAAAGAAAACATATGATTATTTGGTATCTAACAGTATCTCATTTGCATATTGTTCTTTTTTCCTTTTTTGACTTCAATAATACAATCTTATTTATTCATTTCGAATGAAAAATCTTGACATCTAGTATTAAATCATAGTTAAACAATGAAACAAAAAAAAGAAATTATTTTGAGAAATCTGTGCTGGTGTAATGTTATTATTATTGTTTTTTCTTTCCTATATTATCCTATATACGTCAATGTTAACTGTATAATGACGAAAACAGCTATCTAATCCTGTACTTCTTTTTCTTTCCTTCTAGAGAGAATAGAAATAGTTTATTGGGGATTTTCTCTCTTTATTTATAGAATAATATCTTCTGATCATAAATGAAGTCAGCGACCGAAAAAAATACGTCTTCTTCAGTGATATTTTAGCTATATATCAAGAAGAATAATAGCGATAACATCACTGATTATACAAAGAAGGATATCTTAACGTCCTTCCTTCTTTTCTTCCTTTGCAATTTATCACTAGTGGTGTATGTTGTTGTCATCCGCAAGGACGATCAAGAAAAAAAAAAAAGAAATGGACAAAAAAAACCACACAAAAATGACTTGCTGTTGTAAACTATAGAAAGAAAAACAGAAAGAATGCTAACAGATCGGATGTAGAATAACGTCTCTTCTACATATCTGAATAAATATAATCCATACAAAAAAGATAGATAGATAGAAACTAGTATCTGGTAGAGTACATAACTGACAAGGTTCTTTAGATAGATAGAAATAGTGCAAATAAACAAGAAAAATTCGAAAATATGTGTACTTTATGTACATTGCATTGAAAATCAAGAATATTTTTTATTTATTTATTTATTTATTTGTTTATAGACAACTATGTCGCGTCGAGCCCGTTCAATGAGCCGCCTCCGTGGCACCACACCAGGACGTGATGCAACTTCATCTATTTATGAATATGGATCAGCTTCTGATGGCACGGGGGGAGGCGGCTATTCAACCCGTCTTAATATTTATCAACCCGATGTGTACGGTGCATTATCTCGTACTCTTCGAGCTACATCTGTAGCTCGATCTAAGGATGTCGACAATGAATTATCTGGTGGTAGCTACCATCGATCACAATCGGTCGGTCGTTTTGATCATTTAAGAGCACGACGTCCTTATTCAGCATATGGTACACATGATTTCGATTATTTTGATCGTTATACAGAGCGTATTCGGGATAAAACACCGATTGCTCTTGATAGTCATTATACTCATTATCGACCTTATTATTGGTATCATACAGCACCCCGTACCTTTTATTATAATTTTCCATACGATGACTGGCGTTATCGACCAATTAATCATTATCGTTCACCTGCACTTTATTCAGGTAATGATTCATCGTATAATCATCGTTTTAATGATTCAATTGATCGCGTATCATCATTAAAACGTGCTATGCGTGATATTGATTATACACGTGAATTACGACAATTACGTTATCATACACCAACAACATTTTCGTCAATTACACATGGTGATCATTTTCTAGGTCAAGCACGAGATGATGTTCGACGAGCTATTGATTCTCGTGTTGGTGGTAGTAGTAGTGGTACTTCGCGACTTAGTAATCCAAAAGAATATTTTGGTACAACAGTAAGTTAATTTTTTTTCCTTACTCAAAAATTAATACGTTTTCATTGATTTATCATCATTTCATTATTTTTAGTTTGTTCAATTTGAAAAAAAAGGTGTTAATAATGTTGGTTGTCGATATAATGGTTTATCACGAAAAGTTGAACATAAACCAAGTTATTGGAGAGCTGAAGATAATGTCGAAAGAGGATAGTATGTATTAATATTTATTTGTTTATTTTTATAATTTATAATTATCAATATAAATTTTATCTAGTGAATTAAAAGCACAAAATGATGAGACATTAGATAAAATCTATGATAATCAAGATAAAATTGATGCAAGTCGAGAATGGCTTTTAGAAGATAGAGCTGGTGTTGCTCCACGAATGTTTCATTTTGATATGGATTCTGTAAGTTATATTAGTTAATAGAGAAAATAATATTTTATATTTCTTAATATATATGTAGCGTCAAGCCCGTCGTGATGTCGATAATTCATTACGTACTATTCGTAATCTTAAACAATTGAAACATGAAACATTCAATCGATTATCTCAACCATGGACATTTGGAACATATTCTTATTAAAAACAAGAGAGGAGAGAATGGTCAGTCCGAATGAATATCTCAAATAAACAGGAGTAATCATCTCGATGAATAAGAAAGAAAGTCATTTTGTTTCGCTTATTTTTCTATTTTTTTCTTTCTTACGTGTGAACCTTTTTCCTATACCTTCACCATGTTAAAAATACATACACTTTTTCTCGTTCAATTAAACAATTGCTTTTTTTCTGTTCGTACATATTTTTTTTTCTCTATATTTATAATAAGTTACAATTTAATTTTATACAAATATATCTATGCTGTTCATCATATCGAAAACAATAATAAATGTACATTCTTTACTTTGAAGAGGATAGTTATATCAACAGAATTTAATACGAGATGTTAGTTGAGGTATTGCATAGTGGTATTAGAATTATTAATACATGATTTTCATTAAATGATAAAAAATACACCATAATAACACTGTTTAATATAAGATATAATCAATTTATAATGGATTTTCAATTATGCACAAGCGATTCTGATTTGGATCTTAGAAAATACTTATATACTGGTGATTATATCTGACAGTGAAATCTGATCAGATCCAATAAAGAACCAACCAAATTTCTATGAAATTTGATGGAATCTCATAGGATTCTCAAGAACAATATCATATCATTTTAACTAGTTTTAAAATTCAGTCAGAATCTGCAGATGAACTCGAATAGAATTTGATATTCAGAGAAGGTTGAAAGTTATTCTCATGTTAAAGTTTAGATCGAAAATTCATTATATTATTTAAATAAATTATTTTTTATGTGGTCGTATTAAACAAAAAGATGAATCTCATGTTGAAGTTATTTGAAATCATAAAATCAACGTTCAATTATTAGAAAATATAATTTGAGAATTGTTTTGAGAGGTTTAGCTGTTAACACATACGAGACTACAAAAAATTTTCTTCCATTTTTTGTGGAAGTTTTCGTCAAAAGGATAAATATTCTATTATAGTACGTATACAATTTGAATCATGTAAAAAATTTAGGCTTCCATATTTTGTTTATCATTGTATTTTTTATTCTTTCAAATCAGTTTTATATGATTTTTATTTTTCATGTGAAGAATTCTGTACGTTAATTTTATGGAAAAGAAAAGAAAAGATGATCGATCGACTAGAATATATCATATCTGATCTAGGGGTCGAAGAAAAGAAAATTCTATTTAATTTTATAGGTGATTGTTGGATTTCGTTTATCAAGTAGAAATTTCTGATTTACAACAACAGCAGCAAGTTTAAGCCATCGTGAATTTCAATGTATTAATCATTATGAATTACAACTTAATAAAGTTAGTATTGTACCAATGCGAAAAATACCATTAGATGTTTCTATATGACGTAAATTTGTTTAAAATTACAAAAAAAATAGCTATTTTTGATTATTGTTTTAGCTCATTGCCTTGTAACTGAAAGTAAACAACCAGCAATGAATGAAAATTCGAAAATTATTTCAAAAGCTGATCTTACGACACATTTATTAGATCTTGTAAGATTTTCAAGAAAAGAATAATCAAGTTTTTGCTATATTTTAATGTATTTTTAGATGAAGTTGTTACCAAAGAAACGATATCATCTTGATGCATCGAAAATTAAAACTTCAAATCCACATGAACATTCTTTGGTACGTTAAAAAGATACTCATGCATCATGGATGGGAGAACATCTTTATGTAGAAGGTTATTAAAAAAATTAGAGGGTTTCGATTCATACAAAATACTACCAAATTTTATCGAATTAGATGATCTAGATGATTTTGTTTTAAATCTCTCATACTCAGAAAAATTATATTTAATAAAATCCATTTATTTCTAGGAACAACAAATTTATTATAAAGAAATAACTGACGCATATGTTGGTTCAGAAGAACGAAAAACGTCAAGTATGTATTTTTTCATTACTGTAAAACAAATTATTTTTCTTATTGATCTATTTTATATTTTAGGAAACTATTGCTATTCTATCGTCAAAAACAGATCTTCATCGATTTTTATCATGGATAGTTGTATTTATTTATGAAGATGTTAACGTTAATTTAATGCAATATAATCTCTACAATGAGAAAGACAAGTGCATTATTTGAAAACAAATCATTACATCATGAAAAATATGGAAATTTTTTTATAAGAAAAAACTTTACTATGAATAAAAATATTTTCTAGTTTCATGAATTATTTCCAGCTATTATGACATGTATTCTAGCAAATCAACTCGATGATGAACCAGATGCAGATAATGATTGAGCATTACACGATTATGCTTCATCCCGTTGAATTCAAATGATGAAGTAAATATAGTATTCATGATTTACAAAATCGTATTGTACAAATATTTCGTCGAACATTTCATTGTGAACGTACCACATGTTACTAACTATGAAGCATTTGTTGGATTATGTGAAATGGATCAAGAAGTAAATAGATAAAATATCTAAAACCAAACAAATTCTGTTCTTTTTAATGTATTTAGAGAATTGATGAATTAGTATTTTCTGTAATAAGAGCACTTGGCGACTGAATTGTAAAATCATGTGAAAATCCATCAGTATGATCGATTGATAAAATAATAATTGATCGAATTAATGATGTTATATCTGTAAATAATATCTATTTATTATATAATTGGTTTATATATTTATAGAAATATATTTCACCAGTTTACCGTGCATCACGTTCAACACCTGATGATCTTGGACATTTTAAAGAAGAGTTTGGTATTTTTTATGGACAATGCTTATATACACAAGTTACTCAACTTCATCAACAATCAAGATCCACAACTAAATCTATACAAGTGAGTGAATATAACATTTATTAGACATACTTGATTGATGATTATCTATAAATGAATGAAACATCGATTGTTATAAATTATTTATTTTGCGCATAAGATATGATATAAAAATCGATAAGAATAAAAGATAAATATACAAAATAAACAAAAGAAAAATCTCCGACAATATGATTGAAACTTGTACATATTCAAAAACAGCTGTTGAACATTGTTCATCATCAGTTGCTACGAATATAATAATGAAAGTTTTTACTTAACACGAAGTTTAAGTTATTCCGATATGGATTTATCACAACAACAAGAAAGTACTGAAGAATTTCATTTATCATCAGCAATGAATTTAAATGATAATACATACAATCATTTGGAAACATCTCAACGTTCTTTATCAACTAATACACTTGATTAATTAGTCAATTCAACAATATCAACAGATATGAATCAATATCCTATTTACAAAGATTCATATCCACCTTCCATCAAGTCAATTCGTATTGTTAATAAATATTTACCTGCTTCTCAACCACCTTCACGTAAAATAATCATTGAACGACAAGTACCACTTCCACAAAAACCTCAACCTATTATTATTGAAAAATGGCTTTCTTATCGAGCATCACCTAAACGACGTATTATTATTGAATCAACACCACCATTAATATCAAGATCTCCACAAAAAAAATACTGTTATTACATATGATGGTTCTCATGTTGATCTTATAAAAAATATTCATGATCTTAGTATTGTATGTATTGATCGTGATATATATATATATTGCTCAATATGGTTTATAATTAGCATCAAATGAATATGGTTTAAATACTATAACAAAATTTGGCGTCGGAAATAATTATACAAATATGATTCAAATACAATCGATGAATCATAATTTAAGTAATCATCAATTGATGGTTTATAACGAAAATAAAACATGAAATATATATAGATATGAAAATGGAATTTATTGTGATTATATTGGAAAATATATCGAAAAAATAATAGTTAATTGAGAACTATACTTTCTTTTAGCAAAAAAATATTCTTATTATTTTGTTCATTTTTATTTATTCACGCAATAACAAAAATGTTTCTTGTTTGACTAACAAGAATTTATTTATTGAAAAGAACTTAGATTCGATTTTGATATATATTCTTTTTATTTTCAATAAAATTATTTCATATTTATATCGATATCTAACACATTCTACATTTGTGTCTCAAGATCATGTGATAGTTTTCTTATAGTAATCAAGTTATGTGTGATTGCCACGCGTAACTAAACCTTATCCGATTAGATTCAGATTCGATCAATTTTTTCTACTATAATCCACAGTTTACTCATTAACTTCTAAATTAAATCTATAGTAAAATATATATACAAGTATATTTCTAGATTTCTTTACACACATTTATAAATTAATAATCCAAAGTAACACCAAAATGGATGGATCAGTTAATTCAACTAATCAAGCTGAATCTACAACAGCTACTGTAAATGAAGAAGAACGTGCGGATGTGGGTGTAAGTGTGTATGTAACAGTGTGGGTGTGGGTGTGTGTCTCTTCTCTTGAGTCACACTCACACCCAGAGTCCGCGTGAAGGGTCTAGGATTGGGGGGGGGGGCTGTAGTGGGTTTTCAAAAAGTGTGCAAATTCTTGCGGGAGTGTAAAAGGGTATTTAGAGCAAAACTTGCTCTAAATTAGCTCCCACGACTGAAAAACAAAATTTCCAATTGATGGAATGTTGCACCCTCCTCCGCATTCCCGCCCCCCCCCCCCTGGCACGCGCGGGTGCTGTCGACCTAAACTCACATCCACACCCTCAAGAAATTCTTGGTGTACTTACAAGAAAAATGACCTTAGCTCTTGATATTGATTTTATGAGAATTGCTAGATTAACAAGCGGCTATTCTGGTGCTGATTTGGCATTATTATGTAAGAATGCATATTTACAAGAAGTTCGAGAACAAATGGATGCTATGGACTCAGCAGAAGAATTCAACTATGCTAATACAGTCGATTTATTAACTGTTAGTCAAAATAACTTTGGAGTTGTTCTTAATCAACAGTGTGGATGTGGGTGTGTGTTCGTGTCTCTTCGCTTAGCTCACACCTACACCCACACCCTAACACACCTTCTTTTTTTATCTTTCGTTGAGATAAGTTAGTTAATGTATGAGACTTTATTTGTGAAAAAATAAACGTGATTTGAACTTTGATTTTTGTTAAACTTCTTTTTTTATTTTTCATTGTACATGTACTCTGCAACATTTTAGAAAGTGAAAAACGATCATTAATAGTTGATATTTTTTTATATTTGAGAAGTATTATTAGGCTATAAATATAACATTTATCATGTTTTTCAGTTTATTAAGCAAATTAAAACGAGAATACATTTATTTATACAACGAAGGAAAATAAAGACATAAATCTTTCGAATGTACCACACAGTCTATCGTAGTTATTTTTTTCACCTTGGAACAATTGCGTCGTGTTTCTTCTCTTGTGAAATCTTTTGTTGCAGCTTTTAAATCATCGAAAAAGACTTCAAATTCCGTAAGACAAGGTACGAATGTTTTTGTCTCATTTAGAAATTGTTCAATATAATCTGCATGTGAAAATTTGATATCAAGTATAGTCAGATGAGGATATTCAATAATTGAGTGTAATTGACAATTGTCAGATGGAAATGTCATAAGACCAGCCAATTTTTGTGATTCATCATTCCAAATACATAAATGCTTCAGTAATGGAAACGATCGGGTAACTCGCATGAAGAATTCATGTTCAAATGGTATAATATCTCGTATATGTAAATAGGTAACATAACTGAATACAATATTTGGTAAGTTATTACCAATACTTTGGAGATAATCAAATTCAAAAGGAAGTGAGAAAATTGAGCATGCGGCTCTAACACCATGAGCAAGATTGAGAACACCAGCACAATAATTGATCATACTACTGGCATTGTGTAGTCCAATATTTGTTAATGTTTGTTGAATATCTTCACTAGATAACTTGTAGGATAAAGCAGCCGGTTCAACATAAGTACAAATATAGAAAATGAATGAACGAAGTCGTGGCATATAATCCAAAATATTATGTTGAACATGAGTACCATCAATGACATCAATGGTTCTATTTCTATTGTATACAGAAATATTTAGAGTTAATTTTTCCAGATTCGACATTCGACGAAGAAGTAATACAATTTTATCATATTCTTGAAATGGATAGGACGATTTTAATGAGAAACATTTTAGATTCAATAATTTATCCTACAAAAAGAAAGAAATGTTTTTTTGATAATCTACATGATTAAATTATAGGCATCATTATTTTACACATGGTATATGATCTATATTCTATCTATGAATGACCACAAATGTCAAATCTATTAGTTTGATTTTCTCATTTTAGGACACAACAAACAAGTATTAAAAGAGCAATTAAAATTTCAGACAAACTTTCAATCATATCTCAATTATTGAAAAAATTATTATTATAGAAAAACTTTCGTTCTATTCTATGTTGATGATCATTTACATATGATAATATTTAATTGTATCATGAAACAGAGTAGTCTACTTTTCAGTGTAAAACGTATCCGATAAAATATTATATTGTTATATTTTCTAACAATAAATTTCTAGTGAGTACAAACTGAATGTCGATGATTTTGATATATTTCTCATCACGTAACACATTTTTCTCCTTATCAAAATGAAATTTAACCACTCGATTTCTTATCTCAATTCTTTATGATCAATCGTCAACTGTATTAAAATAGTCATAATCATCATGGCATAAATGAAATTATTTGTAAAAACTTACCATATTGTGAACAATTTTTTCCAATGTGTCCATATGATATACAACAACACAGAAAATTGTCAATTTACTAAGTCGACCATCAAGTAAAAAAAGACAATCATCAAAATCTCGGACATTGATATATAAATGAGTAAGAATCGGAGATGAAAAACTAGTTGACGGCAAACAACAAAGTGATAAATGTGGATATGACACAACAGATGGTTCCATGACAATTAATTTTTTTAAATTTTTAAAAAAAGTCAAGATGTGAATATATATATTTTCATTATATATGTCCGGTAAACATTCCATGTCGTTTTCGTCATCATTGATGAGAATAAGATTTGTAATCTGTTCTTGAAAAATAGATCGAAGTGATGATTGATCTAAAGAAAAAAAGCAATGTAGTGAAACATATTATAATCTTTTCTTTTTAACACTTTTATTATTTCTCAACTAAACAAATTCATATCAAATACTTACCTGTAAAATAATTTGAAACGATTTCTTTCTGGAAATAATGAATTGTAAGTTTAGTTAAATTTGGATAGTCAGTAGCAAGAAGAATACGTTCCATAAAAATTGGATCAAAAATAAAACCTTTCACATTATGATGAATTCTTGGTAATATATCATTGCAGAATCGATCGATTATAGAAATATTATCAATAGAGACAAATTTCAGAATGTCGATGGAAGTGATTTCTTGTGCAAGAATGTTAAGTCGTCCATTATTAATATCAAATAAAGAATAAATTACATCAATATTGTTCAACTTCTTCAAAATAAAAAGTAATATTTCATCAGGTAAATCCAGAAGATGAACATTTGATCGATTCATATTTTATTATGAATATGATGTTTTTGACTAAGATAAAGCTTTATATACATATTTGTTCATTGTTAGCATCTTATCACTTCGACGTCAAACAGAATGATAATTTAGCAACGTGATTGGTCTATTTCAAGTTAAATCATCTTTTCTAGACACTTTATTCGTTAATTCAGTCTGCTTGGACGTTTTGTGCCATTGTCAAATTCAACGATGACACATTGAGAAGAAGAAAGGATATATTTTTCGTATAACAGAGTCAGCTGAACTTTATTCGTTTGGTATTTCTTACATTCGAGATTTTTCCAGTTTAAAATCAAATCTGAATTTTTTGCAAAAAGACCGTTCTTCGAGGATCTCTGGTCTTTTGGTTAGAAGAAAATTTCTTGAGGGTGTGGGCGTAGTTGAGAGCTATGAAGGTATGGATGTTACCAAGATTTGAATGAATAATTGAAAATTTCAAGTATTCAATTACTGAATACTTGAAGTAATAGTTAATTAGTTGAATTCAACTTTCAAATTTGGCACTACTGGATTGCATAAATCCATTAGTATCAGCCTTCGTGTATGTATATTCTAATGGCTAGTGATAAACAGTTTTGTCGTACTACGTGTATAATAGATATAATTTATTAGCCGTTTATAGTCAAGCTGAAACAATACGTATCATTTAGTATTCATCTATTAGTTTAGATGATTTGTGCTTGTCTGCAAAAATGTTTATTTGAAAAACTTCCAAATACATTGCGAATAATGTAAACAATTTTTTACACTTTAGGCATTATAATAATATTTTTAAAATGCTAGTGGATTTTTTATTAGTTTTTTCGCTGAATGTTACTTATGTTGGAAAGAAAAACAGAGATTTGCCTGCATAAAAACTTTTTTTTATTGACTATTATGTAAATAAGATGGCTTGCTAGTAGCAATATATTTCAAAATAACATAACAAAGCTTTTTTGCATTAATACAAAACGTTGCATATGATGAAATGAAGCAGAAGAAGCACAAATAAATAACTCTGGGAACGATCTTGTATCTATGAATAAATTATGAGTCATGTAGACAAGTAACATTTTGCATTCTCTTAGTTCGTCGTAATGCTAAACAGAGTTAACACATCTGTTAAAAGCAGATATCGGGTACTATTCTGTTTTATAATTAGCTGATCATAAAAATTTTTTTACAAATCTCTATAAACAGAAAGAAATTTAAGTTTAAAAAGTTATGGTGTGGGTGTAGGTATCACAGACACAATACACTCACATCAAAAACCACACCCACATCCTCACCCTCAAGATAAATACACAAATATATTTTATTATTTCTTTTAGCACAATATATTAATTTTGTATTAACGAGAACTTTATAGAAATACATGAGTTATGCGATAACTGGCATTTTTATTTTGATATTAACTGCGAAATGATATTAACATCGATTGCGTGATTCACTATAAGTATAAATTAATAGTAAATCAGTACTTATATGTGACTATTTGCATTTATTAATCGCATCTTCATAGTCATGTAATACCTATTTAAAATAAAAGTAAAAAGAGAACGACAGGTAACATCGATTTCAATCTTCATGTTACCTCTAGTATGAAATATTATATAGAAAAACATGCTTTATTTGTGAAGTGCGTCGCTTGCGATGCATATTATTCATTATTGTTGGAAGACAACTATAGGCTTCTTGGACGCCTTATTGTGTGTTTGTTCTGTGATGGAAATAAGAAACTTCCAAGTAATAAAAATGCCAAGAAATTTTATACTTTTTTGCTCGGAAGAAACACATTAGATTGACATTCAACTGAAAAACATCATTCTGACAGACTGACTGTCGTAATTATTGAAAAATTTTCGAAAAATAAATGAATCATGAATAAATTTCTATAACTTTTTCTCTCTGTAAATACGTGTAATTAAATTGTTTTGAGAGTAAATAGCTGGGATCTTTGAAACCTTTTTTGGTCTAATTATTCACTTTAACAACTGATAAATTGCAGTTAAAGACTTAGGTTTTCTTGTTAGAGAAGTTCAGCCAGATTGCTGCAAACTCTTGAGAAAGTTGAGCTAAACTTCAATAGTAATAAGAAATTATTTAGTTTTAAAAACAATTCATGTAATGATGAAATCTTGTGTATGTAAGAATTGTTGGTTGAAGCGAGCAAACGTTTGAAGTAGTTGTAAATAATTCCGCGAAACTGAATAAAAAGGAAAAAAAATAAGAACATAAAAAATCATTTATTTTTCCAACAAACCTACTACCTTATTGTATTACATTCCTTTGTCATCATACTTAACAAAACACAGACTTTTTTTTATAAAATTCAAGTGTAAATAAGCACCATAGAAAAAACCAAGCGGCATTCAAATTCGAAGAATCCTTACTCTACCTAGCAGGTCATATGTATATATATATGCCTCATTGAGGTTCTTTTTGAAAGTGTCAAAAGAAAATATTTACTGACCGTACTCTTCAGGTAGGTAATTTCCTTTTATTATGCTTCATTGGTTTCGTCCTTAACATGTCATATAAGGTAGGCATTTTCCAGTTTTAATGTGTCATGTTATCGTATGCATGACGCGTCTTGGTATTTACCGTTCCTACTTTATCTTGATTATCTCATAGATATTTTACGATTCACCGCCAATAGTAGATCGATATCTATGAGATAGTGGAATAATCCATACCTTCTAACAGAGTATGCTACTGGAATTATCCGTATCGTTTAGTAGTGTGTTATAGTGTTTCCCCTCTCTGTTATGGTTTTATCCAACGCATACATATATATATATATATATAGCTGTCGTTATATGTATGTGTTATGTATATATTTATATGTCTTTTCATCTTACATTCTCTCTACTTGTTGCTTCTCTCTTTCTCTTCTCCCGAAAAGATACGTTTTTCGAAGATCGTATTTTATTGAATATCAAGACGTGACAATATCATAGCTGCATCAATATCATCATCACTAGTGACAACTACAAATAAATGATAGTAATCAATGAAAAACGTAATGCAACGCAGAACTTATGAAACTCAAGAATGATTCATTGAACAATAGACTATCCACATTGAAATGTTATCAATAAACTGTTGAAACAACTATGGATGTGAAGCTGAAACGATATTTTGAAAGAAGTGAACAGGAAGTATTGCTACTGGAAAAATATATGTGCGAAAAGTGAAATCAGTACCTATTATAGTTTCATTCTTCTGAAAAGAACTTCGATATACTATATGATGGCATCACTACACATGGATGTAAGTATTCAGTAATAACTCGTTGTTAACCAATATATGTATCCTTTAATATTGATTCAAAAACTTAGAGAACGCCACATACAATATTCTGCTTATGACAAGCTTTATATGCATGTCTGATATAGAATGACCATGATAGTCAATCAATATCTATATGAGTAAGTTTATGAACTTCATATTATGTTGAATCATTTCCATAGACTCATTCTTGGCTTCACGATTCTTTCATTATTTCAATTCAAACCTAATTTAGGCTTTTTGAAACTCTTCTCCTGTTTTTATTTGTAAAAGCTAATGCACTGTTCGATTTGATTTTAAAAATTGAATCTGTTTGCATATAATTTTTGAATTGATACTTCATTGCGATTTGTTCACATTCTTATTAGTCAAATTATAAATTTGCAAAATTTTAATGATGATAGTATAATACAAAAGTTTCACCTTTGATCCGTGCTCACTCGAATGTGCACTGCGAAAACAGTTTAGTAATAGAAAATTCAATTTTATGGCCGATAAAAAGAAATGTATACTCGTAAGTTATATACAATTTGATGCTGAAACTGCTCAGAGGTGCAGAATCTACCCGTGTGTGTATACGGCCGTACTGGGAAATTTATTAGCGTCTGGGAAAATTTGTTGGAAAATATTTTTTCCTACCATGAAAATATTTGTCCTTGGTAGGAAAATGTTTTGCCCTCCTACGGAAAAATCTTAGTTTATTTATATCTGCATCAATAAGATCTTGCACGTTTTATTTCTTTTTTTTATAAACTTTTAAAAGAATCGTCCATGTCTTTCTCGTAGCCAATATCATCAATTTTTATTTACGGTGAGTCCGCATCTTACCACTTGCTCTTCGCTCTTGGTCTCTTTGCAAATTTATGACACAAAACACTGTTTTGTTCTTTACATTTGAGAGTGGGTGTGGATGTGGCTGTAGGTATCACTAACACAATACATTCACATCTATACCCACACACACCCAGACCCTTAATTTAGTTTGTAGATGCATTGATTATTAATATAGATACGACCCTATAAATGACTAATATCAAACAAATGAGGATGAACAAGAAAAATTTGGCTTTTTATATTCAAAAAAGATACCAAAAGTTATTTTAAATCGCTGAAAAAAATTGGTAAATTTTGAATAGTACCATTTATATTTGCTTTTTTGATTTTATTTAGTAATGGCAAAACGGTAGATTTTTTCACCAAATAGGATTTATTACAAAAAGCTTTCACAAATATTAGGCTTCTGGAAGAATCTATTAATAGACAAAAGTAAGAAAAATGGAAGTGATTGAAAAAGGTTTTAAACGTCATACTTCCGCCAGTCATATATATATATATATCAGCAAAACACATACGCCTTGGTTTTTTCCAAGCTGAGTCATTCAATAAATAATAAATCAATATTACTTCCTCATATTTCTAGACTTTTTTTCAGCAGTTATGCAAATATTTGTCAATGAAAACACTCAATCTTCTTCCTTCCACATGTCAAATATATGATCATTTTGTATGTAAAATGAGTTCTTCGACAAATTATAGATCATTGAATACGAAACTTTATGAGTACATAAGAATGACTCATCCTCATAGCAATATTTGATTTTATCTCGTGGCATATGCCACAATTGCATTATGTTGGAGGAGGACCTTATTTATGATCGGTTCTACAAAATAAAGAGTAAATATATTATTTAGCATCTACTATTTTCTAGATTTATTTTTTACTGTCTCGATTATATCTTTCGTTCGTTCATCATGACAGTAGGCTACTTTACGTAATTTTTTAAAATCATTAAAAATGTTTTATTCTATAAGAATTACGCACCATATGGTGGCTATCACGTCAAAAATCTAGCATCTTTGGATGAAAGATACAAGTGTCCAGTATGCAAATTGATAATTAAAAACGGTGTTCAACTTATCTGTGGTGACAGAATATGTCGTTTATGTGTTCCACATATAAAATGTAGGTAAACAATATTACATGTAAGATTTTTTTGTTTCAAGCATTTAAAAGTTGTTTCATAATTAGCGATGTACAATGTCCAGAATATTCACAAACTACATTAGTCTCACAGGTAATTCGATCATCTTTTTGCTTGCTTACTGATTGATTTAATGAATGAAAGTGATTTATTCTGAAAGATTGTAGATGATAAAGGATTCAATAATGATATTCAAACATTGGCTATTACTTGCAGTTCATGCGAATGGTCAGGTGAATTAAAGAATTATCAAGTAATTATTTCACATTTTATTCTTGCATCTATTTCATTTTATTTTTATTTTGAAGAATCATCTTGAACAAATACATAATCATTATCAATGTTCATATTGCAACGAAACATTCAGTTCATCAACAATATTCAATCAACATCAAGAAACAACATGTTCACAAATGCCAGTGAACTGTATTCTTCACAAATATGGTTGTGAAGAAAAAGTATGTGATAGAAAAGTTTGTATTAAAAATTTTTTATCTCTTAGGAATAGATATTGCGCTGTGATTTGTCGAAACATTATCTTACTGAAACACATCAACGAATTTTGCTATTATATATTTTACAAGTTCTTATAAATATATCTGACCGAAGTCAACCATTGACACAACTTGATACAAATGTTGAGCGAACAACAATCGATCTTCTAACTAATATAAATACTATCGCAACAACTACGTTGAAAGCGGATAAATACAATGTTCAACAAGAAGGTATCAAAGAAATGATATCTATCATGTCCAATGGGATAGAGTCATTGAATGACGATTCACAAATACTGAGTGATGAGTTATTGCAACAATCGTTATTAGTAGAAGCAATTCATCAACGCTTAGAAATACTAAAAACATCATGTGAAGAATCGAATGCTATTTTACATGCACATACTATGAATATGGATATTCTTCAACAGGAATGTCGTTCATTAAAACAGACGGTTTCAGAAAATGAATCAATTTCCTATGATGGAACATTTATATGGAAAATTACCGATGTTAAAGAGAAAATGAGTAAGAATAGACATTTTGTTTTTTATTGTGACATAGTCTCTGTATTCGATTGTACGATTTAGTCGATGCTGAATCTGAACGTCAACCTTCAATTTATTCGCCACCTTTCTACTCTTCACCTACAGGTTACAAAATGTGCGCCCGCCTTTATATGCACGGTGATGGAAATGCACGTCGTACTCATATGTCTCTCTTTTTTGTTTTAATGCGAGGATCAAACGATACTGTACTTCATTTTCCATTTAAATACAAAGTTACATTTTGTTTATTTGATCAGACTGGTCAACAAAACCATATTATCGATTCATTTCGACCTGATATAAAATCATCCAGTTTTCAAAGGCCACAATCGAATATGAATATTGCTAGTGGTATTCCGAAGTTTGTACCATTGGCCGTAATTGAACAGAACGATAACCCATATGTTAAATTGGATACTATGTTTATTAAAATAATGGTCGATTTTGAAGATCTACCGAAGGCAATATTACCCTATGCATTAAGTTTAAATCCGGGTTTGCCGACAGAATGTCAACATAAAATGATTCGTCAAGAAATAGAACGACAAGCACAATTACAATCTAAAACAACATCCGAAACAAATTTGACTAAGAAGAAAGAAATAATACATGGATCTTCAAAAAAGGATGGTTAATCAGTTAAAACTTGACAACAATTTTATTCAATATATATTACTCCTGAAATTAAACTCTTCGTCTGGGCTTATTTAATAATCATGAATATTTGGACCATATACTTGAGATCTAATTGTTATATACGTTCATAAATTATAAACAAGAAAATAAATACACACTCACATGCTAAATTCAGAAAAGAAAGAATTGAAAGAAAAGTGAATAAAAAGAAAGTAATATGAGTAATCATGAAGTAGGAAGAGAACAATATATCAAAATTTGTACTCATTACTCATTCCACCTATAACATGTGTGTTTCTACACATGAGAAACTTGGTAAAAGAGAAAAAACTAAAAATAATTTTACATGGAAGTAAAATAATTTGGAAGTTTTATTAGTAAGCAGTTGTAATTGTTAAATAACAATAGTATGGTATCAAATGATTCAATAGATGTCTATGAAATATACACGAAGCAATGCGTTTTCTAAACACTTATAAAAGAATAGCAGAATAGAGAAAGAGGTAAAGTAATAGACATTTTAATGAAATAGAATAATAAAAAATTTGTGAAATGAAATTAATCATCAATTATTAATAGAAGGTTTATAAAAAAAAATGAGTTTTCTATATGAAAGCTGTTTTTATCATATTAACATTATCTTCTTCAAAAATAAGTTTATATATTCAATTTAGTAATTAAATAACGTACTGAAATACCTTTATGAACTGGTTAATGAAATTTCTAATCATTTCCCTTCGAAAAAAAGAATAGATTTAAAATCTACTTCGAATGTGAATTGTTAGCAATTAAGGAAAGAAGTATGTAAGACTAGTTTTTCATTGTTATCTAAGAGAAAAATAAAAACAGCCTGCATGAATAATATAATAGAGATACAATTAGAGTTAATTTAAAAAACTGAAATTTCTATTTGCATTAATGTTTTAATCTTTGCTTGAATAATAACTAAAAATGATGTAATGAAATAAGTTAAATTTCTTTAATAGTAATACTTGATAAAAGTATTTATTTGTAGAAAAAACAAATTTAGGATAAACTTCTACCATGAACAGAAATTATTTTCGATTGAAATCAGCATGGTTACTAATATAATTCATAAATTCTTCTTCTGTTACATAACCACGATTTTGTGTATCAATTTCCTTCCAATAGAAATGTTCTTTACCAGCTGATGAACCATAATAATCATTAAGACGACGAAGTATTTGATGACCGTATTCTGCTGAAATTAATCCTTTGTTTTTTTTAAGTTTATCAATATTATTTTGTCGTATTAAATATTCGACACGATCATAACGTGGCATAGTTTGATTTATTAAAACAATTACATTAAGAAATTCATCGAATGAAAGTGTATTCGTATTATCACGATCAAATGCTCGAAATATTCGACGTGCTTGTTGATTTATATTATGTGTATCTTGCATTTCTATTCCTGGAAGATGAGTATAAAATCGAATAAATTCTTGCATATCTAATACGCCATCACTTCCAGCTGCTTTCATAAAATCAATATGAAGACGATCAATTTCATCACGTGATAAACCACTAGTTTGTGCTAATTTATCAGAATCCCATTCGTGATATTTTAAACGACTTGATCGAGCTCCCATTGATCAATGTTTTAATATAAATTGCGGTATATGATATCAAAAATCGAATAGAATATTCAAATATTAATATATAGAAAAACCATGTGTATATATATATATAGATGCATATTTTTTTGTACTCATTGATATGTACATCGAGTCTATGACGTATATAAAATGTAATATTTCAAAATTCAATAAAATAATGACAATATTACTTTTAAATAGCAATATCATTAAAAAAAAGTATACGATTAATTTCTGTTTTATTTTCCTCATTACTCCAGGTATATTTTTTTTCTTCTGTACGTTACCAATCATCCGTAATTGCACCCAATATATAAATAATTTTGGTCTATATGAAGAATATTTCTAATGGTTTTTATTTAATAAATTTTTGAAAAATTATATATTTATTATTTAAAGTTTTTTTGTAAAAATTAAAAAAAAATTCTAAATAGTAAAACTGCTCATCGTATTAAATATAAATAGTCTGTATATGTTGTAAAAAATTATTGATAGCGTCGATTGTAAACATCTTGTTGAGATATATATCTCATAAATTCGTCTTGACTAACATAACCACGATTCTGTTGGTCAACTTGCTTCCAACATTGATGTTCAGTACCTTGTGGTAAACCATAATAATCATTGAGACGACGAAATACTTGATGACCATATTGTGCTGAAATACGTCCATCACCTTGTTGACGTCCATAGTTATTATTTTGACGTATAACATAATCAAGACGATTTTGACGAGGTACATTATGGTTCATCATAACAGCAGCACTAAGAAATTCATCTAATGAAAGTGAACCTGATTGATCACGATCAAATGTTTGAAAAACACGAGCAATTTGTTGTTGTGAAACACCTTGTCCACCAGCAAAACGAGCATATACATTAGGAAATTCATTTCTATCTATTACTCCATCACGTCCAGCTGCTTGAAAAAATTCTTGTTGAAGTTGTTGAATTTGTTGAGGAGATAAACCAGAAACTTGTTGAAGTTGGTTTGAATCCCATTGATCATATCCGTTACGACTTTGACGAGCTCCCATTGTTGAATGCTTATATTTATATTTTCAAATATGAGGTTTTTCTCTTTCTTACTATATGTATATATACCTGTGTTTTAGATTGAAACCTAGCTTGATTCAATGGAGCATAAATAACAAAAACAACTAGGGACGTACGTCATTAGAAGATGAATAATTATATGTAAGAATCATTAATGCAAATCTTTATAGCCTTCATCAGATAGCTAAAACTGGATTATTTTTTTTTCGTGTTTTGATCAATATAAGAAATATGCACGTAATCACCTTTATTTAATAGTCTTGTTTTTTTTCGATTTTATACGTCATATTAAACTATCGATATAATGCTTAATTAACTTTAGACAACTTTTTAATTTAAATATAATTATACTAAATGGTTTAGTAAAGAAATCAATGAACTATGTAATAAGTTTAGTTCCAAATAATAAGTTATATTATAATAGTAATAATCATATAAGTTGTTTCTTTTTTATATATGATAACTAAATAAATATAATTCGATTAGGTTATTCACTCATTATTTTATATAAACATTTCATGACAAATAAGGTTCATTGGATTTTTAAGAGTACATCATAATATAGATCATAATGTATTTATGATCACGAAAAGCTTTTGCAAGTTCTTTGCTTGTCCACACGTTCATTTCCGTTATTTCTTATATTCATTCATCATTCATCATTTTATCCCTGAATAGCGCGAAAATGACGTTACTGTTATTTGTGCGTGTGCACATACCCAAAGATCATATTCCTCAATATAACTTGCTCGTCATCGTTGCGCACACATGCCTGACTTTTGCCGTCATGTAGTCTCCGACAGAGAGAGAGAGAGCACACATACACACACGTAAAGTAAATACACCAACGGGAGCAGATGCG